GCACTGTTAGGAACCGATTCGAATTAACTGTTTCCCCCACTGCATGTTTTAAAACTCTGAACCAGTTTTGTTGTGATCGACCACGATGCTTTTGTTTTGATGGCGTGTGCAGAAAGCCTACTGCACATGCTGCGTAGCCCGTAGCCGTTCCGGCACTAAGATCAGCATAGTCAATGACATACTCAATTTCTGCAAATTGATAATTTAGAGCCTTGAGTGTGGTAAATAATAGTCATGAGAAGTTAAGAAGTTAAGAAGGCATCCTGTTGAGTTGTCATGAAGCTAGGCCCTCGATAATAGAGCTCGGTACCGATCTATATATCCGTGGCGCAAGGGAATTCAGCGCGGCAACGTGTTAGACAACTCGAGGCGGGTTCCACGACATCGGATCCGATGTTCCAGGCACAAGGCGGTGTTAGTCGAAGCGGATAATTGCAGCGGTTAAGGGAATAAAGATGTTGGCAAGAGTTCTAGAAGGCCACAAAAAGGAGGATATCATTAGGTACTTGGGTAACCTTAGGTAGATAAGTTCATCCAATCTGATAACAGCTAGAAATCTGACTATGGGCTACCTACCACGAGCTACCTAGGTTGGTTTAAGTTGAGTTATCCGAGCTGACCTACACGATACCGATAAGTGGCGGCGTGTATTGAAGTAGAAGATGTCTGAGATGCATATCATGTACCCCCATCAACCCCACTGCCAAAGGGGTAGGAGGATTAAAGCAAGGAGGGGAGGGAGGACTAATAGGAAGCAACATATCAACTATTAAAGTGCAACAACAGTGCAGGTGTGCAGGTGTACAGGTTGCAGGAGCAATGGAACTGTGGGACCCCCTAAGCTCCAAGCTCCAGAAGGCGGGCATAGAAGTCCACAGGCCCTGCAGCGTATCAGCTAATAGCGTAACAGTGTGCAATCCAATATCAGTACCTGTAATTATGTACCCGTTCACTTGTACACAGGTGTAATTCGTTTATGTACCGTAGGAGGTACCTTAGGTACCTACATATGCTGAACTTTCAGCGCCACGAGCTAGAACAAGGCGCCTTATCTTTTACAGTAACTGAGTTGTACCTGCCTTGGACACAGTTCCAATAGAGGGCCTCTCCGGTTGACGGAAATTCCCACATAAAAGCCTCAGCGTCCCCCGCAGTTGCTTCCTTCTTTGATTCTCTCCTATCGCCTCTCCTCCCAAACTTTCATTCCTCTCGTGGATAAATATCCTTCTTTCGTTCAACGTTTGTCTTTTAAGAACAACACGATCTGCGAATCTGCATCGCCAAAAAAAATAAATAAAACCTACTCCTAAGTCGACTTAGTTATCCAATACCGCAAAGATGGTGAGCCTTGCCCTGCATCAAAACCCCGCCGACCTTCCATCCTCAGCCAATTACCCCTCAATTTACGTGAAGATTTGCTAACAGAATCCCTTTTCTAGGCCGACAACCACTATGTCTCGTACACTGAGAACGTGAGCACGCGATCACCCCTAACAAATGGACAAAGCGCATCATTGGCAACCAGCGTTGCGGCTGCGACTGCGACTGTCCGCCTTGCGAACAATAGTGCTGACTTATCGTGATAGTTGATGAAGTACATGAAGCTCGACCAGAAGGGAAACGCCATGGCGGAGTACATCTGGATCGATGCCCACGGCCATGTGCGATCTAAGAGCAAGGTACGCAATCTATATTCTCACCCCTTATCTCGGTCGAATGGCCTGCGTTCCTATTGATACTCTCGTGTCAGGCCCCTTCTCGGCGCATTACTAGTTGCGCGGGAATTGGCCGGAACCTACGTACGAGAGGACCCTGATTTTTCTGATCAACTCCCATGAGATTCAATTCGTGGGCTGTTGTCAGTTTGGGGCTTTTCTAGGCTCGTGGATCCCTGTTTAGGTCTTGACCGGTTCGAACTCGATGGAGAAGAGAACCGGCTTACTCCGACCTCGCCCACTTGGCACTTATCCTCTACACTCCCTATTGCCGAGAATACCCTCGACCCACAATGCTGCGAGCTGCAATTCTTTGTCGAGAGCGCGCCTTTCCGGCACCCGCTTAGCTGTGGCGCATGTGGGCAAGTGGGCAATCGGCGTCATCATTCGTATCCTACGCTTAGTGGCGACTACTATCATTATTCAATTCCACTGTACCGCTTCTTTTATGTCCTACGCCAGAGGTTCATTCACGTTTCAGGAGCGTGTGGTTGCGGATATATGCTAACTGTACATCCACATATCTAGACCATCACCTCGGTTCCTAAGGATGGTAACTTCAAGCCTGAAGATCTTCCCGTATGGAACTTCGACGGTTCCTCCACCGACCAAGCTCCGGGTGACAACAGCGATGTCTACCTACGACCCGTTGCGGTCTACCCCGACCCCATGCGAGGCGTTCCCAACATCCTAGTCCTTGCTGAATGCTGGAACGCCGATGGCACGCCCAACAAGTACAACTACCGCCATGAGTGCGCCAAGCTGATGGAAGCTCATGCTGAGCACGCTCCGTGGTTTGGCCTCGAGCAAGAGTATACTCTCTTCGACATGGAGGACAGACCCTATGGATGGCCCAAGAACGGCTACCCTGCTCCTCAGGGACCGTACTACTGCGGTGTTGGCGCTGGCAGGGTGATGTGCCGTGATATTGTCGATGCTCACTACAAGGCTTGCCTTTACGCCGGCATCAAGATCTCGGGCACCAACGCCGAAGTTATGCCTGCCCAGTGGGAATTCCAGGTCGGTCCCTGCGAGGGAATCGAGATGGGCGACCAGCTCTGGATGGCTCGCTTCCTTCTTCACCGTGTTGCCGAGGAATTCGGTGCCAAGATCTCCGTCCAGCCTAAGCCCATCCCTGGTGACTGGAACGGTGCTGGTCTCCACAGCAACTTCTCCACCAAGGAAATGCGCGTCGAGGGCGGCATGAAGGTATGATTAAAGGCGCTTACCGGTCATTTGTATCACTTACTAATAATTTGTATAGCACATCGAAGCGGCGATCAAGAAGCTTGAAGGCCGACACAAGGAGCACATTGCCGTCTACGGTGAAGGCAACGAGGCGCGTCTGACTGGCCGACATGAGACTGGCACTATTGACCAGTTCAGCTACGGTATCGCCAACCGAGGTGCCTCGATCCGTATTCCCCGAGAATGTGCCGCCAAAGGCTACGGCTACTTCGAGGACCGACGTCCGGCGTCAAACGCCGACCCGTACCAAATTACGGGCATAATAATGGAGACAATTTTCGGCGCAGCAAACTAGGAGGATACCCCTTTGGTAGTAATGATTTTGCTTTTAGGCGGAGCCTTAATTCGACATAGAACGGAGTCTCTAAGGACATGAATTGAAATGAATATACTTAATTTCTCTCACCTCAACTTAGTCTGCTTGTTTGATTAATCTTGCTATGGACACCTGGATATGATTGACTTGACCTTTGCCTCCTTGAGCGGTTGTATAATCGACCAAGGGTGGTATGAGTGGTCAGCCAATAGAATTGCAAAGCTGGGATATTTTATTGCCTATTTCGTACGCGCCCGCTTGCAACCTCCACATGCCGCTGGCAACCGCTGCGTCCAATGGGGTCACATAGACGGTGCTATCTGACGTCACACAGATCTGCCACTCACGCTTCTATTTGATGATCTGTACGTTCGTGCACTAGGTACGTTCCTACCTATGAGGTAGGTATGTCTGTATGCATGCTTGGACTGTCTGAGGCTTTAAGATCGGGATTTAATATGGGTTATAGATCCCTTCAGATCATTTACTTCCTACATGCCTTTTATCAGTTAAGAACTTTCCCATCACAAGGGTATCTTGGCGGAGTATCCACTTTAATAGTTTGCTTGTTTTCGGGACCCGGAGATATGTATTAGGTGGAGACCGATGGTGTGGACCTGTGCGTACCGCAGGTGGGTACGGCTTGCCCGTATTTCTTCTTAGATGGGATTTCGATGTTGACATCACGGCGTGGGAGAGCATTGCCGAAAGGGTTGGAGATCGAGACAGGTGGATACATGCCTAAGTGGGTAGGTAAGAAATGCATCAGGAACCTCGTTGCCGTCGGTAGTCATGCATTGTAACTCTGCAGTTACATGCTCCATACCTAGGTTATTGCTTATCTCTCTGGTTGAAAGCAACCCGTACCTGGGTCCGGAAGCCTTGTTTGCGATGATGCTATTTGGCAATCCTACCTTACATACCATAAGTATACGCTTTGTGGCTTTAAGAGGTGGACAGGATAATTCACAGCTTTGAAAGTATCTATTTCGGATTAAGTGTTGAATCAATAATAATAAAGTGTTCGAAGATAGATAGTACATCATTTTACACTACATGTAATATATGAATATGACTAGGCTACCTTTTATTAAAGTCGCAAAGTTACAGTTACCATAGACTTCGGTACATTAAATTTACTAAGCCAAATCTTCGACAATTAAATATCCTTGCGTCTTTCACACCTCCACCAGCTAGTAGTATTATTCCTAGTACTTACTACTGTGATGAAAGAAAATTTGTAAGTCAAACACTTAGCACTTAAATACTTACGAGCATGAAGATTTATTGCTGCTATTTTAACGATAAGATTGCTTAAGCTTTGATATAATTAGTACTTAATGATCGTCTTTCTAGAGACTCTTACTATACTAAATTACCTAAATATTATCATCTTGGGAAACAGATCATTATAGGTTACGATGTTGTCCATTAACCTACTCAAAACATGTACAATGCTTTAGCCTTGAAATGAATATCCTCTTCGCTTTTAGGACGTCGGGATGAAAATAATCTACAGCATGTATATTTCGACTAAGACATTTCGAGTCCAAGTACTCATCATATGGTGCAATTTACTCTTGTTATAAAATATATACATTCACCTTGCGTTAAATATGCCAAGACCTTGCATAATTACAGGGATAAGTTTTCGCTGCATACAACCGAACATGCCATTGACTCCAGCCCCCTAGATTTTCACGCTTCACAACATTATTGGAAGTGAACATCAAGATGAATGACAAATTATCTAGAAGTAAGTACTATCACTACACCAATTTATGTTAACTATAGCTGCCTATTGTGTGGCTGATACCCTTCTATAGAATTCAGTGAGACCGACATCGGTTTTATCGAGTTGAGTAACCCATCAATTTCTACACCAAGCCCAGGGGGCATTTTGACAGTGACACTTCATGAGGGCATTGGCCTTTCCGTGGCGGATAACTACAAGGAACGCCCTAACTGCGAGGAACATAATCACCATGCGGGGTGCCGCCCGCCTGTCTGTAGGCGGTGCCACTATCCGTATGCGCTTTTAGATTATGAAAAGTCTCAGGCGATTCTCGACTGTTACTGGGGGACAACCGAAAACCCTGTATGGATGTCACAGTTTGCTATATGCAAGTTTGACGTTTCAAGCTTTTCTGAGTTGACTATATATCTTTACATTCGGGATCCTAGTCCCTCTTCGGAGAGTCGGGATATTTGTCTGGGCGTAGCACGGGTAAACCCATTTGACAAGTCTGAAGCACATTGGCTGGAACTGCAAGATAGCATGGGGAAGCTACGCATCAGCTTTGAATATACGAACCCTGGAAATAGAATGTTAGAAGAGAGAGACTTCGAGCGTGGAAGACCCATCTTCAGTGTATCGACCTCCGGTATTATTAAGAAAGACACCCAGCGAGTATATGCTGAATCGAAGATTAGAACGACACAGCTTAATTCTAGGTCTAAATTGGAAAGTATATGGGATTACCAGGTCGGCCATCCTTTTATAGCGCCGCTCTCATTTGCTTTCGAATCATCAGAGGGGCTATCCCTCCTTTCCCCATATATCGGCGGCGGGCCCCTTTTCAGTCATCTTCAGAAGGATCGATGTTTCGATGTTGATAGATCCCGACTTTACGTGGCTGAGATTACCTGTGCATTAGAATATCTACACGATACTCGCAAGGTTTTCTCCTGGTTGAAACCCAGAAATGTCCTTCTTGATTTATTCGGCCATGTTGTTCTATGCGGCTTCGGCCTTTTCAATTATGATACCAAGAGCGGGAACCATGGGACACCTGAGTATCCAGCACCGGAATTGCTTCTTGGCCAAGTTGAATCCATGGCGGCAGACTGGTGGACATTGGGGGTCTTTCTCTACGAAATGCTGACAGGACTACCCCCATTCTATGACGAGGACCATAGTAAGATACGTCAAAAGATCCTCTCTCAACCTGTCCGGTTTCCTGACTCATTTGCTCCTATTGCTAAGGATATGATAACTAAGCTTCTTAACCGCAACCCTAAGCAGCGCCTAGGAGCTAATGAAGGTGCCTCAGAGGTCAAATCTCATCCCTTTTTTGACGGCGTGAATTGGAATAAAGTCCTTCGGAGGAAGTACACACCTGTTTTCCGTCCTAGATTTATTTCAAGTTCCTTCAAGCAATATGGCTTGAACACCCCTCCTGAGAAGAAGGACGATTTTGTATCTCTCTGGATACCTCCACTTGAATCCACCAAAGCCCCCGGAACTAGCAATCCTCCATCCCAGGAGTCCCGTCAACCAATTGCGCGAGAGGATGATAGTTGGGAATTAATATGGGATGAAGTTCGTTGTGAATTCGACTTGTACAATGGCTTCGCGAAGGCAAAAAGGCCAGTCCCTCCTCAACACACGGAACCCCTAAAGCATAACGAAGCAGTGGCAGATGAGAGCGCTGACCCTACTGTTCCTAGTCAAACCCAGAAGCAAGACGTACTCGAGGCAGCATTGCAAGCTGGACATGACCGCGTTGTTTTACAACTGTTAGAATATGGAATGGATTTGAACATAATGATTGGTGCCAAGCGAGTAAGTCCATTAGAATGGGCTGCGGAGAAAGGAAACCTCCCTCTGGTAAGGCTCTTCCTCGGCAAGGGGGCCGATGCAAAATTTCCGAGTTCTACCGTCCGTGGAATGCACAAAGGAGGGCCTGCATTAGTTAAAGCAGTGGAAAAGGGGAATCGAAAAATCGCCCAGACCCTGGTGCGAGCTACTGATCGGGTAGCTTCAACGAGAGCTCTGGGCCTCGCCGTGTATCAGCAGGATATCCCGATGGTCAAACTCCTGCTAGAAAATGACGTCCGTTGCGAGTTTGAAGAAGCAGATCGGCCTCTTCCTTGGGACCCCCAAGATAACGGCTGCTATTTCTTCGACCGAGAGGAATCCGAGGAATTCATACCCCCGCTCGTCCGTGCGGTTAAGAAAGGCAACGCGGACCTGGTTCGGTTGCTACTCTCATATGGGGCAGATATTAACGCTAGCTACCACGGTCTGGTTTGGGATCTATACGAGTATAACATAGGGAAGGACCCGATCTGGTTTTCATGCGGTCGGCCTGTTGAGTTGGCTATGGAGCTGGGACATGCCGAAATTATTGGATTGTTGCTTGACAGTGGCGCCGATATCAATCTCCCACGGCCTAGCTGGCCTGTGCCGGGACATGATTGTGGATTAGTGCCAAGGCTAGTATATCAGAAGGTTACGGCGCGCTTAAGACAGGCGCTGGCGTTAAGGTACGATGGCGACCCATCTGTATCAAGTATGTGAGATCTTGTTTCTCAATAACAGATTCTGGTAAAAGCGTTGATAACGATCATATAAATTTGCCGTTGATCAGGGTTAGACCGCTGATCTAAACGCAACCAGATTTCTATTATGTTAACCCCGCGTTGCTTTTTGAGAGATCTGCCAATGCCACCTTCTCATCGCTAAGTACATACCTCCATCATGTAGTTGTACATCAATCTTGATCTCATTGCGGTATACGAAACGACTGGCATTCAGTTGATCCGCGCCAACAGAGTCTGAAGCGGCCCGAGCCAGGTCTTTTGATATATTTTCCACAGATACTAGGACGAAGCATTCATCTACGCTTGTATTATAATGGAACTTTCCCAAGCAGCGAACAACGGAAACGCCATCCTAGCTATCCTCAGTTCTCCGGATGATACATTCCATATAGCCACTATACAGTTTCACTCACCAGACTTCATTCCTCTGGAACTGTATTCACAACCTTGCCGTTTTCTATGTACACAGTCTCCCAACCGACTTTAACATGTCCTTTGGAAGGATCAATCCATCCAACTTCTATATCGCCTCCCTTCCCCCGGTAGTCAGGGTCGCTTATGATTGCTTTCATTTCGTCGAAGTTGCGGACATAATATGTACGAGTGAAATAGGCCTCCAGTATTGACCAGTCCGGACGAATCATGGCAAGCGCTAGGCCAAGTTGACCGGCAAAAGATGAGGGGGTGATAGTCTATATGCTAGTTGGAACTCACATCTATTATAAGCACGATTATGGAAGAAAGACGTACGGATGTGTAGCGAACCACGTCGTGCCTCTTCATAATACCGACCCATTTAGGAGTACTAGAATAGTGAAACACCATTTAATATGAGTATGAGGTATTTAGTCGGTTATAATCATCTGGCCCAATATGTCGTTTACACTTCTAATGATATCTCCTGTGGCCTTAGGGGTAATCACGTGCTGATATACGGATTACTTAGGTACATACTGTATCCTATCTGGGAGTGGGTCCGTCTTTTGTAATCATGCAGGGTGGCTGTGCTTCATTAAGGATAGAAGAGTGGAGTTCGTATCTGGCATCTGGCATTGGCTAAGCCACGCAATTGTACAGACAATCAGCCCTGGAGATTTACATACGGCTGATTCTTGTCTGCGACATCAATCTTTTCTGTTTCGAACATACTGCTGGGACATTACCCTGTTATCAACAATCAATATTCTTGTCGTCGCACTGGTGTATACTGTATACGATATAGAAACTTAGTGCTTCCATGTCCGATTGAACGTTAATTTCCGAGACCGAGCGACGAACTTCCCGGCTGCCCCGGGTTTTGAGTCCCTCATTAGACGGCGGACGTAAACTCCAGGCCCCCCCCGATCACAGTTCTATCGCGAATTACTCGACGCCTTCTCTTCCCCCTTCGCCCCCTCGATATCTCATAAAACCAAAGTATCTCAGTAGTCCATAATGGACGACTCGTCGCCTCCCGAGAGTATCGACAACACCAAGGAGAAGAAGAAGAGCAGAAGACCCGCGAATACCGCGTTTCGCCAGCAACGATTGAAGGCATGGCAGCCAATCCTCACGCCCAAGACGGTCATTCCGCTCTTCTTCGTCATAGGAATTATATGCGCACCTATTGGTGGACTGTTGATTTATGCTAGCTCTACAGTATGACATGTCTTCTTTCGCGAACGTCTGGATCACTGCTGACTGCTGCTTGTCTTCAAGGTTAAAGAACTTCGCATCGATTACACCGACTGCTTCCGGGATTCTCCTACCGACGAAGCTAGACTGATGGACACGAGTTTGGTGTTTCCGTCTTTCAAGGATAATAATACAATCAACGCCATGTGGCAGCACTCTTTAACTAACCAAACTTACGGCAACTACCTTGTTCAGAATCTCACCAAGTGCACTCTGACATTTGCGATACCTGAAGAGATGGCCCCGCCCGTTCTTCTCTACTACCGCCTTGAAAATTTCTACCAAAATCATCGCCGCTACGTCCAGTCCTTCTTTGATAAACAGCTTGCCGGCAATGATGTCTCACTTACCGATGTTTATGATTCCAACTGCGAGCCCCTGGCTACAACTAATGGTACACACCCGAATTCGAGAGCCTATTATCCTTGTGGCCTGATTGCCAACTCGTTATTTAACGACACTTTCCAAAGCCCCATCTTTTTGAACCCACCAGGTTCAAATGGCCCAGAGGGCAACGAAACTTATGTTATGAAGAACACTTCGATCTCCTGGGAATCGGATAAAGAGCTATATAAGCCTAGGGTGAGCACCGACTATAGCAACATCGTCCCGCCCCCTAACTGGCAGATCCGGTACCCCGATGGCAACTATTCTACTGAAAACCCCCCGCCCAACTTGCACGAAGACGAACACTTCATTGTGTGGATGCGTACAGCGGGTTTGCCGACTTTTAGCAAACTATATATGCGGAACGATACGAGCCCTATGAGAATGGGTACCTATTCTATGGATATTATTGATAGTAAGCTATCCCTGCGTATTTTAACCGTAGCCTTGCATGAACCCACTAACACATCAAACCAGATTTCCGCACGGATCAGTACCAGGGTAGGAAGAGTATTGTCATCACAACGCTGTCCGTCATGGGCGGCAAGAACAACTTCCTAGGTATACTGTGGCTCGTTGTCGGTGGCTTCTGTATTGTATTAGCATTAGTGTTCCTCATCACGAACCTTATTAAGCCCCGGAAGCTCGGTGACCACACCTATCTATCGTGGAACAACGCCCCATCATCCGCGGCCGCGAAGGGCAAAGGCAAGGCGTCCGGCCCAACGATAGGTATGGCGACCGGTCGCGATATGTCGTAGGGGACGAATTTGCGCGGGCTGACGCCTGTTGAGAGCACGGGACGGCGGAGTCGGAATGGTTTAACTGTGGAAGCGGCGCAGGAGTCGCCGACGGAGTTGTCTGTACTGACGTCTGAACCTAATACTCCCCCAGGAGGCGAGACTAGATCAGGGGAATCCGGGTTCCCGTTACCCTATCTATCAACGTCGCGATCTCGACGAATATACGGTGGCGAGACGGTTGGTGAATCTTCTCGAGCAGGGGCAGAACGGAATTCAAGATGAAAAAGGTCTTATTTCTATGAAGAAAGCACGACGGGTATGACACGGGTTTACATCACTTCTTTCTCTTTACCTCTCTTCCATTTTCTACAGTATTTCGGGGGACAGGCATAGATATGGAGACAATGCCTTTCCTACCTAAACTATTTGTATGAGTACGTCTAGCATGCTGCTACCGCCGCCGTTTTCCAAAGGGCGGCTAGCACATAGCCAAACAGCAAGCACTGTCTGGGAGTTCTGCGGCGTTTCTGGTTGCGGTTATTGCTGACTTCCATTTTATTTATGTTCTTTTGATTTGAGGTTGACACCCCCAGCTGATACAATTGAGTCGCGTGTTCGTTAAGGTACTTAGCGGTTTCTATGAGGGCTTGGTAGAAATAAAAATCATCAGAGGATATCTACTATGCATCATCGTTAGTTATAGTGGCTATCTATACCTACCTAACCTAGGTAGGTATGCTTGTGAGAAATGTAGAGTTGGAGGTGTTAAAATCCGATGCGAATTGGCGATATTGTATACAGACCGGTTAGTATGTAAATAACTCCTACGTAGCCACAGTATTAGTAGCAACATACCCTATAGAACCTATAGAAGGGAATTCCTAATAATTGCATCACTGCACCATAAAGCAAATACATATATAATAGCACACGATGCGATTCGCGTTCCTACCTAAGGTAGCTAAGAGCAGGGATCACCATTTCCCATACGTATCTCCCCCTTTTCTTCTTCTACCGTAGCCTTTGTCGTCTGATAGTATAGATCTGGATGTGCCTGTCCCGTGGTGCTTCTTCGTTGAAGCCCTTTTGTTTTACATGACAATAATATACAATCCTCTTTGACTGCCCTTTTAGCAACTATTTACGATGCCGGAGAGTCTACCCAGGGCTCAGAAGAGTCTAACGGCTAGAGTGTGTTCCAGTGCTCAAGCTTACGATTTTTTTTACTCACTCCTTCCGCTTGCTTCGCCTCGGCAGCTAGGACTATGTGGCCTCCTCGACCTTGGTTTTCTTGGTCTCTTCCTCACCTGGCGCAGTATCCTCAGCCTTGCGTTTCCCATTCGTCGCCTTCACTTGCTCGGTTTCGGATTTGGAGTCATCTTTAGCCTTCTTGCGCACTAGCCCGGATACGTCTTTGGCACCCTTCTTCGCCTCCTCGAGCCTCGCTTCCTTATTCGCGCTCGACTCGCCTAGCGCTGTACCGAAAACTCCGAGCATGGTGTCATCAGATGCGAGAATCGAGTTGACGTCCATGGGGGGTTTTCGGAGCTCGACAAGCTTTATTGGTAGTAGTTAGTCTTATTTGTCACATCATTCTCATACCGCGACACTAGGGAGTGTACGGGGAAGTGAAAAACTCACCCGTTGCTCCATGTCCGCGATCAATTCCTTAACCTCGGTGATCTGCTTCCGCGTGGCGTCGTTATCCTCAGGCGCGTGGAGCATCGCGAGATCGACCTCTTTGGCGTCAAGCTTGAGTTTTGTGCTCGCGATAGCCTTCTCTAACTCTTCAGCTGCTTCTTTTCGTAAGTTCTCGTCGACTGGTTTTGGTCCCGCACCGGCTTCGTCTTCGGCACTTGAGGTGACGGACGCAAACTCAAGAGCTAACGAAAGTTTGAAGTGCGCTTCGGCTATCACCTCTGACTCTTGAGAGTAGAGACCCTCTTTATACTTTAGAGAGGCACGGCAATCGTTGATTGCTAGTGGGTACCTGTGCCACTGTTAGTACTGGTAGACGAATAACGATGATGAATAAGTGAGTTATCATACTTCTCGTTTTCAAGGGAGATCTCTGCTAGAAGATCGTGGGTATCTGCAAGTCGTTCCTTGATATGCTTGATGGCAGGGTTATCCTCTTCAGCCTTCTCCTTTCCCTTCCCTTCTGAAGAGTCTTCATCTTCTCGCTCCAAAGATTTCTCGAAAAGCACACGTGCTAAGTCCAGGATCTCAAACGCGACAGCTAGATCATCGTCTTCTTCATCTTCTTCCTCGCCTTCAGCCTCCTCCTCTTCTTCCGAGTCCTCAAACTCCTCGTCACCTGTAAATTGGAAGAGCGGTTTCTTGGCATCGGATACCTTTTCACTCTCATTTCCATTCTTAGAAACAAGAGCAACCCCTTCCTCTGCCTTGGTCTTCTGGTCCTTGGTCGCATTGGTAGTTGACACTTCGGCCTGTGATTTTTTCCCCTTCGATTTCTTGTCTGCGGCACCATTGGACTTCTTCTCGCCAGCAGGCTTGCCACCTAAGACGTCGCTCTTGCTCTGACCAACCTTGAAGAGACTGCGACCGTAAAGAAACAGAATATCCGCATTTTCGGGGGCCATCTCGCCATTGATCTCAGCCTGCATTTCGGTAGCTTGGGAAAAGACTTCGGCTGCGTCCTCGTACTTCTTCTGCGCATACAGCGCATTCGCCCTAGCCGTCAGGTCAGCTAGCGACACGTGCAAGGACTTGGCGCGCTCGTCGGGGTCCATAGGAGGTAGAGACTGGGGAGTGCCGGCGGCTGATGCGACAGCTGATGGGACGGCTGATAATATCGGAATATCAGTCGGAGTTGGCTCTGCCATTGTGATGGTAGTTGTATGAAATTGTTATGGGATTGTAATTGTTATGATGGAGCTTTGTCGAAGTTGGAGATATCGCGAAGTGGAAGTCGAGAGCTTGTATGATAGCGTTCTATCAATTATAAGGTATAAGGGTATAGGCTAGGTATGTATAGATAATAACGCGATCTAGAATATAGTGGTTGATATTTGCGCTGATAGATGCGAATGGTGCGAAAAGGTGAGGTCAGGTGTAGTTGTGGTTTCTTTCTGGTGGTGGTGGTGGTGATGGTGATGGTGATGGTGGTGGTGGTGTGGTAGGTGAGGACCGTGAGGTGCGGGAGAGTGACGCGATTACCGCATGGCAGACCTGCCCACAAGCTACGAGGATAGAAGCTACGGCGTGAACCGCGTCGAGTTACGGCTAGACGGGGCTCCGCAAAGCTTGGGCCAAGGTATTAACTATTAACTGCTTACCTCATACACTTCCCTAACTAGCACTTATCTAAGCCAAGTTAGATCTGTATCTACGTCACTGTATATACTCACTTCGGATACTGTACATAGTAGAGATCGAATATCACAATTCACGTGATATTGCCAGCTTGCCAGCTTTCGGATTTACATACTTAGATCAAGACAAATCTTACGAAATTTGGTAAAGAAGCAACGCATTTTAAAACCATAAGGATTTGTGATTGGAAACCCTGGCAATCCCCACGTTAACAGCTTCGTCTTCGTCTTCGTTCTGTTGACATTACTCATAAAAATGATTCAATACGACATCGTAAAAATCATCCCAGCTTTAATGAAACTGGAGATGTAAATAGGCTTTCGTAGGTTAAGAATGTTATACTCATCCCTCCTATCTCGTATATGATAGGTGTATCATCAAACTAAGCGCTTGGCGCAGAAAGAATCATGACGCACAGGTATTTTCTCCCCAGCTTTTACGAAGTATATTGAAAACTACCTAAAATAATAACTATTAGGTACATGTACCTACCTACCTATATGTAGTTAGGGTTAAATGTCAAACCTTAACAACGTCAAACTCAATGCCCAGTGACGGGTGGTGTTGAGTGTTTCGATGCCGTGTATGACTATGACGTGCAACTTTTGAAAGCTAAGGGTTACTCTGCTTTTGAGAAATGGAAATTTGGTTAAGATAATTATTTAAGGCGGTAACAGAAATATTTAATACTATACTTTATCCGTATGAACCCCTTATTCATATAGATGATCCGATTGTGTAACCCCAAAGACGCAAATAAACAGCATATGACATAATCTAGCAATCGGTAAGGGGTACGACTGGCGGTTGAAACTGATGATACGGGGATGACCGGGGACAACTGAGACCGTGGGTAGCACGGCATTAGTGTGATATGTAAACTGCCAACCCGCCTTGCCGCCTCATTACTTCTTTAATTAGCATTTTAAAAGATAGGAATGGAAAGTATAGAGGCAGATCAATCCGACATACGCGCACAAATTGAACATTTGCACACCTATAAACTTGCATGTATCAATCAAGTACGAAAAAAAAAAAAATTTTTAAATATGATTTTACAGGCATACGACCTAATGGGGTTTTGCTGATGCACTCCTAATTTCTTGTCATTCGTAGGACGATACGAGCTGATGCCAACAGAAATAACTAACCTACTCAGGCATTACCTATCCGTATTTGTATCCCCACTTTGAGAGTACGACCGCAGATCTAGACCGGTTACCCGGCCTAATCAATACTCGTTGCAAGGTGTTCTTAGATATTTTTTTTATCTTACCACGCAGCACGCTAAGCAATACGCTATGTATGCAGTATTAGCTACCTACACTTGTTAGCACTTGCCGTACTATCTAAAGTGCCTTCGTACCTCTTACCTCTTACCTCAGGTAAGTCAATCTAGGTACATATGTACATATGTACGTATATTCTGTACATGTAAGTAAGCGCAAACCTCCACTTGCCTATCCAAAAGATCCAGATCGTATTCTTTTTTTCTCTTATGTCCCTTTCAACCTCTCCTTTGACTTGTGGTTATGATTTCTAGGTTATTTCCATCCCACCTGGGACTTCTTCTTTTTGGGCTTTCTCGACCCCGTTGTTCTTCACTGCACGTAACAGTTACCCAGATCCTACGTTAATTCTCACAAGCCTTCGAGCCTGTTTAAGTGGAATTGCCTTACCAATGTTTTCGCCCTTTCGCTCGTCTCGATAATTCCCCTCTTCCTCTTAATGCCACCCGCCTTACAACAATCAAGGCGCCTGCTATTATCATGATTGTCCCACCCAGCTCTCGCCGGCTTAGGGTCTTTGGCGGCGTTGCCATCCTGACCTTAATCGCGACTTACATCCACATTCGTTCGCAATGGGATGTATCCTCATTCGGATATGCTCGTGATTATTACAAGAGCGTCACGAGCTACTTTGGTAGCTCAGTATACAACAACACGTTGTATACCGAAGGGAATGAGGAAACGGTCAACCAATATTACAACGCCAGCAACCCTTGCGCCAACTTCCCCAATACCGACGGCATACTCCTGGTAATGAAGACGGGCGCAACAGAAACCTTCGACAAAATGCCCGTCCATCTTCTGACAACAATGAACTGTCTTCCCGACTTTCTCATCTTCTCTGACATGGTGCGATGCCTTATATCCTATTTTCGTTTTTAGTATCGGTATCGAAACGACGTCATAACTCAAAATATTCAGGGATACTAATCGGATCGTAGGAACAACAAGTTGGACCATACCATATCCACGATGCCCTCGCCGAGGTTGACGAATCCGCAAAGGCCCACAATGCTGATTTCGACCTCTACCGTGACCAAAAGGAATGTCCCGTATCGCAGAAGTCATGCGTTGATGCGAAGAGGGACGGGCAAAAGGCGTGGAATTTGGACAAGTACAAGTTTCTCCCAATGATGGAACAGACTTGGAGGATGCGCCCAGGCCGAGACTGGTATATATTCGCCGAGGCTGATACCTATATCTTCTGGGCCAATATTGTACACTGGCTGAAAACAGAGTCCGGCTTAAACCCTCGTGAGAAGCTCTATCTCGGTAGCCGAAGCTTTATTGGGGGAACTCCATTTGCCCATGGAGGTTCCGGATATATACTTAGCGGGACGTTATTGAAGCATTTGATTGAATATCACCCAGGCGTGGTCAAGCAATATAATGTCAAAGGGGCTCATGAATGTTGTGGCGACTTGATGCTGGCGCAGGCCTTGGAAGAATATGAGAAGGTTAAAATCCGGCAGGTTTGGCCCATGATCAACGGTGAAAAGCCGAGCACACTTCCTTATGGACCTGGCCATTGGTGCGAACCGATTTTTACTATGCATCATATGAATGCGGAGGAAATCAGTAACGTGTGGCAGTATGAGCAAACACGCAAGACCGATGTAAGTATGCGGTTCTGTCTCCCCTCTTCCCTGATCGCCCTGATCCTTTCCTGTCTGATATCGGGTAAATCACGCGTGAGTTTCGAAATTAACCGCTTGATAGCGCGTTCTTCTGATCAAGGACATATACGATGGCCTGATTCGACCAAAAATGCAGGTAACGCGAGAAAACTGGGATAACCTCTCAGATGATGTGTGCTACCTCAATCCAGATCCCGAGGCTCAACAACATGCGGACGGGCATTCACGCGACAGGCAGAAGAAAGAAGGGGAGATGAACGATGTTGAAAAGGAGGCATGGAAATCATGGGAGAACTGTGCGAAGGTCTGCGAGTCCCAGGATGTTCCAGATGAAGAAGAATGGGATATACGAGGAATCATAGAACGCGAAGGCAACGCCCCTAGCACTGCTAACGACACGGAGGTCGCTGAAGATACTTCACCCAGCGATGCTGCAGCCCGGGAAGCGTGGAAGAAGGCCATGAACGAGAAGAAGCGGAATCGATCCTGCTTCCAGTACCGCTGGCACGAGGATATATGCTGTACGGCAAAGAGCTTCAAATTGGGTGCGCCTAAGATGCCGCCTGATAATGGCGACGCTAAGGCCAAATGGATCAGCGGTTGGCACTTGAAGGGCATCAACGACTGGATTGACGCAATGGGGGAGTGCAAAAAGCCTGCCTGGAAGACGCCCGAGTCTTGATCAGTTTCGCTTGGAGATAAGTCTTGGCACCGGAAAGACGAGCAACGTTTTCTACACCTTTGCAATATTACGAAACTAATAGAAGGAATATCGGACCGGAGGAACCGGAGAGATTTCATCATGGCCTATATTTGTAAAACATGGACGGTTTCCGGCGGTCAGGTCTCAGTGAGGATATCACAACACGGCGTTCTTGGCATTTCGCGGGCGGGGGCTCGGGGAGCAACCCATCATATAGAATTCGCGGAGCTTAGGATGATATGAGCTTTTGCTTAGGTTAGCATAGTTCATACTATCAATGAGGATATTTGCATTGTCTCGGACCGACCAACAGCTGCTGGAACAGCGTCGTTTTCGTTTATTCTGGGGTTTTTGTAGTGGAGACCCTGGTAGAGGACTAAAAAAAGCTACTATTCATCGTCTTTGGTTGATATTGAATACCTACCTGGAGTAGGTTAGGTACCTAAGGTATTGACTATTGAATAGAAATGATTCTCGGTTTTTCATCATCGAAGAAAGTAGAGTTTCAGCTCTCGGTATGGAAGATAGGTACCTAACGTAGCCATAGGTACCTAGGTAAGTAAATAGTTTAGACTAGCGGTATGGTCAGTTACCTTCAATACCACCCCTATTGCCCCACGGACCCCCCATGTGGACGAGAATGACGGTTTTACCATTCCGGGCACTGTCGCCCGCGCTGGTTGGCTGGCCCAGGCGATGTGAGTCTAGGTAAATAGGCTTGACCCGGTAGTGTACTATCGCAGGATTGCAACGTCTTGGCGCGTCCACCACTACCTAACGTATGTATTGGACGCTGCGAAAGGTCCCGTTGCTGAGGCTTGCACATGGGTGTTGCTTGGACCGTGTTCCTAGTGGTTAGCTTGCGCTGCTATAGATTCTAGATCTGCTTCGACGGGATTGATTGGGAAACGTGCGGAGGCGTGGAATTTGTGAAGTGGATCTATCGCGGCGACTTGAATCATAGTGTATATTCACTAGAGGCAGGACAATCTGGAGTAGACGATTATATCATTAGAGTGGTGGCTTACTGTGCCCAATTATGGTAAGAATCTCTGGGCTTTACATCTGCCTATGAGTTCATATAACTGACTCCCGTGGAAATAACCTGTGGAAATATCTACCGTACTTTGAATATCTTCCAATATCTGCCTTCATCACTGCTTGTATTAACTATATGCGATATATTGACCCCTCCATCCGGTTTCTGTAGCGCAAAATTAAAACTCAGTAAAGACGCACGACACGAATAACTATACGGTTTCCTTGCAAATCCAATTTTGGAATCCACTTTCGATAGTTGGTTAATATATTCCCAAAAGCAGAAGTCTGGAACGTCCTCTACGTAAGAGTCTTCTGTTATAATAGCAACCTCCCCTTGTCTATATTGGGGTTATCTATACCATTTAATGGGTTAGGTTTAGCAACCGGGACCGCAAAGGAGAGCTTCTCGTCCTCGGGCGTGTCTACAAATTTAACATCTACTTTTGATGTTAGGAACGGTCCACCTGAGATGAAATTGAAAGAGTGCGATTTATCACAATAGCTGAGGAAGAGGAAGATAGAGGGCAAGGGCTAAATGGATCAGGACGAACTCACCCCGAACACTCCATTCGTCTTCAGTACCCGCTGCCTTGCTGCCGTTGATACCCCTTTTTGTCACCGTGCCGAATGTGATTTTACACCGCGCGACATGGTAAACATACTGCCAGCCCTTGGTGGTGTACTGGGGTCCGCGGAGACAATAGCCGTTGTAATCAGAACCTGCGTCTATCTTAAAGAGATTGTCCTGGCCGAAGGTGTTGAGGGCGCACACTATAATCAAGTAAATATCCCTGTGAACTGCTATGGCCGGATAACCTGTAGTATAAGGGAGTAATAGAAGTTTGACTCACAAACCGAGTCCCACCCAGAAGGCCCTCTGTAGGATTTGGTAACAAACTCGCGGCCGGTTGCACCCCACCACTGGCTTGCATCGGCCGTGTCCTCGACGAGCGACCAAGTGTAGTTACGACGAAACAGCCAGGATGTCTGGGGTTCCGGCTGATCCATGCCGTCAGGTTTAGGTTGGACGTTGAAATACTTTACCGGTCTCTGTTGGTTAACACTCGCTTTTTTGTCCGTGATCGTAGTCCACCAATTAGTGTCGGCCCTCCACCTGCGCCAATTGTCGACTTTCTGTGAATCGTCTAGGCCGAGGGTTGGGTCCAACCGGCCCCAGTTGGTTGATAAATCGCCTACTATCTCTTTGTATTCCACGCGTTAGCGATCTACCTACCGTATCATCCACTTACACTGTAGGTAGGTAGGTAGGTAGGTAGTTATGAGAATTTATCAGCTTACTCTGGCATGAGCTTCCAGCCCAACCTCCATTCTGGTATCCAGGAACACAAGTAGCCGAGCGCTCGTTACTCGGTAACCAGTCGCCCCCTTCCTCTGTTGATGCCCAAGGCGCCTCGTCGCATTCGAGCAAGGGGGTCGTCCTTGCTATGGAACTGCCGTCACGGCCTGTAGCATCGATTAGTTGCTGCTGGGCGTTTTTACAGTAGCCAGAAGGGCACTGATAGTTTCGCCGTTGTGTATTGCGAATGCTGTTAGTCGAGTAGGTTAATACTGTGGGGCGCGGCGACATCGTCTTCCAGCCGTCGCACATGCCTTGCTGTAGATACGACGGTCCGGACCCAAATGGTAGTACCTGCACAGGGCCGAATAGGTCGCAATTGAAGCGAAGCTCTGGCAGTCTTACGTCTGCTGATGATCCCGGAGGACAGCTGAGCTGCTGGGTGAAGTCAGGGGTCTTAGGAGACAGACCGTCATCGTCATCATCGGTTCGTGGTAGTAAGCTGAGACCAGACCCGATGGTTATGTTTTCGCTGACATCGTGCGGCTCTTTAAGCCCCCTCTTTGAATGAAGCGGAATCTCGCCACTTATAGGACCATATATGTTTATGCGCTTGTCCGGCGTAAATGCTTGTTGGGGACCTGTTGCCTTTGAAGAAAGGGATGTAAATACTTACATTTTCAAATAAGAGGGAGAAAAAAGACCTACCCAGTTAACAAGGCCCAAGGTAACGGCCGTGGCCTTGTAACCTATGTTATAGAAGGCGTAAACACCATAGCTGTACTGGAAATTCCCCGTATTGGTGTCCGCCTGGCCCGAGGCCTGGAATGAAAGGTCACCCATGAGGTATCCTGTAAGCTGCGCGTCCATAATTGTCGCGCTCACTAGACTTCCACCGCCAATCTTTATCCCGATATTGGCTTCGGGCGTGATGATGACATCCAGTTGTGCATCGAGCTCTACACCCGCCTCGAATGTCGGCGCAATCGTATCAGGGTCAGGCCCCAGAGCTGTATCATCAAGACCGAGCAGCTGTTGAGCACTCTTGCTCTCTGCGGCATCCGAGGGCCAATACACTTCGGCTTTGTCAAAGTTGAGAAGTGCTCCGGCGTTTGCTTCGCCATGTATGGTAATCTTTCCTCGAATCTAAAATCCATGTCAGATTCCATGTAACAAAGGCTTGACAGCTTGACTACCTAGATACTAGGAAAATCTTACTTCTCCGTAAACATCCAATGTAGGTCCAACGGCGGCAATGCCTTTGACTGCCAAGCCGGGATATGCAAGCGTGTCGATGATCTTCTTCCTGCCTGAGGTGTACTGCATCACGGCATTGCCAACCAAGTGAAGGCCGACGTATGCTGAAGGCTGCATGCCTAGATACGCGTAGACTTCGGGACTCTTGGGAGGAATGAACTGGCCCTGGAAGTAATATGCATAGGTGGCGTCCATCTGGATCATAGCTTCCAAATCCATCCTCAGATTTGCTGAGAAGGTCTGACCTGGGCATCCCCATTGAGCTGAGAATAGATTGATGGTATCTCTCCAGGCTAACGGGATTACGCCCAGGTCAGACTTCTCGACGGTAGTCAACTTCTTGACCCAGCCTCCAATGGCTCCCCACCACCTGTGAATATAATCTTGTTAGTTCTCTTAAACTTGGGGTTTCCGAGAGGATAATGATGAAAATTTAAGGTGGAGATCAATAAGAAAGGAAGGGAGGGGGGTGAGAGAAACCGTGGAAGATTCCTATGACAATAAAGCCATTTTGTCTATTTCCACTATTGGCAAAAGAAAAGTGAGAACTGAGTATAAGGGAGTATATAATAGAGTCTCATGGGTTATTGTGATAGGGGGATAGGGGTTATGATGGAGAAACTGGCCCTATAAGATCACTGACCTTTTTTCAACAGAGAGGGTAGCAGCATCCGCATTACCATTACCACAACGAGCAGCAATGGGATCCATAGGAGCGGTGACATTAATTGGAGTTGATCTCTTCCTTACGGCCCTGTCTCTCTCAGCTGCTCGCTTGACGCGCGACTGCCAGCTTGGCATATTACTCCTTTTCTTGCCAGGGTCAGCGGCCTCCACTTCATCCCAGTACCCCAGCAGATTCGTGTAGTCAACGCGAAGATAGACCGGCTGGTCATCGCGCTTAGGGGTTATAGCTAAGAAGTTATAATCAATCTTGATCTCATAAACAGGATTCGTGTTGTGGATCCCTTGCAGAGCGCGGTGCTTGATGTGGTGAGCGGGAAGACCGAAGCCTTTTTTGTCCGTCTCAAGTTCTCTGATGGAAACAACACGAGCAAAGGGTCCCTCGCCTATATAATCTGGCATCCGGATAATGGTATCCTCGGCTCCGTCGATCCAAAGACGATTGCATTCAGCTGATCCCGCGGGGAAGTTGCAATAGAACTGAAACGTTTCCTCGGTATGATCAAAGACGGTGTCCATGACGGTCTGGTTGTAAGTTACGAGTGACCGCTTGACGCGCGGTATAGCGGCCTCCTTACGGACAATAGTGTTTGTAGTAGAGAAACTACTGTCGATAGAGCCTTCCGGCCCATCAAGCATCAGGAAGCCGTAAGCATCGGTCCCATCTTCGGAGCTTGACTGGCCATCATCCTTGTTATTGTTAGTGTACTCGTCACTATACTGCCACACCACGTCCGAATCCCCGGGGGTGTTATAGTATGTCTGGAAGACCTTCTCGGGGTCAACAGGCCACTTCTTGTTGTATTTGCTTTGTAAGTCACAACATAGCGGATAGCTCCTGTCTCTTCCTGGCGGGGCAACAACACCATCACAGGAAACCGGGAATGTTGAATCAATCGCAGGCGATGGGGGTGGATCAAGAGCAGTTCCGATCTGGATTTTGTTCTTTCCACATGGCGAAGGCATACATACATGCTCAGGGTCCAATATTCCGACATTATTAGACCAGTCGCAGTTAGTCCAGGCCTGTTTCTCTGGACAGCACAGCGCGCTTCGGAAGCTACCGTGGACTGGGCTCCCTTTAATCCCACCAACAGGGGAGATGTACGTATCCGAGCACCATGGCGTGCCGTCAGGTTTGTCTAGCCGATATCCCTCGAACGTGTAGCCGTCATTACACTCTGGGTTGGTCAAGATCGGTCCCTGGCAAGGGCTCCAGTAGCAGTCTGATATCAGCTCGGTAGAGTCACAGCAGAGAGAGCGTGTGCCATAGTAGCAGCTTTTCTCTCCCTTTGCGTCCAAATAACTGTCCGCATTGAGTTCAAACTGGGTGCTACCGCAGGATCCCGAGCAACCAATCTCGCTGCGTTCAGGGGCACCTACCCAGCGGCAATTCTTGGGGAGGGCATCTTTCGGACAGCAGATATTCCGCCACCAACCCTCACTACACTCTCCGAAGTAGTCATGACCCTGAACTTGTCTGGGCGTGTGAGCCGCAGATACGGACTATGCATGCAAGAGATAATGTTAGTAGTTTATCTTTACGGTGTCTTTCGGCTATTTTGAGTATTTTAATGCCATATAAATAGTGTAGCTATCACGAGTAAAACAAATAAAAGACGTCAGAAAGAGGAAAGAGACATCTGAATACTGACCTGATATCCACCTGGGCAGACCTGCTGAGGGCCTTGCTCTTTGGGACTCCCATCCGTACACCGTGGCGTCACGAAGCAATTCTGTCCAGTATATGCAGCAAACTGGTCGGCAAGTTGGGCCGTCGCCTCGGGGCTTAGGCCGCTGCCCTCAAGTTCTAGCAACGAGGTGTCTCCCATTACGCCATTATAAGCTTCAAATCTTGAGTTATCCTGGTCCAAGGCCCAAATCATTAGACCGCTCAAGCATCTCTTGGAAAGAAACGCCTTTTTGTCATGCCATGACTCCTCGTCGTCATACGAGATCCACTGATCACCGTCATATACGTTGAATTTGACCGTCGTGGTAGAGTTGTAGAACGTTTGTATATCCACTAGCAAAAGTTGTTGTTAGTAATGTCTTCCCATAGCTAATATTTTGTGCCAGCCCCTAAACATGGGTTTGGAACGAGTCCAGAGATGACTTACAACTGCCATTACGTGCCGCAATCTCTTGATAAGTGAGAATGCCCACCGTATTGGAACAGGTACCGGCTCGGCCACCCGTAGCAAACTCACAATCGCCGTTAGGTTCGTAACAATTAGGGTCAGCCATGGTGAATGAGCGCCCATAGAAACCCATACCAAATACTACCTTGGCGGGATCGACGCCATTGCGCCATAGAAGATCGAGCCCTAAGTCGATCTCGGAGATGTCTGTATGTCCCTTAAGATATGGCCCAGTCCACTTATTGTCATGATCCCAAGTACCATGCTAATAGTAGAAAGGAAATCTGATATCAGCATAAAAGTTTAACTACTTCCATTTTCTATATCTTTAAGATATTCGAGATAAGGAACGGCGTGGTGAGCTACTCACTAAATCGTATGACATTAAGTTGAACCACGAGACATATTTTTGCATATTCTTAACGTCGAACCCCCGTAGATACCAGTAACTGGTCGGCAACGTTACCGAAATGGTCCACCCAGGGTTTTCCGAGTCGAATGCATCACGTAGATCCGATACCAACAGCACAAAGGCGTCTGCATCCGAGGGGACGCCACCACGATCACTCGCAGAGGGATATTCCCAGTCTATTAACGGGTTATACTATTAGTAGCTGTAGCTGAATTCGAAAACGCTAAGCTTACCAAGATCAATGCCGTCCAACCCATACTTTTTGAGAAAGTCGACGACAGAGCTAATGAACATTTGTCGGTTCGTGTAGTCATTGGCCACTAGTATGGCTGGTTAGACCACTCACATAAAACGCTCTTTGTAAACAAGCTTCATTCTTGTAACTCACTATGTGACCAGAGAGCTTGGTCAGGAGGGTCATTAAAGTCCCATCCTCCAACTGATATGCAGACATGTAGCCCTGGATTGTTGACCTTTAGAAGCGACGCGCGGTATATGAGGCTTCCGTCGCCTGTCTGTAATTTAAAGTCGTCCCCAAAATTGACGAAAGCTAGGTTCAAGTGTGTGAGCCCAGCAACTACTATGTCTTCAGGCTCAAAGACGTTGCAGTCATGCTGAGTAGCGAAGAGCTCATAGTACCCAATACGACGCGCATAGGAAAGCGCATCGGTATTGATTGTACAATCTTTGGGTCGCCTGGGATGCAGTCAGTAGGTAAATTTGGTAGCATGATTTTCTTGCAAAGCGTCGAACTTACGGAGCAGCACCACAGCCACCACCATCCGAATTTGGTTGACAACCATCGCCGCAGAATTCATCTGTCACGCCACAGAATCCATACCGACTGTGAAGGAAGCACATGTTAGCGGAAGAACGACGATAATTCATCGTACGCAATTACCAACCCCTTTTTCCTTGGGGTCGGTTAGGCCAGGTACTTAAGCAAGTGCCCCTTTTTTCGAGGCATTGAACTATACGTACCTACAACAAACGTTGATAGGACAATCTCCAGGGGATTCTGCAGCATACTGGCCGCATTCTGCCGTGGCATTGCAATTGCTCTTGCAGCCAGCTTCATGACTGCAATATTTGGGGCCAAATCCACATGCGTTATTGGAATTGCAGCACCCAGACACGCACGGTACGGCATCTGAGCATGTGCCTCCTGAAGCAGGCGGTGCGTCTTGTGAAAGGGAAAAGGTTGCTAGAATGACTATTATAAGCAGTAAATTTAGACCAAAGGACTTCTGTAAGCCCAAAATGAAAAGACTTCTCTCGTGCCGTGCCATCTTCAAGGGCATATAGGACGTGCTTCCGTACTAGCAGACAAAGACGGAAGAATATAATAAGTAGAAAAGGAGAATGAGAGGAAGACGAAGGTCCGGAACTGGGCACTTCAGCCATAATTTGATATATGCAAATATCTTCCAGTAGATATTCTTATCTGCTATAGAATGTAACCAAGGATGAACATACAAATCTTCTGTCAGGATAAACGATGTCTATCTTCATCACATTACACACTTACAGAGTTTGCCCCCTTTAATCATATTCGGAGTGACCCGGAATCCCACCGCGAGACTAATCGCCTTCACGCCTAGAAGGATCAATTGCCGTGCAATACCATATTGTCGTAAAACCCGCTCAATTGGCAATTCTTGTAGGCATTACCTGATGTCTATTACCAGTATAACGAGGTCTGGTTAGACGTTACATGTGTCTGACTCGATAGGTACCAGCTAGGGGCTATAGGGGCAACTCTGGTGGTAAGCCCAACATAATTATTATCCAGATATAGATTGGTTGTAGGCTGTTCTAGATGACTTCGGACATTATTTGTTGGTTACATTCTTGTTGGTTACCTTATTATTCATCACATTACATCTTGGCCACAATAGCTTGTGCGATCCTCAGTGTTTTGGCTGAAACGGACGTAAGCAGCGCTGACAGCAAATATAAACAGAAAATGAGACATGCTACTATATCTGCTACAGCATAAACACATACTCCAAGCTTATCTCTCAAGATTAAGTAGGTACGTATATACCTAAGGCATACTTTTCACACACCCATCTCTTGTTTCTTGATACCCTGCTGTCCGCCCATCATTCCGACTCCATCTCAATTTATATCGACAATATCATGGGCCTCATTACCGTAGTAGTCCTTATAGGACATCTGCTCTTTCCAGCCGCGAAAGCAGTTAAACTTTGGACTGCACCAGCTGCTATTCCTACGAATGTACCGGCAGCGTGCCGTGCGGCGCTAGTACAGAATATCACATGTAACTAGTGAGCAACTCTTATACTTGCTACCTACCTTTTCCGATAACTTCAGTGAGGATATTGTTCTTCTCGGGAAAAAAGTTTGAAGAAGGATTTACTGAATTTCGGTGTTATAGTGGTAAGAATAATCTCGTCACAGCTGCGCAGGCGGCCAGTGGACTGGCACTCATCAGCAGCGAGGCCGGCACGTATTGCACAACGAGCTGTTATGAGTCTTTGAAGACGTTCCAGGCCAACGTAGATGCCAAGTGTGGCAGTACGCAGTACGCGCTGTATGTGAACAGTAGTTATACTCAGTCGGCTGCAGCTCTCGCCGACGGTTTGAGCTGGGCATATAATCTAACCTGTATTAAAGATGCGTAAGTAATGCTTTATACTTGGCATTTCCACGTTTATCTCCGCTAATAGGAATAGATCAGGCTTTTGTCTTTGGGACCTGTACGCTGGAAACGAAACGGCATGTTCTGATTGTGCTCTCAAGTACGGAGCCGCAATGCTAAGCTCAGATTATGGGAGAGCGAAGCTGAGTCCGGGCAAGTTTTCTTCCACACTCTCGTCCTGCAGTGCAGATCCGAAAAGTTATACCTACACGTATTCCTCGACAGCAACATTAACAGCAAATGAAACGTGAGTAACTTCGAAAATCTCTTCCTTGTTATTCTATGTAACAGGGAGTTATACCCGCACAAGTTGAAGTAGAAAACTAATATAGGCGGACAACAGCACAACGACGGCAGCATCAACTCCGACCTGCACCGGGAAAACATACACCGTGCAGTCTTCTGATACGTGCCAGTCTGTTTCTAAGGGGAATGGAGTAGGCACTGATCTCATGATCAATCGCAACCATTTGGACTATAACTGCAGCGTGCTTTCGACGGGTATGTCCCTGTGCTTACAGGACACCTGCACTATTTACACTCTGGAGGGCAATGAGACTTGCGATGGAATACTAAAGGGTAAATCGTTCACAACTATCCAGCTGGTCTCCTGGAACCCGTGTGTACCCCGCAAAGCTGTTCACGTTGTTCCTACTAACATTCCGACAGCACAATTCATACCAATTGTGACAATCTTGCGTCTATGAAAGGACGCAGCATCTGTCTCTCGTAAGCTATTGATCTCAATCCACAATGTGAAAGTTCAAGAGCTCGGTAGTTAAAGTATTACCTCGTGATGATTGATAGAAACTAACAACTGTTCTGTATCAAGACCACCAGGAGGTGGGACGTTCGAGTATAATTCCTCCGTTAGTCATGCGCCTCTTCCAACACTGTGAGTAACCATATAACCCCTTTTGATCTATTGTTATCGTCCTAACATACTTTTCCACTCAGTAATTCGTCCTTCATCACCAACTGGGTTCCCGCTACAGGTATGATTCCGACCACCAACTTTACCACATCGTGGTATTCATCGGTATTCAACTCGACTGCCAAAGCCTCCATAACAAGTACTGCCTCTAATAATGAGACACTTGCATCTGAGTTAGCCCAGCAGACGAAGTACTGCTGGCTCACCGACGATGATCTCGAATCCCTTGACGAAGAGGAATATACCGAGGGTTGTCAGAGCCTGATGGACGAGTATTGCTTCCCAACACCCGGCGCTCCAGTGCCCCCTTCGCCCAGCCGCATTCCTTCTCAGTGTACACCGAACCGTAGCACATACATGACGGGGACGCCGACTAGCAGCAGCGCGCCCAGCGCCACACCGACACCATACCAGGCCGGTATGATTGCTGGCTGCAAGCAGTTCTATAAAGTCCTGAGCGGGGATACCTGCCAGAAGATTGCCGATACCTTTTCGATTACCTTAACCCAGGTAGGATATTCCCATTTTGTCGCTTGCCACTTTTCTATCCCTCTTACGTACCTGCTGATGAAATAATGGTACAGTTTCGCGGATGGAATCCTGCTGTAGGTGATAGCTGTGAATCGCTATTCCTTGGCTATTATGTTTGTGTTCGCGCCTAAGTGACAGCCTACTTGACTGAGTCTTCCTGAAAAGGGGAAGGAATAAAAAGGGGGGCCCCATTTATGTAATTAAACCATATGAACGTTTCTTGGTGATAATTTAGTGTTATTGTCATCTTACCTATTAGAAAATAGTATGATATTGATAGAAATGATGAGATAGAGACATACTTGTCATACCTAGATTTTGCTTTATTTATCTACCTATGTTTTCAAGAGTCTAGCCACTATAGTCACACGCAGTTTAATATTGAGGCTTTCTAGCACCTTCAAAGACCATTCGAGCGAGTGCACAGACTCTAGCAGATCTATGCTGTGGATTATCAAATGTAAATGCTCTGCATGTCTGTATCTTACTTACGGCATACGAGAGTTCAAAAATTGGGTTTAATCCAGTTCGTAAAGCACACGCCCAATCTCTCCTGAGAACTTGTACTTCTCACCCAGAACACTTCCAGGGTCGTTTGCTACACCCCATTCACTCCTGTCCCGGTCATTCCAGAACGCACTGTCCCGAAACTTCTTCGCGTTCCACGCGTCCCGCATCTCCCACGTTTCTGTGCACGGCACCCGTGTCTCGCGCACAATATTACCTCGCGCATCAAGATACAAGAGCCGCAGCTTCCCCGTCTCAAAAGTCTCGGCGTCGGCGACGAAGAGGAAGCTTGCGACAACACTTGCCTGTAGCGCCATGCCTGCGTCACCAGCTTCAATGTCATCAACCTTCAGCTGCTCGGCTGTGTTACCCTCCCATTCGAGTCGAAGAGCCGAGGCCACTGGCTCACGCAACTTTTGGCGCAATGTTTCGAGCTCATCGGGATTTCCTAGATGGCGGTGGGCATATGGATCATAATTCGGTGTTGGGCCTGCCAGCTCAGGTAGCACATCAAATACGGCAGACCAGTCACCCTCGAACAAAGCTTGATCATCGAGAACTGACCATGTGCGACAATGCTCCTCAAAGGCGGGGTCATAATCCTCATCGGTCTCCCGAAATTCGTGGAACTTTTCATCCGAGCCTCGACCATAGTACGTGCGTAGCCAGATCTCTTCATCGCCACGATCCCGCCATAGATGTAGGGCGGCCTCACGCCAGCGAAGAGATCGCCAAGGTGCAAGAATCTCACGTATCTCATGTTCTGTGGGAATACGTGCGAGCGTAGTGGCTAGGTAGACCCGACCTGTTGCATCCCAGTCTTTAGGAATTGAGTCAAGCTGGAGATAGGCTCGAACCAAATCACGCCGTTGGTCAGCTGCGGATAGCGTTGATGAGAAATCCCAATGACGCTTAGAAGGGGCAAAGCACATGTTAACACTTGATTAGATGAAGAGACAGGCGAGGACTGCTTACAATAAGATACTGTTCCGCGGGGAAAGCTCCCCATGGAGGAGATATGTCCGTCTCATGTTGGATGTTTTGAAATCGCTCTGCCATTGCATCGATGTCTATCATTCAGATGCCGATCGTGGTGTGTAGGATGTGTAGGATGTGTAAGACAAGTGTGTAGTTTCCAAACCAGATATGTCAAACCAGATACTAAGACAGCTAAGACAGCAGAAACAACATCCTTCTATACGCGATACCGCGATACAGGAAAGTCGCATAAATGCATATTTCACATTCTCTGCCACATGCTAGTTAGGATAGCCATTTGCAGTTAACCATCCAGAGACAAATCAGATAGTGAGCTAGCCTGTTGGTAATCCTGACATACGCACTGTAATAGAGATGGCAAAGCAACCCGGGGCTATCGTTACGACAAGAAGCTTGGTTAAAAAGCCTCTCTCGAAATATCAGTAGATTGTTACTCGGTCATTGAAGCTTTTAACTTTTAGTCTCGCCTCACCGAGTTGAAATTAGGAAAGGGGCTGACTCAAGAGTGTTAGCATGTCTTCGATAATAGGTTGGCTGCTATAAAAGTCTCAAAAGAGACCATTTTCGAAAGGATTCGAATGATTCAACCAGTATAGATTCAGTTGTAAGACTATATCACTTGAGGGCATAGGTTAATAAAACGCTTGAGCCGGGCCTGTTATTCAACAGTAACCGAACTACACACATTAGTCTTTCTTTGCGTCGATCCCACAATTCAAAAATTATATCCATATAGTGATCACGATGATGCTTCCTAGCTTTCTTTCAGGATTATTCCTGGTGTCCACGGCCCAATGCCACTATCTTGTCCGGAAAGACTGCACATTCTCCGTCGCCGCATCTGCTGGTGATACTTGCTCATCTCTTGCTAGCTATTGGGGAATCACCTTGGCCCAGTTTCAAAGCTATAACCCAGGTGTCGACTGCACCAAGGATCTCACAGTCAACACCAACTACTGCATTGAGTGGGATGACGGTCGACCGCCACCTACTAGCAATACCACGACGTCCAGTACTATCACGTCAACAGCTTCGACAACACCCCCTGGGCCATCCCCTACCCAGACTGGCATTGTGTCCAACTGTAAGTTCGTGTTTATATTATTGTCATGTTTACAGAGGCTAACTAAGAGTTCTAAAGGTGACGCATACTACAAGGAAGTCTCAGGCGATACTTGCCAAAAGATCGTCCAAGATTTCGGAAATTTCACTCTTACGGACTTGTAGATTCTATCCTGTCCGCACAACTAGCTGAGTTCTCCAAGGCTAACCCTCATTTTATAGCTACAACTGGAATCCGACTGTTGGCTCAAACTACTCTCAGCTTTTTCTTGGATTTTATTATTGCGTGGGAACAACCTCGGGTGGGAGCGTGACCACCACTGCGACTGCCACCAGTTCTATCACTACGGAACCACCTCAACCGGAGCAGACTGGAATTATTTCAACTTGTAAGCTTCCTCTAGGAGCACATGATATCCAAGCCTAAGGGCCTAGCCATTCAGGGAATACGCGCTGATAATAGTTGCAGGTACATCTTACTACAAAGTTGGTTCAGGAGACACTTGTTCGCAGATCGTCGACAACTATGGCACGTTTACCCTCAAGGACTTGTAAGTTTCTAGACCTATCGAAGCATGATTTGAGAACTCTACAGCCATTAGAGAAATTGTCTAATGTGTAAAATAACAAAGCCTTTCATGGAACCCAGCTGTCGGTTCGGACTGCTCCCAGCTCTTCATCGGTTATTACGTGTGCGTCGGTATCCCCGGGACGCCCACAAGCCGGCCCGCAGCAACAAGTAAGACTATGACCAGTACTGCGACTGGACCTACGCCAACACAAACGGGTATCGTGGCAAACTGTAAGCGTCTTCGTTCATGTATCGTGTCGTAATGGTCCCTATCAGCCCTACACTCCCCCTTTTCAAAGGTCTGTTGATAACAGCTTAATTTGTAGGCAACTCCTATTATCTCGTCCGATCCGGGGACTCTTGCCAGAAAATCGTCGATAATTACGGTAAAAAGTTCACATTGAAGCAGTTTTACAATTGGAATCCGGCTGTCGGTGTAAGTCGACTGTTCCCTATGCTATTATGCTATATAGACGAGGACTGTAACTAATAAAGTGCTATTCCCTCAGTCGGGCTGCTCACAACTTTGGGTAGGCTATTATGTTTGCGTCGGCGTTAAGTCTCGATAAAATGAGACAACACTCGAACGTGAATGAATCTTCTAACTGTCCCGAGGTGGAACTAAGAACTCTAGCCTATCTACGAGAGTCTGGGTTTATACATACTGAACATGTCCTTTGTCCTATGTAGATGTCTCATCTAGAATCCTGACCAGTACCGCTTATTCATGTCAGCGCTGTTATCTAAATTTATCTATTGAAGTGGCAGAGGTCGAGGGAAACGACAACTCTCAAGGAACTCAGGAACGAGACTAATTCAACAGTAGTTGAGCGGAGTCTTTTATACGGGTACCTATAATAAAATTATGTTAAGCAGTATGCTGTACCAGGTTTAAGGGCATGGAAACTAAATGGAAGCCATCGAGCTAGAATTAAAGTTATACCAAGCTCCTTCACTACCGGAACTAATAAATGTCAAGGTTAGAGTAATGGAGTTTAGTCGCTCGGGTAGAAATAATCACCAGACAGCCAAGACGCCATACCAACCACCAGGTGCCAACGTTTGGTAGGGACCAAAAATTATTAACCTTTCCGGGTTTCTCTTTTCCCATACGATCAACTTACTACAATGGGTTTACAATAAGGTTACATGGCGTCCTCCTTCTTATCTCAGCCAGATGGCGTACCTAGTTAACACTGCTTTGGTATTCGGGTTCCGGCAATTCGTATAGATCCACTTTGATAAAGGGTCCTATTTACCGTATAGTAATTTCCCGTACGTACAGCTCTCGGTCTGGGGTGGGTTCAGCTATGATGCACAGTTCACGGAGTAATCTGATATATCCTTACCAATGTTTCCGTGCATCCAGGTAGGTCCAGGTAGGTTCAATTAAGCGTAATTCTGGTCTGCCAGAATTTTAAGCTCGAACTAATCAATATCCACCCAAATGGATACCGAATAAGCCCCTGAAATAACAAATTATCCCTGCCTATTGTCTGAAAAACTTCTTCTTTAAGTAGGCAATCCCAACATTATGGGCCGCTTATAATTGGAGCCTTTGGGGTAAGGCAATGATTAACCATAGATTCGACTAGGTTAGGTATTCAAGGCTTTGAAGTTTTGCCAAGATCACGATTATTTACATAGGTGAGAGTACAGGGGGACCGATCGCCCGGATCATTTTCCGGTTTCGAAACAATATGCGTTTGCATGTATCTGAATAGCATCGAAATTTTCAAGGCCCATTCTGATCGCCGATTAGTATTCAACATAGTCAATTCACAAAGGCTCAAGGTATAAATTAAGGAGCAATTGGCTATTGAAGTTGGTGAAAGCATCACGATCGTGGGATAGTGACATGGCGTTGAAACTTCAACCCTTAGACTTCAGAAAGCTGATATCGACGATATGTAACAGCTTAGGCTAAACAGCTTCTAGAAAAGACATTGAGATACTTCTAGAATATAATCGCGCATGCATTCTCTCTTGAATATTGTTTATAATTATATCTTTGTGTAGCGCGGATTCGGGGCTCGAGAATTGCTAGCGTTACCCGGATGGAATATGATGTGTTTGCTTAATTGGGAAGTGATCGTGGAACGTGCTCGTGTAAAAGTCGAAGAACTATGTATATGGCTGAATATCGAATAGAGCGGCCCGAGCGGAACGTTCGATCGACCTTGGGACCCCCTAGCCAGTTGAAGCAAGCCAATCAGGGGCATTTTCGCTATCCCTCCTTGCGATCTACCCAGCACAGATACAACATTAAGAGTTAAACAACCATGCAAATTCCTGCAGGCTCTAACCAACATTCCTGTTCCGCAGGGTACCCCATTATGTTGGTAAACAAGTGCGACTTGGCTTTGACGTGACTATTGAAATGTATTCGTAAGCTCAACGAGAATCTAGCTATGTACAAGCTATGCTGCCACTACACCCAGTAGTGTAATCACTTAACTACATACTTCCTAGCTACTATCAGATGAGTTGTTTCTAAAGCGATCGTAATACGAGTTAACTAGTCCTCCTCGTTTTGCCTTGTACGTTTAATGTTTCAACTGTCCCCCCTGGTGATTCGACCAATATAGATAGGTATCTGGTTCAGTGTGACTTGTCGTGAAAAGGGATAGCCCAAAGTATAAGCCTGCATGCAAACTAGGTGGAATATTCATTCAAAGTAACATTCTAATGCGTTTTCTTTTGGCCAGAAGATAAATAAACAAACAAACAATAGTTACAGAACGAAGGCCTTCTCCCACTTTGAACCATTTTAGAATGGCTTGCATAATGGCGCGCCAGATAAACGCCAGAAGAGCGCCAGGATATGCTAGTTCATCAGTACAATGATTATACCGCTATCATAGTATATATGTACTTACGTAGGCCTATGTAGCTAGACCTCCCCTCCCCGTCTGTATTTCCACTATTGTGCAGTTACCTATGTATGGATAGCAACAATTATCAACAATTAAGTGGGGAGATATTCCAGAAGATGGAGCATACTAGGTTAGGTAGTGTAGTATCACGTATTAAAAAGGGGGATGTTGCTCCATAGAACGCGTAGTGATTCGATGCTGGATGCATGTTGGACCTACATATGTAATCCGTACTAACCTACCTACCTACCTACCTAACCTAGCTATGTCCTAAATAGACAGTCGTGTTTGCTGCTTTAGGTATTTTTTAAATGGGCTCTTATACCTAGGTACAACCTCGAGGAGTGACGAGTCGCTCATAATGGCATTTTGCATGAGAATATCCTACATGATAAGAGATATAACATTTCTAGGGCACTGGTGCCTAGGTTTAGAGGTATAATATGTATACGTAAGAAATATCGTATGCAGTACAACTGCTTTGTCGTACCGGTCGGCCAGTGTCCTCTAAGCGAGGAATACTATTTTATCCTAACGCCACGATACTGATGTTCACCGCTTCTCTCATTTGTCTGTATTTATCCAAGCCATTTCTCCTTCTATTAAAGCAGAGAAATCAAAGCCAAGCATCCAAGCCAAGCATCAAGGCCAAGCACAAGAATTTCCAACCCACCTCATCAACAAGTCTACACGATGTCGTCATCTACTCACCAGGCACTCCACAGCGCGCAAAGCGCACTGGTCTCCAGCGATCCATTACCTGTGAAGACTGAGGAGATTACAGCGGAATGGTGCTCCAAGATCACAGGACAAAAAGTCAAATCTGTTACAATTGTGAAGGAAATCCACTCGACATCAAGCAAAATCCTTATCGACCTAACTTACGAAGATGATGTAAACACTGCCGAGGTACCGACTCAGGCTTGTGTCAAGGGAGGCTTCAACACCGCTCTGATAGCTCTTCACCCTGGCCTGGCCTGGACATATCGCCGAGAGGCTGAGTTTTATTACTATCTCCGCCCTATCCTCAGCATGAACCTACCGAAAGTCTGGTACAGTGGTACCAACCAAGTTAGTGGTCAGGGCCTTGTCGTTATGTCTAACTTGGCCGCCGAAGGCTGTGACTTTGGCGAGCCATTGAAACCATGGCCGGCTGACAGAGTCCGAGCTGGGGTCGAGCAGCTCGCAGCACTACACTCAGAAACATGGGGTGTTTCCGAGGAGCGATTTCCCTGGCTTTCCGGGGACAAAGCTATTGGTGGGAGTCCACTTCAGGGAATGATTCTCTCCTTGATTAGCCCACCAGCATGGGATTTACGATTCAATGCTTCTGCGCCACCACCCTTGCCCAAGGCTGTGGCGAATCGGGAGCGATTGGAGAGAGCCTTCAAGACAATGTGGGCAACAGAAAACCCCAAGCTAAAATGCATTATCCATGGCGACGCACACATCGGAAATACTTTCATTAGGCCTGATGGCCAACCTGGATTCATCGATTGGCAGGCGCCTTACGCAGGTGTCAACTTACATGATGTGTCGTACTTCATTACTGGCGTCATGACTATCGAAGAGCGTAGAAAGCATGAGACCGACCTAATCAAACACTATCTAAAGGTACTTCACGAAGGAGGTGGCCCCAAGTTCGATCTAGAAGATATATGGGATGACTACAGGAAGCACACGTTGCATGGGTTAGCATGGGCACTCACAGCGCCAGGGATGCAGCCGGACGAAAATGTTTTCGCTATGACGGAGCGTCACTCGGCAGCAGTGGAAGATCACAAAACATTGGAGTTGTTGGAGTCACTCCCTGAGTATGTAAAAGAGTAGTCTAGATTCTTTCACCGACTTTCTACCAGCAAGCGTTTTGAATGTAACTACTGGGGGTTGCCATAGCTTAGATACCTAATCGAATGTTGACATGAGATCTTTCAGCCTTAATTCGTCCAAGTTCCAGCAGACGCTCAAGTACCTATGTGAGGAGGTAGCTTTCTTTGTCGCACATTTAGTTACTAGTAGAAATAATCCAGGCATTTTACAGATATTTGGCACCTATTAGCACAAGAAAATATAAACGAATATGTTCATGGTGCTCTAGTTGGTGATTTCCAAGCAAAGTAATATTTTCAATCAATCAGAGAAGCAGATGAAAACCAGAAAGTTTCTTATGAATGTTAGATCCGTAAACTACTATTTTTGGACTCCTCTACTAATACACATTGGGTTGAAAAGTACAATACAATGTTCCTGATCTTGAGGTGCGACATGCTCTCTACGTCCTGAGCACAGCATGAACCTATACCACACGCCGAGCATCCCTCTCCGGTGCGAGAATGCTCTCTGTACTTCCTGTTCTAACTGGCTTGGCCTGGCCCGATTCTTTCGTGTCGTATTCGACCCTGTAGTCATTTATGACATAAATGTCTTTGTCGACACCTCGCTCTGCATCACCAGACTTGTCTCCGCGGTCGATACTCTCTAATTTGTACCCCTGGTTCCCTTTGCTCGTTCCCCATGACCGCGGGACATTACTGCCTTGGTTCCGAGCGTAGCTTCCAGGCGCATTCGAATTGCTCCCGGAGGATATCCACGAAGGGGCATGTTTTTGAACCATGGGCTTCAGACGTGATATACAGTTGCCTATGATTCCGATATTCAATTCCAATGTTGACAAGACTGCAGCAGATGCCTGTGTCCAAGTCACGTCGGGGTTCGCTATCATGGCTCTCACGTAGGCAACGCGCGCAATAGAAACAATAACGACACTAAAACTCTGTTAGCGACTTGACAGGATTTTGGATATACCTCAAGACTTACGCCGACCCTAATGCGATCAAAAAGCCAATGACTGCCTTCTGCTTCAGAGGCAATTGTAACTTGTGTACCATAGGAATAGGAAGCACTATGATAACAACATCAAATACAATGTTTAAAACAGCCTGCGATATGGCTATGTTGTTCAAGCAAACACCACTGCCGACAGATAATGGGTTGCAAGGCCCGGCAAACAGAATCGTGAATACGACGGTGAACGTAAAAATGAGGAATCCGCTAATATAAACGCACGCGCGGAAAGGTTTTGAGGGATTGAGTCGAATATAGAGAACGAGGAGTGCGAGTTTGGTTAGAGATGGCGGCCAAATGTACGTGATAGCGAGGAGCAATAAGACCTATACCAATATTAGCAGACTAACTTTTACTACATGTTTTCCTTAGCGTATGGGCAATTTACATTATAGTATCCAAGCAGTTGTGTTGGCGTAACGTCCCAAATATGCCGCCCAAAACCAGCTGGTATGGCTATTATCGTTCCAATGTAGAAGGCCAGGGAAGTTCCCCAGGCTGCAACAATGAATACTATTTGACTGAGCATTAGCGACTTGGAGACCGTTAGAACCCGATAATGATGCACTTACAAATATCCCAATCTAGCTTCTTGACGATCGCCAAAGCCGTATATAATCGAAGAATTACAGATATAGTCGCCAAAGCAAAGGTGACACCAAAAAGGATAATCAGAGTAGTCTGAAGAGAGGTTTGAGTATGGAAGTCAGGAGTCACTCCTTCCGGAGGCGGCATAATACCAACTTCAGCCATCTTGACGTTCTCTATGTTCTCTATCGAAAGTTGAAGTTGTTGTGACTACTAACTACCTAGGTATTCTTGACATGGGGATCTGTTCTAGTTTATAGTAAATCTAGTGCATGAACTCATAAAAATGTCAAAAGATTATTAACCGAACAATCCGGTGCGAATCATTACAGATCGTCTCCTAGGCCCTTGATTCGGGTCGATTAGGAGACGTCCCAATATTCCCGAACCAAACTCTCCCCAGTTGTGGATGGGTCCGGGGGCTGGAACTTTCCTGCATACGAACCCTCGAGGGTGTAGATTTTCTGTCCGTGCAGCAACTTTATCGACATTGTTCAAGAATGTGCTGGGTTTGCGAGATTAACTATACTGTAGTTGCAGGACAAAAACGACACTGTTGAGTTATCGCCGGAATAGGTAAGATTTGAGAAGAATCAAATGATAACTCTTCCGTATATGTTAGAATTCTGATAACTGCCAGGATACACTGGGCTGTAAATAAAAGAAGTTTGGGGGGGAACACTTCTTAGGTACATCAAACAGCAGGGTTACATAGTAGATATCTTGGATATCTTGTATTGTACCTAACATATGTAGAACTAACCTACAATAAACCCTTATAAAGCCATGTTTAACCAAGCCACAGTCCTATCAGCCACACAAACTTTTTCATCTAGCATCCCCCATCAACAACCAATAACTAATAACCAATGGCATTTGTCTAAATGTGTATAACAATAACCCTCGTTTTTTTTTGGTTTGTTTGCTAACCAAAATTAAATAGAGATAAAAATAAAATAAAAATGAAACCAAAAATAAAAATAAAATATTTTGCCCAAGCTGAACAGATATTTCAAAATACATACTGATTTGCGCAGATCAGCCTCAAGTCAAGTTAGGCTGGACAATAGCCTATTGAAATCGCCGATGAACGTCAAAATTTGATTATACAAGGTTAATTCAGACGCTGGAGCTTCTAGACGAGGAAGTCTCTATCGGCAAAGGGTCAATGGGTCAGGGGTTGAGTATCAGTTACGAGATTCCGCCAGCACTAGCCGATATCAAGTATTTAGTAACCCTACCTAGAATAGCTGATCAATATAGAATAGGGGAAGAAGTCGTTTACTTGACAAGAGTTAGCACAAGAGAGTTAGCACGGAGACTCCGAATAACCCTTTCCCTGCCGGCAAATATTTCCAATCGGCCGGGATGGATACGCAAAGTTGGATATCCCCCTCAAACATGCTGTGGAACACCGGTAGTATGACAACTTAATATCTTTAATTGGGAATCATCTAGCTGAAGAAAATGACGGATCCTAGGGCCTAAAGAATTTCCCGAAGTCGCTACGCTGAAAATAAGGGTGTTCCCATATTTTCCCATATTGCTTTTAGGACTCCACGGATACCTAGCAAGGATACTGGGGTTTGGTCTATAATTCTGCATTGTGTTTGCTGGGTCGATCATGGTATCGTAAAAGAGCGCCACTCAAATTTGATAGATGGTCAGGGACCCTCTAAATGGAGTTGGGCGCTTCATTTCTTCCACCTATCAAGAGTGTGTCATCATTAAAGTAAGGCGAAGTCAAAATTAGCTTATCTATCTGTCTATGCAAGCTAATAGATAGAATATCCGTAGGTCAGAATGACTCTAAAAGGATGGTGGAAATTTTCAAGCCACGAGCCACCTTTGTCTACACGCTAAGGATGCCTAAGAGTATTCTTGGGTCTGAATGAGACCTATAGATTAGATCAAACAAACTAGAAATTCCTAAGAAATGGAGAAGAGTTTAGTGATAGGCTAGGACTACATATGCAGGAACTAATGTATTTCGTGACCATACATCATTGGGGAAAAGGGGGCCCTCAGTATCTTTCGTCATCCTAATTCAGTACCCCGAAATTCCACTGAAAAATTAAGGGATAGTATGGAGAAAACTCAGAATGCGGGAACATGCAAAGAATAAGATGTATCTTTACGAGGCCCAAGTAACACAACATGGCCAATAAGTCTTGTGACGAGATTGAGCGGTCAACAGCCCCAGCGAATACCTACTACATACCGACTATCATCCCCCAGCCCCTTGTTTAGACGGAGCCCATGTCTAGCACAAACTTGAGATCCTGTGTGTATGTTTGTTAGCTAGTGATAGATCTCTCAGCTATACCTATGTCACACTCACTTCAAGTGCCCCGGATTGAGTCTCTTGCGTCTCCGAATCGAAAGTAAACTTTGCAATATGTCTCTTCTTCCTTTGAAGACTGACTATATTCTGCTTATTGTTAGTTAGGTGCCGATCTGAGAGGTAATGCTCGAATGAACTACCTGCTCTACGGTTTTCTCCATGATATATCGAAAAATCGTGACTTCTCGAGTCTGGCCCATACGTAACGCTCGTGCGATCGCCTGTTCTTCTACCGAAGGGTTCCATTGAGGTTCGACTATGTGCACTTGGTTGGCAACGGCGAGGTTCAGCCTATGTTCTCATGAGTATTGACTAGAATGAGTGTCAGGCCTAGACGAACATACCCGACTGCACCAGTACCAATGGACATGAGGAGGACGTGGACTTGAGGGTCTTCTTTGAATGCTCTCAGACGTGCAGATCTTTCTACCTGGCCTACTTTGCCGTCTACTTGCCGACACGAAATCCCGGCCTGCTCGAATAACCAGCGTAGGATATCTAAAGTCGACGTCCAGTAGGAAAATACAATGCTAGGAAGGGTTAGTATACCAAAAGTTCTAGATAAGGAAAGTTTATACCTCTTGCTATCCGTACCACCTTCTGTTACTTTTCGAACCACGGCAGAAAGTTTCGTTGAGCAACCTGCTGATAGGAAGGGGCTCTTTTGCTCTACTATGACTTGAATTCCCTCGTTAGAGGGTGTGTTCGCTCCATCGCTGATATTTCGCGTATTGCTTCTCTGTCCTGAGTCTTGCAGAGGACTAGGACTTGGACGGTATAACGGTTTTCCACAGTATGAGCATACCGAATCGCCATTTTCAAGTAAACGTGCCTCCTCGCTAGAAGGTTGGCATTGCTCGCACTCGGTTTCAAGATAGGATTGTTTCGGTTCAAGGGAAGAGGTGTTACTACGGGCCGAAAAGAATGTTCCTGAGTTGCAAAGCATGCGTAGTTTTAGCATAGCTGTGAATAACTTGTTGGATCGAGTTTCAACTCCCTTGCTAACTAGAGAGTCAATTTCTCGTCTCGTCTCGTCTAGTAGGCACTTGTAGAGACACTGCTCTCCTAGTGAAAGGCTAAGCGTTACGATAACCTCGGAAGAGGCAGGTAAGTTTAGACACTTTTCACTTCTGCGAAGACAGTAGGCCTTAAGATATGCTCGAAGGGGCTTTGCGAAATCTGCACCGCCTTCAGAGAGCGGACTTAGAATATATCTTTTGAAAACTACTTTGGTGGCTATGTTTGGAAATTGTAGAAACTGGGCCAAAGAGGCCAGATCTTCTAGCTTGTTTTGAATAGGAGTGCCTGTAAGGCACCATCTCCTCTTAGCGCATAGTGCTGCCGATGCTTGGAATTGTCGAGTACTAGAGTTCTTTATCCAGTGGGCTATTACTTGTTAGTTACTGATTCTAGACAGCAATAAATAAACTGGAATCAACGAGAGACTTAGGTTGTACCTTCATCTAGTACCACACGATACCACTCCACTTGGTGGAGGATGGATTGATCGGCGTAGTCAGCGACGAGCGTTGCATATGTAGTCAATACCACATCAAATGAACTCAAAAGCTCATTATTCCGAGGCCGTTTTTTCCCATGGAAACAAATGAAGCTGAGAGCTCCTGGTAAAATGTGACTTCGAGAATCAGCTGCTGTACTCAACAAATAGCGTGTATGCCAGTCGTGCTTACGTCTGTATCTCAGATTGCCAGCTCTCAAGAAGTTCTATGAGTGATTAGCCTATGGCTATACATATGACTGCTTTTACTAACGAGAAGATGGTACAATTATTAAAGTCGCCTTTATACGAAGCTTTTGTGGACGTTCTTGTTCAGGTTTATCGTAGAAACTGCTGAAAAGCTCTGCGGCTGGGACAGAACGCAAGATAGCCGCAAGCATGGTAAGGGTCTTCCCGAGTCCCATCGTACTTTGCAACGATAAAGTTAGTATAAACACCAAGTCATAGATATAATGAATTTCGAATAATTAAGAGCTAAAACCTCGCTCGAAGAGCTCGAAGGAGGATGGGATTATAACACCTCGAATAGGGGAAAGGAGATAGACATTAAGAAACCAAAATATTTCATACTCCGCGATCAGCCCCCCGAAAGATGTAAATGATAACGCCTTCATCCTACATTATAGTTAGCTTATTCCGTTAGCTTAGAAAACAGGTAGTTAGCTATAGCGCACTCAATTGAAGCCTCGTGGCATAGTCGTTCCGAGAGTCCCTGGGTAAATGTCTCGTTTTCCCGTTGATATATAAAACGTAAGCTATCCTCTTGATGCCTATACTTAGGTGCTTAGTAAAGTCTGTTTGTTTATTTGATAACTTTTGTTGGATTAGGGTGATACCTTTTCAGCTTTGAGGATAATCCGACAGGCGGCTCTAAGTCCTCGTCTGCGGTTACATGTGTCAATGACTCCAGTATGTCATTTATCTCTTCTGAAATCTTAGTTTTTGAATTTGGCCCATTGCCATTGCTTGCGCCAATGAAGGTACTCATGTTCAAATTTTCATTACGAAAAGTTAGAAACTGTGGGTTGTCGTATACCGCTTCTTCACTCAATGAGTGAGGGTGCTGGAGAAACGCGGAGAGATTCGACAGCCGAGATGCTGCATCACTTGCGTTTAATTTCAATCCAAAAATATTTATTGACACCGGAAATGTCCGCAAACCTGGTCTTCTTTTATGTTGACGCTTGGTGAAGACTTGAGTTGGAACTACGGCTTCAAACTGCACTGTTGGATAGTCTTTCAGAGAGTCTAAGCTGGAACTGGTTCGAGTATCCAAGATACCAAACTCGGCACCAGCTTCGGAGCAGAGAACATAGTAATGATCCTTTCGCTGTACGGGAAGTATTTTGAAATCTCCGGCGACCTCCTTGGGTATCGCGGTACTGATTAGCACCTTTGCAACCGCATCATGCAACTAGAGAGAAATATCAGGCGTTATAGTTCAATTCTGATGATAATATTGCAACCTACTGCGCCATAACAAATGTAACTATTCATATTTATATCATAATATAGCCGAAGAATTTCGTGATCATTTTGCCTTAAGTTATGCGTGTCTTTTTCCCCGCGAGCAGCGCACAGCAAGATGGTACGTTCTGCCTAGAAACACTGCCTATCTATCACTTATATATCCTAAGTTAGTAGGCTACGAGTAAGGTAGATCAGGGACAACAAATAAGGCAGTGCAATGCAGCTAAGCCTGAGTTCTTACCGCAAATAACTGGCAATAATATATGCAATGCACCGCATACTACCGCATGCGCCTGGTCAGTGCGCACAGGTAAACAGACATTGGATAGGTATACAAGTTTATGTGACACAAGAGTGGCGGAGCGAAAGAAAAGATGCGTCAAGGCATTTTCTCTCATGGGCGTATTTTGATTTGCTTACATTTCTCTTTATACATTAACCTATCCGAGAACACTTATTGGGGGTTTACCTAGTAATCTTAGGTCCCTAACCTATCTAAGGAGGATATCCTCTTCCTTTCCCTCCCCCTCCTCCCCCTCCTCCCCCTCCCTTATTCTTGAGAAGCCCATGGGTCAATAGTTACCAACTATCAGGCACCATGAAATATTATCCCTTGAAACACTAAAGATTATACTTCAATATATGTTAGGAGGTTTCTTGATAAATTCTTATTAAATATGACAGGGCCAAATGTCGATAACTTTCAGCGGGCTCTTAATCGATTTAAGCAATCTATCACCCCAGATCTCGCTAAAGAATTTTCCATCTCCTCACTGTCAGATGTAAAACAAGTCTGTAAGGAAATTCAACAGAAGCATGGAAGCGAGGGGAAATTACGATATATGGGTCGACTCAGGGGTTTCATTGAAGCAATGGAACAATTCGGAAAGGTAATTGAAATATTTGTGAACGCCAGCGAGCTCGTATGTTTCATATGGGTAAGTGATTGACCCAGCCATATCATAGATTTATTGACTTGACAACTGCTGACTTACAAAGGGGCCTATCAAATTCATTCTTCTCGTGAGTACCAGAGAGTACAATTTCACCTTTTTGGAACGCGACGAGTCCAGGTACCTAACATTGTTATTAAATCAAGACAGCTAGCACACATATCAGTTCTTTTGATAAACTACTTGATGCGTATGCGCAAATAGGGGATGCTATCCCTGGCCTTGAGTGCTACTCGAAGACCTTCGCAGAACATCCCCCTTTAGCTACGGTACTCGAAGACTATTATTCAGATATCCTAGAGTTCCATCGCATATCTATTACTATCTTCAAACGGCCCAGTATGCATCCCTCTCTTCCTTCAGAAAATCCTATTGCAAGTAAACATGTCTGACATAAAATTCTGCAGCATGGAAAGATATGTACCATTCCATATGGAAAACATTTGATAGCAAATTCGGTCCAATTTTGCATAGCTTGTGCAAGCGAAGAGAGTTATTGGAAAGCGAGAAAATCTCGGCAGCTCTCTACGAGATTCACCGGTTGCGTAAAGATATTTCGTCAATGTATACGGAAAATCAACAGAAGATGGATGAAGAACGCCTGGAGAAGCACAGGGGACGGGTATCCTACATCAGAGAAAAGTTAGATGCTCCAAACTATGAAATTGACCAAGAGATGGCTACGGAAAATAGACTTATCGACAGTTCAGGGGAATGGGTTTTGGAGAATGAGGAGTTTCAAGCTTGGGATAACCACATTTTGGGACACAATATCCTATATATCAACGGGATCCCAGGTGCAGGTATATATAATCCCAACTTGATCCTGGTATGGGGTGTTAGGACTAATCATATACTAGGTAAAACAACTTTAGTATCGACAGTGATTAGGAAGCTCCTAGACAATAGGTATTCCGGGACGGTTAGTCACTGTGTTGCCTACTTTTATTTCAAGTATCGGCAGACTGGCAAAGATTCACACAATAGTCTTCTCCGCGGCATTTTAGATCAGCTCATCGCCCAGGACCCCGCCATGTCGGATCATCTATTCAGTAAAATATCGGCAATGGATCCAACATCGCTACGGCTGACAAGAACGCTAGAAGGGCTTGTGAAGGAAGCCCTGGAAAGTCATCAAATTTGCTACATTGTGATTGACGGCCTCGATGAAAGCGTCCCTAAAGAGGCGGAGAGATCGGTACAATGGTTATTATCACTCATAAAAGGACGCTCAGAGAACACTACCACCTCATTACGCATTTTGCTTTGCGGCCAGCGGGATGGTGTCCTGGACAAACTTCTTGTCGATAAGCCATCCATAACTCTAGAGAACACCGCCCATACCAAGGATATCGAAAGATATTGCTTACATTTCTGCGAACGAATAGGAGACAAGTTCGCCATTTCCGACGAGTTTCAAAAAAGCATCGCTGTCCGTGTTACGAATAGCGCAAAGGGTAACATACGCCGAATAAAGCAGGCTCTTGACTGAGGTTGACAAAATCTTAGGAATGTTCCTCTACGCCCGTGTGGTCTTAGAGAACCTTTTGAATCAAACAAAGCTCTTCGGCTTGAAAAGAGAACTGCAACCGGGCACATTTCCGGAAGAAATTGATAAAGCGTAATGACATCGGCTCTTGAAATTAAGTAAAGAATCCTGCTAATTTATATTCTTGCTATAGATATGGAAGAATAGCTGTGCGCATTTTCGAAGAGTCTTCTCCTTCTGAACGTGAAGATGCCAAGAAGATATTGGGCTGGATAGTTTTTGCTGCACGGCCCCTTCGATGGCGCGAGATACAGTGTAGCTTCTGTATTATCCCGGATAATGGGGTCGTTGAATATGAAGATCAAAGGCTCAGAGTTACATGCAAGGAACTCTGTGGATCCCTTGTCGATGTGCATCCTACAAACGATGCAAGAGACAACCCGGAGTGTATCGTTAGTATTGTTCATGAAACAGCCCGAGAGTAAGTCAACATACACGACTCTCAGATCATAACTAACTTTGAAAGGTATCTTATTCAAAAGAATTTGCTCAACACTAGGCTCGAACAGGCCAGAATTACTTATTTCCTCTCGAAATATCTGACATCTGGACCATTTAAGTGTGGAGATGACGAAAAGATGGTTTATAACCACGCTATCAACGGATACTATGGCCTTCAAGACTATGCTATCCAGTATTGGTTCTATCATGCTAGGGAATGTGCTGAAGTTACCGGGGAAATAGGTCCAAGTACATCCCAGATGGCAATAAGAGCGGTTGGAGCTCTTCTTAAGTATTACAGCTCTTTATTGAAGCTGAATGAGCACGATACGGCCTATGACGAAGAAATAATCAAAATTGTCAAAGACCTTCCTGATGACGAAAATAAGAGGAACACGTATTTCACCATCGAACAATGGACAGTCCAGATCAGGAAGACTATAGAGACACTCAGAGACGATAATCTAGATTCCGCAAATCAGCAGATATTGATGAACCTTTATGGATCAATAGTCATCTATAAATGTTCTAAACCATGGTGCGATTATTTTACTACGGGATTCGAAAGTATTGAAGAACGCGAACGGCATTATGATCGTCATGATCGTCCCTTTCGCTGTACTTTCGGGGAATGTCCTGGATATGCATTGGGATTTGATACTCAGCAGAAACTGAGCCAACATGTGGAAGCCTATCACCATGAGACCAATGATGAATTGGAGTTCCCTGAAGTCCGTCCCGAAAAGGCCTTAACATTTGAGAAAGCTGTTGAGTGCGGTGACGTAGCTGCAGTTCGAAAATTTCTCAAACATCCGGGACACATTCATCGTCTAGAGTCTAGATATAACCCACTACATAGAGCGGTACAAAATGGTCACTTGGAAGTTTGCAAGTTGCTACTCGAAAGTGGTTTCGACGTGAATATAACCACCAAGAGTTCTTCTGGAATGACACCATTGCATGTTGCGGTACGCAAGGAGAATATTGAAATTGTTCACCTTTTTCTTACTCAGGAGAAATGCTTACCAGATAAAGTGGACGAATCTGGATGCTCGCCATTTATAAGTGCGTGTCGAGTCGGCAATTTGCCCATCGTCAAGCTGCTGTTTGAAACTGGGAAGATGCAAGTTAATCGACGCGCATCTGACGGCGATCACCACCCAATGTCTAGAATAACGCCGCTTGGCCATGCTACTGAGAAAGGACATTTCCCTGTTGTCCGATATCTTATACAGAAGGCGAAGGTGAGTCCAGTTACTCGAGAGATTTTAGCCATTGCTCTTTCTCGGGGCTACGAATCTCTCATCCACAAAGAATTGTTGCCGGCAATTGCAACTTCGCCTCAGGAAAATATACAAGGGGACCCGTACGAGAGTGGCTTTCCTCTCGATTGCGTAAAGCTGAGGACCAACTGGTTCGTAATATTCAATCAACATAGTCCCCGCCTATTTGACGTCGATCTACACCATATACCCCAAATCACCCCGCCTATATCCGCCATATTTAGTGGATGTGGTAAATATATTGCTTCCATCCATGAAGAGGCCGTCCAGCTTTACGATATTACAACAAGAAAGGCCTACACGTTAAACAGTGGACCTGACAGCAGAGATATGTCCCTTCAAATATTTAGCCCGGATAGTAAATGGTTAGTTGCCGCCACCAAGGAGCGTGAAGTTTACGTGAGTTGGCCCCCCCAGAAACTACCTAATGAGGTACTAATAGAACTAGATTTGGGATATTACAAGCAGGCAGCTTCGACATAAACTCAACGCTGAAATCGGCCCTATTATGTCGATCCATTTCACCAATGACAAACGTATACTAGCTTCCCGCTTCCACGCTGATGAGATTCAAGTTTGGGACGTTGATAATCATACTATAGAAATAACTATTGATGCAGGAGTCTGGTCTCGCCCCAGTGCGGTTACTATATCCCCGGACAATAATTTCCTAGTCGCGGGATTCATGCAAGATGAAGTTCGAGTTTGGGACATACATACTGGACATCTCGTTCAATGCCATTATATTGATGGGAATCGTGATATTGTATCCAATATTTCCTTCTCTCCTTACGATGAGAACGTATTCCGTTGTACTACGGAAACTATGTTTGAAGTTAGGACTCTAAAATGTCAACGCCTTCATAACATAACCCCCGTGGTCAAAGGTGTAAGTCTTTCGCTACAAAATTCTATTTATATATATAAAGCTAAAATCATATAGTTCAGTCAGAAATCTTATATCTTCCAGTCAGACTCTAATGATATTTTATTCGAATGTATAGACGGTGGCGTACAGCTCCGAGATATAAAAACTCGGAATTCCTATTTAAGGCTCGAAACTATCAACAGTCATACTTATGATATGAAGATAACTGCAAGTCTAACTGGAAACGTATTTGCAACTTATGGCGGAAAAGACCTTTTCATCTGGTCATATTACAAACACGAAGCTATATCCAATTAACTTTATATTTGTCCCGTTTATTACTTGATCACCGTTGGATTTGTTCAAGTTACCTATTAAATGTCCTGTATGTCTATATAAGCGATCTTCCCAAGCTCGTTACACTCGCTCCTTTAAATACTTTTAATAGAACCTTCTATAGTCCCACTAGATCTAGGCACTCCTCTAGCGAGCCTGGCATTATAGTTGCTCGCCAAGCCGTTTACAGGACACGCTTGAGCTACACCAGCAACTAGATATCGTGCGGTTTGGGATAGCACATCATGTTCCCATTAACGGGGAGACAACTATCGCCCAAATCTCGGAAGGGTATATAATAACTGGATCATACTAGTCGGGATAAACGTCGTAAGTCGTAAACTCAGGGGCTCTTCCCGTGACTAAGACCCTTAGTATACCTGTTACCTATTTAATACCACAACGCATTAGATATCACTGCTATCCATTTTCAATATATTCTGCTTGCAGCTCTCACCCGAGCCATTATCCTGTGGTTAATATCTTTTTCACAGTATATCCACCATTGAGTTAGCCGAAGGTACAATGCATTATACTCATTAACTATCAAGGCAAGCAACTTTAATAGAGTTACCCGAAGCCTCTATCCATGTTTGCTGCACATTATTATCCTCATCATTGATAATGTTGATTTAAGATTGGTATCCCCGATTCTCATCCCCTCAACCCTCCGGCCAATTCATCCCATTCGCCGACGCCACCCAATTATTCCAATCAACCTCGCCGTCCAAGTCTACGTTCAGATCCGCCGCCTCCAAATCCATATCGGCAAATACGTCAACCGACGGGTCCGCATCAGCCCATAGCCAAGCTCCGAAGCCTGGTCCTAAGTCCATAGAGGCCAAAGAAGATGATCCGTAAGCTGGACCGGCCGACTGCGTCCCCGGCGCAGCTGAGCTATGAGGATTCTGCTGGAAGCCAAAGTTCGCCCCGGGGGAACTCCTATTGGAAATATCTGGCGTAAAAACTCCGCTTTCCTGCGGTAATCTAGACTGAGGATAAGTGAACTCGGGTTGGGGTACCGAGGCGCTCGGATCATATGAAGGAACAGAGCTGAAGCCCGGTTCGTTAGTTTCAGCAGAATAAGTAACACTAGGTGTCACTAGAACCCCTCTACTAAGCTGAACAACTGTCTGTGCATAACCCCCCAGGCTCTGTGGCACGGTTACAAGCTGCCACCATCGCTCACGGAAAGTCTCGGCGCTGTCGGGGCCCGGGGACGGGCCCGAGCTACTCGGTTGCGTAGCACCCCGGTCCTCTGTCTCCAACTTCTGCGCTTCCTGCGGGTTACACCGAAGCCGCTCGATCTCGGCTTCGCGGTGTCGGTGAGCCTTAGCCATAAGTTTTCGGAGAGGGACCCAGAAGCGCAGGCTCTTATCCGTACTGCTGCGAGCGGGGATAAGCCAGTTGCTGTGGAGCGCGACCCATGCGCGCTCGACGAGAGGCGACCAGGGGTGCCGTGTCACTTCGATTAGGAGGTAGACGACGGCATACCAATGCGTGTACGTCTGGTAAATCCAGCGCCATTGGCGACAGGCCCGTTCAACGTTGAGCGCGTGGTTATACTCGGCTACTTCGATCGCAGCTATGAACAGCCTGTTGCGCATCTCGTCGGAAGCGCGCTCGCTTTGGGGCGAGAAAAGCACCGGGAAGTAGACTATTAGACTCATCTTGGCCATTACGAGCCGTGCGATAACGACAACAACCCAGTATGTGACGTTTCCCTCTGCGTTAGAGTATTGGAGGTATGTCTTCTCTAGCCTCCCGTAGTACTCGTTCAAAAGGCGGTCCTGGACATCTATCTGCGGTACCCCATCTTTAAGACTTACAGCCATCATCTCCCTCGTTACTTCGCACTGAGAGCTAGTCATGAGAGAGAAGGTCATATCGGTTATACCCTCTCGCTCCTTAGGCATTTCCTTTGTTTCGGGGTTGATATCATCATTGTTAATATTCAGGGGCTGTCGCGTGTCGAAACTGCCGGGGGTAATGGTGAGGTCCATGCCTTGGTCCTCGGAGGCCCTTACATCAAGGAGACACACGTGCCACCACAGCCTTCGTCGCATTTCGGCTTCAAAGGGAGTAAGATGAGGGAAATGACTACCATCACGATGCAACCCTAGAGCTAGAGCCATCCTAATGACAAGTCCTGTCATCATGTACACAAACCTCGGGCTATCATATCGGCGAGCTAAGCACAAGAATATAGCAAACGCCTGTATGAGAACTATGTCGAGCACATTTAGAAAGTCGGCTTTTGCAAGCGCGTACTCTAAGCCCAGACGGTACTTTAGGTTAAGTTCGGATTTAGAAGAACCGAGATTAGCTACGACCTGTAGAACACACGATGCATGAGTATTTATTATAAGTAAATAATTTGATGATAAACTTACATCCTCCTCCTCCATTGAAGTTATGGCTGAATAATATATAGCAAACATTAGAGCCTCGTTGGCCGGTGTGAGAATCGATGGGCCACTGTCTTGCAGACTCTGCACCATCTTATTGAATGTAGGCATATGAACCACCTGAGTTAGAAGATTGACGTTTTGATAAAAGACATTCACGATGAAGGGGATCTGGGATAGCGGCGGGTGAAACTCGCGAATATCAGGTCCATGAGAACTAAGGTTGTGGCCGAACAGAAACGCGTGACGTTGTGAGGGCGTCCTATCTAGTTCCTGGGTAGACGGGGTCTTGCTAAGTGAGTCCTCGTCCTCGGAACTATCGTAGTATCCACTAGCCAGACCCTCAGTTTCCATTTTGAGGCCATCAAGCTATTTTAGACATCAGCAGCAACTCGAATTCGGGGAGCCACGATAGTTAGTATGATCTGTCTTGCCTTACCTCGTCATTAACGCGCGACCAAAAGCCGTTGCTTACGTAGTGACTCTGGCCAGCATCTCCGAGAACAAGCCTACCAAACTGCTTTGATAGATTAGAAGTATTTGTAACAGGTGGCGATGCCGTATGGCGATCCGCATCATGGTCATAGCTTGAGCTCCCCGGCGAGTTTGCCGAAGGTGAGCCATGGCTACTCGTATGTGTAGCACCGTGTGCTTGCTCCAACTGACTACTAAGTTCTTTCACAAGGCCTTCGAGTTTTCGAAGCCTATCCATAACTTGACTAACACCCGAGCCGGCTTCTTGCTCAGCCTTAGCATTGTTCGCAATGCGCTCCAGCCGACGAGCCCATCGTGGGGGCTTGTCTGACGAAGGGAAAACACAGGGGATTCTTGCGCGGCGGCAATTTGAACATGGTGACGTCTTGTCACATCGCACTTTTCGTGTGCGGCATGTGACACAACTGCGTGGCTTTGGTCCAGGTGTCGCGGACGTTCCTAGAGAGGTGCCGGGTCGGGAAGCGTTCGCGTCTATTTCGGGGGATGAACCCGCGCCAAGGCTAGTCGAAGCTAATCCCCCTGGAACTTCCGGGGTAGCTGTCGCATATTTGATGGTCGGGACGTGCGACATAGATGTCTATTTTACTACGGATTATGCTACGACGAATCAGCTCTTTGGCCAGACTTTTATGTGGCCTTTTCTCACATGTCTATAAATTTGGGTATATGATTCATCTGAACGAATCAGTCATGAAACTAAAAAGGGGTGGCTTCCGTCAGCGCCAGCACCGAATAGAGACTAGCACCCGGGCGCAAGTGTGCCAAGCCGGGGCAATTGCGCCCCGAGTTACCCGCACCTGCTCCGAGAACTTCGCGAGAACTTGCCAGTGCCTGAATAGCCTCCTCTTATGGAATAAATACGTAAGCATCTAAGCAATTCGAGGAGTAACTGATAAGTAGGGATGCTGAAGATAAAATGTATATGATAGACTCGCCCAATGTTGCACAGGACACTTCAATAGCAAACATCAGTAATAACAACTTCGTGTCAACCACACTTATACCAAGTTCCTAGATACCCATACAACTAAAACTACTACTACAATTTAAACCCAAATATTTACCCATTATTCACCAACCCGGACCATGGCTTCTAAGACAGTTGCTTTCTTCGGCGCAAGCACGGGTATAGGTCTTTCAGCGCTGAAGCATTCTCTCGCTGCCGGATATCAATGCGTCGCGCTCTGCCGGGACCCGTCCAAGCTCACCTCGGTATTAACAAGTGAGAATGCGCCTAACCTTAAAGTAATACAAGGAAACGCGCATGATTCTGCGGCTGTCACTCGCTGTCTCGAGGCTCCGGACGGTAAACTTGTTGACGAGGTAGTTTTCACTATCGGAGGAAAGCCTATCCCGTCAAAAATGACTATTGACGATCCACACGTCTGCGAGAAAGGCATCACAACTGTTATTGGCTCTATAGCCACACTCAGAGAGCAAGGCGTCGTTGGCAGACCACACATCATCGTGTGTAGTAGTGCCGGTATGTCCAAATTCGGGCGGGACATACCTGTCGCCTACGTGCCATTATGCTCCCTCCTTCTCAAGGTTCCTGGCGCGGACAAGAAAATCATGGAGAACAAGCTCGCTACGAGCGGTGAAGACTTCACCGTCGTGCGGGCCGCTATGCTCCTTGTCGATGGCGAGACAGATAAGCCAATCCGTGTTGGCATCGAAGATCCGAATACCGGGATCGAATCCAAAGCTATTGGATATAGCATCTCGAGGGAGGATGCCGGCAAGTGGATAGCGCAGAATCTCGTAATAGAGAGGAACCAGAAATATATTAACAAGACTGCGACAATCGTCTATTAGAGGATATGCTTGGAGCCGGGAGGCAATTTGTATGTAGTTTAAACGTTAGCAAAGGACGGAAGCTTAGAATACCTAGTTGCGTTGTATTTAGAAAAACGGATAATTATAATCGACTCTTGGAAATTCATAGTATTGGTTTAAAATTCCCCTTAGAGATACATAGAGTCAAGGTGTTAATATTCGATCAAAACTCCCTATATACCTAGGTAGGTGGTAACCTCAAACTCCAACAAACAAGCCACCCTCGCACCGCCACATCTGATAAGATCTCAATAAAGGCGGAACTAACCTAACGCGCTAAAATCCCATCAATTGATGTCGTCACTTGCTCGTTGCCGATTTATCAGTGGCGTCGCTTCACAGCGTCAAACTTACCTACCTACCTATACATTTTCACTCCTTATACTCAATTCTCCTTCCTAATTCTGCAACCCACCCAACCTTTTCAAAATCTCATATTACCTAAAAAAACACTCCGGACGACTAGAGTGGCATCGGTTCGGGATGAGGCATGACATTCCGCTGCGCAGTGTCCGGGACCACTTTAGCCGCTCACGCAGTCCGCCCCCCGCGCCGATATCTGCCATACGCCTCTTTTCTCGTCGCGCCGACTGCAAGCTCGACGGCCCAGCAGAAACAGCAGAAACAGCAGAAGCCGTTCCACAGCACCGCGGGCCTTCGAGACGAGCAGATCGACAACTCCCGGAACCACTATGAGACGCTGAAACTGCAGCCGGGCGCAACGCCTGCTGATATTAAAAAGTGAGCATTTCCAATTCTTGCCCCTATCTAGGTACCTACATATATCACATTGTAGCCTGGAACAGGTGCCACAAACTACCATTCCTTTTGTTTACACACCTGCTCCCACACCTCTGACATAAAACACAGGTCCTTCTACTCCCTCTCCAAATCCCACCACCCCGACCACAACCCCTCCAACCCGCACGCCTCCCGACGCTTCATGCGCATCAGCGAGGCCTACTCCATACTCTCGATCCCCGCCAAGCGCGCCGCCTACGACCGGGATACCTTGCGCCTACACCACCCCCCTCCCTCCTCTCACCCCCACCACCGCGGCTCCTACAGCAGCACCAACCCCGCCGGCGGCCGCCCCGCCTCGGGCCTAAGCCGCCGCCGCGGCACTTTCCAGGGCCCGCCGCCGAGTTTCTTCCGGAGCGGCGGCTGGGGCGCCCACGGCGCCAAGCGTCGCGCCGCGCATGATGAGAGCACCGGGTCCTCTTCTTCTACGTCCCACGCCTCTTCTTCTTCCACTTCCCATACCTCCTCCGCGGGTACGGGCTCTTTCGGTGCGGGGGGTATGGGACCAGGGCAAACGCCCTTTGGCCGCGGCGCCGAAGACGACGTCCCGCACTTCGATCGGGTATCGCATGAGCGCACGGGCCGGCATATCGATAGTCGGCGAGCTGTGCGGCGCGCGCATCTCGACGATCAGTACATTAACATCGAACCAGAGCGAAGCACCGCGGGCATGTTCTTACTGATCGGCAGTGTGTTGGTGCTGAGCGTGCTGGGTCCATTCGCGATTGGTAGGATATGGAATCGGGGTAGTGGGGGCGGGGACAAAAAGTTGGAGAGAAAGGGGAAATAGGATTCGCTATTTCGGCGGCGCAGTAGAATCAACCGCCAGCATTTATTATACGTCACAGGAAGCAAACTCTCGAGGCTGTGCGCAGAGACAAAGAAATCTCTTGCAATTACAGATGCGTAAAGAATTCTGTATATTCAGAACGATGCAAATATTAGCATTTGGACGGCATCGAACGCCCAAGAGGTCTAATGTCTACAATTGAGATATTTTGACTCGTATGCGAAGAATCCTGCTTGTTTTGTAGAGCATACAAATAATGACGAGAGGGTATTGGGCATGATTCCCGGGAATTCGTCTACAAAAGTCCGAAACACTCCTTCAGCTTTAGGCTAACCATTTAGCTCTCGAAGGTGAAGCTGGTGCCGACCTATTCCCCTGTTAGATTTTGAGAACTACAATTAAGTGTTGGTGATACGGACCTTATGGGTGGCCTGCTCAAGCTTCTGAGTGTCGAAAGAAGCGCCGAGACCTAGGGTAACGCCAGGGCGAAGAAGAACGTTGTAGGAGACAGCGGCAACACCACGGTCGTTAATCTTGGCCTAATTTCATTCCATTAGCGATTTCCTAAGTTACAGAGCCTAGTTGGATCGACAATTGAACAGACCTTGGCGAAGGAGACGGGGTCAATGCGGTACTTGCTGGCAACCTCGAGACCGACAGCGCTTCCGCTCTTAGAGTTCCAGGTAGCCTTAGCACCAGCCTCGACCTGGCTGTTCACTTTGTGGTAGTAGCTGGCCGCAAAGACGCTCAGGTTGTCAGTGGCAGTGACGGCAGCGCTGTACTGAGGAGCAATGTAGCCGACGGCGGCGCTGTAGCCGGTAACAGCAGCTTTTTGGACATCATATCCAGCCGAGGCACCAGCAAGGAAACCTTCGTGACCGATAACGGCGTCGACGTTGGCAGTGGGGCCCTTAAGGAGGTCGAAGAAAGCGCGGCCGTGGAAAGCGGATTGCTTGAATGTAAGGTTGAGCTTAACGCCCTTCTTTTGGGTGGCGGGTAGGAAGGAGAAGATGGACTCGGCCTTTAATCCCTTGGCGAGGGTATCGGCGAGTTCAACCTTGGTGTCGAGGGCGTTGGCCGTGTTCCAGGTCTGGGTCAGAGTGAGGCCTGCGCGTCGGTATAGCATTAGTAATTGTGAGCCATGTTGACTTAGGAAGATAGAGAAATCGAGAGGCCAGCTTGGAGCTTTTATTCCCCACAACGATGCTGTAAGCGAACTCGCTTGGCGTCTTTTGGTGTGCGACTTGATGGTCTGAGTGGGAAAAATAATGGTTGAATTACCGAGAGACTTGTCTGCGTATTTGCCCTCGATCTGCAAGCGCGTTTATTAGTCTTAAGTGTACCTTGTCGCCGGATTATCCCCATAGCTTGCACGTAGGAATTATATTCTGTCGGTAGCGAGCTGGCGAGGAGAGGTTAGACTAAGGATACGTACGGCACCGCTGGTAGCTTTCTCGTGGCTGCTCTTGCCAGTGACCTTGAAGGCGACATTGTTAGGGGTGTTGCTTTTAACCTCGATGGTTCCCGCGGAGAGGTGGTAGAAGTCCTTGTTCAGCAACTATAATTGTTATGGTTAGAAAGTCTGCGCAACAAAACCGAAGCTCGAGCTGCGGGAAATTTATCGAATATTCAGCGGCTGTTGCCGAAGTGGGACAGCTTCGGCATCGGTGCCGTTTGTTTTTTTTTTTTTTTTTTTTTAACTCACGTCATTTGCCGACTTGGAAATATCAGCGAAGGCGGGGATAGACATCTTAGGCAGATTGGTTCACGGTTCGAGTATTCGTGGTTGAGTTAAGGGTTGGGTGGTGAAAAAAAGAAGAAAAAGTTTTGTGGATGTGAAATTGGTACGAGATAAATTCGGATTGGAAGAACACAAGCCTCAACAACTTCGTAGGACAACAGCGAGGTACAAATTTGTTTTCTTTGGCTCTTTCCTTGCCGGGTTCTTATCGGCACCCAAACTTAGTAGATTCCAACTAGACGGGAAAGCTAATTGGAGAAGTGACAGCCGGCAGAATGCTTAATGATAAAACGTGACACCTGGCGGTCCCAGTAAACATCGACTTTACATTTGTTATTAGATTCCATTACTGTCCAATTAACCCCCGTCCACGTGGGAATTGTCTACACCGGGAGTGGTTTAAAGCACCATAACCGTGAAATTACAACCAGGATCGGTTCAATGCTCTATAAGTTGCAGTAATTTCTTTGAGCTGTCATACTACATTACAATAACAAGAATCCTTCTGATTTATTTTCGTCCCGAAGCAAAATAATGGCTTGGCTGTTCTTGTGCACATTCAAGTGAAGAACCTATTTCACAAGTTACAGGATTGAAGTAAGACGAATATGCTGCTGGCAAGGCAAATTTCTATTGGTATTGTCACAGCCAAAGTCTAACTTCACACCCCTACCAAAAGACCAACCAGTCTTAATCTCATCATACTTGCTTGGGATTCCCCATAATGGTGCAATTCAACATTGCTAGTCATGCAATTCTATCCCCAGTAAATTGCTCCTCTCACCTGGACTATTGAAGACTCAGATTATACGTCTCTGATTTGTTTTATGCTATTTACTAATATAGTAGGGCTATATTTACGCGGATTCGTTATACTTGGCGAGGTGCGTTGCGATAGCTCTAGATTTTATATTAGCAAGGTACCGAATAGCTTTGATTGATATAGAATCATAACAACTTACCGTCCGCTAGGATCGGTCTGCTTTGACCATGTTGGGGTCCATCGCATCACAGTGGAAGCGCAGTGAGGAGGAAAATGCTCGTCGAACATCGTACGGTACCAGTAACTTAATCAAAAAATTAGCAAGATCCAACGTAAGACATAGAAGAGATGAAACATACGCCTCCTTGGTATCGGGAATATCGTTGCCCCACTCAGGCTTGGGGTTCTTCATCATCTCATCGGTGACATGAAGTTCGGCATTATCCTTTAGAGCATCGATCCAACCATAACCGACACCATCAGAGAATTGCTCCTTCTGTCTCCACAGTATCTCGTCCGGTAGGTACGGCTCGGCGCTGGGATCGTCAGAAGTGTCGAACGCTTTTCTCAGAATCCATTTCTCGATTCGCTCCTTGGTAATCATCTTCTCCTGGGGGTCGATGTTCATGCAGACTTCGAGGAACTATAAACTGCGTTAATAAAAGCGCGGACAGTGGTGACGGACGGACGGCCATGATAAACATACCTGCTTGTCAAGAAAGGGGACACGAGCCTCGAGACCCCAAGCCGAAGTAGACTTGTTAGCTCGTAGGCAATCCGCAAGATGGAGATTCTTAACTCGGCGGACAGTCTCTTCATGGAAAGCCTTCTTATCCGGCGCTGCATGGAAATATAGGTATCCTCCGAAGATCTCATCACTTCCTTCACCACTGAGCACCATCTTAACCCCCATGGCCTTAATCTTTCGCGATAGCAGGTACATAGGCGTCGAGGCACGGATTGTGGTTACGTCGTACGTCTCGAGATGGTAGATGACATCAGATAATGCGTTAAGACCATCCTCGATAGTAAAGGTCATGACGTGATGTTTTGTGCCGAGGAACTTAGCTACCTTGACGGCAGCTTCGTTGTCGGGGGAGCCGGGTAAACCGATCGAGAAAGAGTTGAGCTGTGGGAGGTATGTTACGGTAGAGATCTCGTTCTCATCGTCGATACCGACTAAGCCCTCACCCTTGTCAGGGTCTTCAGTCGGCTCGGTAGCGATGCCATTAGCGGCGGCCAATGCCACCTTCTTAAGCCTCAGGGTTTCTCTTTGGGCTATAGATGCAACCAAACTCGAGTCAAGACCGCCTGACAATAGTACACCATAAGGAACTTCGGCCATAAGCCGTTTCCTCACAGATCGCTCTAGTGTTTCTCGAACGAGCTTCAGGTCTAGGGGAGTATCCGGGATTTTTGAGTCATCCCACCAAGTCGGCTGGAAATATCGAGTGGTCTCGTTGGTTTTAGTGTCGTAGATGTGTCCCGGGGGGAAGGAGCGAATTTCATCGCAGACGGAGTGCAGGCATTTCAGCTCCGAAGCGAAGTAGGTAGTACCCTGTTCCTTGGAGGACCAACCCTGGTATAGCGTGGTGATACCGATGGGATCGCGGGCCGCGATAGTTCGGTCGAGGTTCTTGTCGTACAGCACAAATGAGAACATACCATCTAGGTACTTGGGAGCATCGAGTCCATATTCCATGTACTACAGACACATTAGATAATGTGACACCATAAGACACAATACATATATTAAAGGCATCCTCACCAAGGGAATGATAACCTCGCAATCAGAAGCAGTCTTGAAGTGATAGGGGGTCTTGAGGCTTTTTCGAATTAACCGGTGGTTGTAGATCTCGCCATTGACGGCAAGTATTATGGTCTCGTCCGCATTGGTCAGGGGTTGTGCGCCAGACTCTGTGACTTTGTAAGTAAAGAGGTTTTGGTAAGTTGAAAAATTGATAGGAAATACACACCGACGCCGACAATGCTCAACCTTTCGTGGCACAAGACTAGAAATACGTTGGTTAGAGGCCGTTCTAGTATTCATTTCCTCTACTAGTTGGATCTTACTTGTGTTTTTGCAGATAACGCTTCCACCTGTAACATCCGGAAGTGGTCAGAACATATCGATAATATCACCAGGTTCGCTATGAGATAACTCACTCCAGTCGGGGCCTCTGTGCCGAATTCTGCGTAGAACATGTCAATTAAAGTCATAGAGCTTGAGCACATATTATACGTACTGCTTTGCCAGTTTCAAGGCCGTGGGCTTGAATTTCTGGACGTCGGGATGACTAGGCGCAAACGTCTTATTAGTATGTATGGCGATCTTCCAATGGCATCACAAGTAAATCCAATCGATAATCATTTTTGGTGGGGGTTTGGTAATTGTCAAATGCCCCTCCAAGACATTGATTGCTTAATCCATGCAGGGAAAAATGTAAACTTACCAGTGACACGCAAATATTCCACACATCTTATCAGCCTCAAAGTGTAGTTGGTGGAATATAGAATATGACCGAAAGACTTTTGGAAAGAGTAACTAAAGAAGAAGAAGAAGAAGAAGGTATTTCTGTCAGAATAAAAAAAGACGGACCACGCGACTAAAACCCAGAGGAACATGGAGAGGTAAGAGCGACCCGGAGACTTTGAGTCACAAAAATTTATTTAGGAGGTAGCTATCAGTATGTACTTTTTATTATCATATTTGCCTTCTAATGCTAAATTTGACCCGTTATACCTAAAACCTGAAGGTAGGGGGTTAATGGATCTTAGCCTGACGGCAATCTTCTGCTAGTTAAAACCGTCACACCGGAAAAAATGCCGATTTCGGACGGAGCTTTAAGAAACGACTAATACTGTCATTGACCAACCACGCAGTGCCTATATTAAGCCATGATATTCACGTTATCAAGACACAAGATAGGAAACGGGGATATAGATATTTATACGATTATAAATAAATATATAAGTTTAAAAAGGTTGTAACTATTTGTTATATACTACTTTAGCTCAACTTAGTTACTGCTTATGTATTGTACTTTATGCTATTTATTTCCAACTCCCTACGAATCAAAAGAAATGGGATTAATACTATTCAAATATCAAAGCAAATAAAAACTATAGGATCAAGGTAGGGATTCTGCGTAACGTTTGCATCATATTCGGATAACCACGTGCTATCAGATGCCTTATCACTCTTTGTAACCCCGAAATCCGCAAGAGGATATCAAACCTCTTCCTAATAGGGTCGAGTCAAGCCGTATTTCGCATCGAGCGGATGGGTAGGGGTCTGAACCAGCCTATGCCATTCGAACGAGTATGTAGCTAACCGTGGAACCGCTTTGCAGCTGACAACCTTATGGAAGCAGATTACCAATATGAATGCAACTGACCACGAACATACGGTAAGTAGGGCACAATGATGGTCATTATAAAAATCATCGATTGCATAGATTGTAAGTCTACCTATGTTTACATACTTAGTTGCTTCGCATCCATGTAGCACCATTCTTCACGGCAAAGGCTAGATCATTACTCCGGTTAAGAAAACCAGTCAGCTGTAGTAGCCGCAATGCTAAATGATGCTTGACATCTTCACATAGCCCTCCTGTGCCAACTCCGAAGGGCCCAAATGTAGAAAGCAGTCATCCGTATTTGGTATCCGTGACCCTGAACTCCGATGCCGAAAGTACACCAAGTATAGAATTTCCTCCCCAAGACACCACCCCACCAGCACCGGTTGAGCGTTCTAAGAGGCCGGGTTTTCCTTCACCGTTCGCCTCACACGTCGCTCGTACTCGGCCTTGTCTCGCTTAAAGAGGTTGTATGCTTCAGCTTGTGCGGGAGAGTCCGGATTGGGATCGTCTAGGAGATCTTGGATGCCGAGTGCGATCTGCTTGACCGTGATCGCTGGCTTCCATCCTTCGTCCTCGTTTAGGATCGAAAGGCAGACTGTGCCTGATGGGTAGACGTTGGGGTGGAACAAAGGTGGCGTGAACTTGCCTATACGGCAGTTAGTATTGGCTTCACGAAGTTGTATAGGTATGGACCATATGATGAACCTACATTTCGGGGGCTTCGTAGGGTACTCTGAAACAGTATCGGTCAGCACAACTCGTTTTCTCGGTGTTCCATATCCCACTCAGCACCTACCGTCAGGGAATGTCATCGTCAATTTAAAGAGACCGCCTTCCCACATTGTCTTTTCCTTGCCAGGGATACCGCATTCCCAAATCTTTAGATCAAGAACGCCTTGAGAATTCTTGACTGGTCGTGCCCAAAATCCGAAAGGGTGGTCCTTTCTCCATTGCTTTCTATTAAATTCCAGACACGTTAGTAAGGTGAACGGCCAATCTTCTTATACGCCGTATAAGAGCCTTGCGACGTTAAGCTTGACGTACCTCTCCTCTCCAAGGCGCAATTGACATAGAGACATCTTTATGGAATGGATAGCCTGGTGATGATTGCGTGGGTCTTGTAGTTTCTGTAGCAGCCGGACTTCTTCCTTCGTAAGTAAACGATGGAGTTGTAGGTGTTCGTTCGTCCGAGGCTGCGCAAAGTGCTGAAAAAAAGAAGAGAGTGAGAATTCGGTGTTGAATCGGCTGGACGGTTGCTTAGGCTGCCCACGGAATTTACCAGCTTTAGGTCTTTACTACGAGCAGAAAGCTGAGAAATACTAATGATGGCCTGTAAGAAGGTGATGGACCAAGCCCGAGAGTGAAAGAGAAGAAGGGCAAAAAGATGAAAAGAACGGCAAGTGCGTTTGTAAGACCCCAAGGGCAAAGAAGATGATGCGTGAATGTGAATAGATGTTAGTCGAACCTGCCTTCTTGCAAGGGTACGAAGTACTAGGGGCTATTCTCGAATAATAGCGCTCTATTAACCTATGTACCTCTACCTAAACTCCGAGTTACATGATACCCTATCCGGCCTCTAGTGGGGTTATGTATATCCTTATCTTATCAGACATCCCACCTAGAAGCCACCGGAAGAAGCTGATGTTTGAAACGGATAAATTAAATAGGTATCTTCTAAAACGGTTAGTTACTGTCAAAATAGGCATAGTTAGATAGACCATAAAGTATAATACGTTTTTAAAACTGATATTCATTCCAAACTCTGGTGGCTAGCGCCAAGCATCTCACAACCTAAAGGCCTCGGCAACTTGTGCACTTTCGTTGGTCCAAGTCGCAAAAGTGCATCGCCCGAACTATCGATCTTCTTTACTTGCGATTTTATAACTCTATCACTTATCCTTGTCTTCCGAATTACACGGGTACTCTCTCGTCATTATTCTCGTCAGAATCAATCATCCGTTACTATTATTAGTATTTTTTATCATTGACTAAGGTGCTTCATTGTGTGTCTAACTTGGACATCTTATGCGCTCATCTCTTTAAGCTCATAACTACAAGAGTTGATTAGACATTACGTTTTATTTTATAATCTGTGAGACAACTTCAGGCCGCGAAAAGCGCACGATACGGCGGCATGGAGGCGGAAAAGGCGGCCGCGGGTACCAATCCGGATGGGCAAATCGCACCGGAAAAGGCAGACCAACCCACAGCTTCAGTACCCGACCTGGAAGACGCCCCAGATCCCGATGAGGATGACCTCGATGACCTTGATGACATGCTAGAAGAGTTTTCTAGCGCAAAACTAGGCGAAGCATCCCTAGCACCTGGGGTCCCTGAGAAAGCTGCTGTGAAGACGTCGACATCTGCTCCAGCGGGCGCATCATTAGACACGGAGAATCCACTAGATGGACTCGATGATTTGTCCGAGGAGGAATTCCAGAAGCATCTTCAGGCCGGGATGGCAGAACTAATGGGCGGATTGGACAATTCGGTTAGTCGCTCTTCAACCACGGATGAGAGCATATTTAGTCTAACATGACATAGCCAGATATGCAAGCCCAGTTTGAGAACATATTCAAGGGGCTCAGAGGAGATGGCCCAGAAAGTTCAGGGAGCGGATCGGAGTCGATTCCACAGTCGTCCGATAAAGCATCCTCGGACACAAGTCAGGATGCCTCGTTCCAGGAGACGATCCGGCGGACGATGGCCAGAATGCAAGAGTCGGGTGACCAGGCCACAGCAGCAGCTACCGCTGAAGGTTCCGAGGATGATTTTATTGCTGAGATGATTAAGGCGATGAAAGATCTCCCCAACGAGGGAGGTAACGAAGAAGACTTCTCCAAAGTGTTAATGGGGATGATGGAACAGCTCACCAACAAGGAAATTCTATACGAACCTATGAAGGAATTGAACGACAAATTCCCCGCATGGATGGAGAAGAACAAGGACACCTTACCAAAGGATGATTTAAAGCGCTTCCAGGAACAAGAAGTTCTAGTTGCAGAGATGGTAGCCAGATTCGAGCAACCCACGTATGCCGATTCGAACGCGGCGGATCGGGAATACATCGTGGACAGGATGCAAAAGGTGAGTTATCTGATTGTGTTATTATGCTATTTACTAACTGGAGAGCAATAGATGCAAGCAGCAGGTTCTCCTCCTCATGATCTAGTTGGAGATATGCCATCAGCCAAGGAAGTTCTGGATGCGCCTGATGAGTCGTGCGCGCCTCAGTGATAATATACAAGGAATTTAGTTCCTCAACTGTTCATACATAACCCTCCCGGGGCCAGAAACTAAAACTGGCATATACACAGACGATGTGATATCATACCCTACCATACCCTGTCATAGAGTCCCTAATCCTAATACGCCGCAACGATAAACCTATCCTTGCCGAAGAACTCCTGTCTGTGTGGACTGATGCAACCCATTAAACCCAATGAAACTTCAAGACATATCCATTTGTCCTGAAGATATAAAGCCCTGACTATTCTGCTCTTGTTGCGATAAGAAATCCATAAAGAGGTGGTCATAGTCTTCATCATCGGAAATTGCCGGCGATACCGCTCCCATGGGTGGTTGGGATGATTGGGTCTGGGTCTCGAACATAGATAGCATTGCATCCAGTTCGTCTTCCTCTTCTTGCGCTATGGCGTCGATCATCATATCATCGGGGTTGTCCATTGCTTCGCGTTGGATTTCTGCAATGTCTTCGATCTCATCTTCGAACACCATACCGTCAAGATCGGCGTTCTTTTGGTCTCGTCGCTGTCTATCTAACATGGACCACTCAAGCTTCAAGGCCTGTAAGGTCTGTTAGTATCGATAACTATTTCAACTAGTCAGCAGGGCCACTCATACCTCTTGATCGCCTCCTCTTCTCTCCCACTTCTTGTCGTCCGCCCGCTTCCGGACGTTTCGCAAAAACAAATTCCGCCTGCTCTCTTGCACATTTTCTCGGTTCTGTCTTAGCGGGTTTGGCTTTGCATTACGCGAAGCAAATTTGAATATAGAGGGCGGTGCTTGTATAGGTGAAGACTGTGTATCGAGTCTATGGAGCGTGTTAGGATCCCGGTGACATAATGGTGGAGAGCTCGGTCTGATGGGAGAAGAGGAGAGCGGCGATGAACGCGTAGGCCGGTGTGGCGTCGAGAACTCGATATTGAATATCGGCATTGTGGCTAACATTTCGTTCGTTATGATATTATATGATGTTGGGTTTGAATAGGACGCTGCGTGGATTAGATGTTTTTGTAAGATGGTGTGACCAAGTCAGAGTAAAGTGACAGCTTAGACTATTTTAATGCGAGTTTAACGAAGACAAACGCGGGTTCGAAAGCAACGCGATCCTCTCAAATGTACATAAGCGGGGCTTAACGCGTAAAGAGCATTGCGGGACAATGTAAATTGACAGATATTAGAATAGTTCGCGCTTTTAGATCATTATTATGCAGAATATGGTAATAACCGGTATGACTACATTTATTTTGTGCATATCGTTGGTACATGTACCTAGGTAGGTACATAACTTAAAAGAAGACGTGCTAAGCCATAGAACCCTAGAACCTTGCATGGCACGATCCAGATCGTCCGAATAGGAGAAAGAACATTCTTTGACCCCTGTCCCTATGACGCCGAGGTCTTCCACGAGCCCGGGATTGAATGTCCGACGGATGGAGCAAGAAAAAAAAAAGATAGTGAAATTTTATTAGTCCGCTATCCCAACATACATACACTACTAACCGACCTAACCTACTTAATTGAAGGTTCAACAATTCATCGCGGGCGGTCAAGTTCTCCACCGATTAAGACATTGAGACATCGAGACGAGAAGGACAACATGTCCTCATTATCTTCTTATTCATAGTGTTAGTTTATTATTTTATTTATTTACCTTACGTAGTTAACACGCCCCTTCAAATGACTAGAACCGCGCCATCATGAAATGCCCCTCGATCAATTCGCTCGGCCGTCTTGCCAGCAACAGGCCATGGACATGTTCGAATTGCCGCACCCAATTCCTCGTAGCCCGTGTCAGAACAACACAACGATCTATTGCAAGACAATATACGACCAACTCTTCTGGGTACTCGAAGAAAACACATAAGCAGCCCAAGACAAGAGTTACCGTGTTGACCGCTGCTACCACAGCCGCGGCTGGGGCAAGCGTCTTAGCATTTACGGACGACATTAAAGCTGGATACGATGCTACAGAACGTTCGGGAAGAGTTGCTGCAACGCTGGCATTATGCATCAATGAGTATGTCTACCTAAGCTATAGCTGTACCAAAATAAAGAAGAAAAGGGGGTGGAAAACTAACTCGTCTTAGTTACCGAACTTCTTTAAACCAACGTGACCAAACAGAGGATTCCGACGAAAAAGATCATATACTAAGGGCATGCCACAAGAGGTGTGCAGAGCGCACACTCAAAGTACTCGAAAAGAGTGGAGGAATATTCATTAAATTGGGACAGCACTTGGTAATTCCTCATACATGACGGCACGCAACATAAGATTGCTAGCTAACTTTCGAGATAGAGTGCCATGACTTATCTACTTCCGCGCGAATGGACCGATACGTTTATACCGCTACAAGACAAATGTCCAGTATCCTCGTTCCAATCGATCGAGGAAATGTTCCGCGCCGATACGGGTGAAGAGCTTAAAGACTATTTCTCTGAATTTTCGGAACAGCCAATAGGGGCTGCCTCTCTTGCCCAGGTTCATCTAGCGACGGTGAAAGAAAATGGTCAAAAAGTTGCCGTAAAAGTCCAACATCCAGGCTTGGCGCAATGGGCACCTCTCGATCTGGCCTTGACCAAGTTTACTTTCTCAACCTTGAAGAAGTGGTTCCCCGAGTACGATTTGGAGTGGTTAGCTTCCGAGATGGAAGTTTCTCTACCCCAGGAGCTTGACTTCCAGCTCGAGGCCGCGAACGCGATTCGAACGCAAAAGTACTTTGCGCAACATCCCGAACTACCACTCGTGATTCCCGATGTCCTTTGGGCCAAGAAGCGGATCTTGGTTATGGCGAACGAATCGGGCCATCGTCTTGACGACCTCGAATACTTGGACTCGAATCATATCGACCGCGACGAAGTCTCCGCCACGCTAGCCCACATCTTCAACGAGATGATCTTCGGTAAGGGTGCGCCGCTACACTGCGACCCCCACGGTGGCAATCTCGCTATCCGGAAGGCGACCCCGAAGAGGCGAGGAGGTGCCAATTTCGAAATTATTATATACGACCACGGCCTGTATCGGGATATTCCCGAGAGCCTGCGGCGGTCTTATGCCAAGATGTGGCTAGCAGTCATCGATGGAAACATGTCTGCCATGAAGCGATACGCACACGAGGTGGCCGGGATCACGGATGAGCAATTCCCTCTGTTTGCCAGCGCTATCACAGGCCGCGATTATACGGTGGTCAAGTCGTCTATATTAAAGTCGCGATCCGACGAGGAGAAGAAGACGATGGGTGACGCGCTGCAAGAAGGCCTACTATCAGATCTCGTGACTATGCTCGGACAAGTGCCTCGGATCATTCTTCTCATCCTAAAGACAAACGACCTAACGCGCAGCCTCGACGAAAACCTGCATACCCGCCAGGGCCCGATGCGGAGCTTTATGATCCTAGCGCGGTACTGCGCACGCACGGTGTTCCGCGAGCAGGTGGAGGAGATCAGGGAGCAGCCCGGCACCCTGCTGTGGCCGGGCAATGCGCTACGGTTCATGGCCGCGTGGGTGGGGTACCTGCGCGTGGAGCTGAAGCTCGAGGTCTTCGAGCTGTGGCTCACGGTCAAGAGGATCGTGGGCATGAACACGGTTCACTACGGGAGCGCTGTATCATTATAAATAATATTCACCCCCTACTACATCATACATAATACCTGTATTACGCGAACGGCAGCAGCAGCATGTCTAGGTTAGGTACCTAGGTTAGGTACTCTACTTTAGAAGCGAGACTTTTTTTGTTTCCTCACGACGAGACGAGTCGCGGGTTGCGGGATGGATACCTCGATAGATCGATAGATAGACATAGGGAGACGGAGACGGAGACGGAGAGAGGGATGCATGTGCATTAGGCGGCGTCGAGGGGTAGGTGGACGAATACGATTTTAATGAGATGCATGCGAGTAATGTTATATATATATAGATATATATATATGCTATAAGACTTTGGCTTTTCGATGACAGGACTTATGATTTGCGTCGTTTACTTCTAGTATTACATACCGTCCGTTCCCTCAGTCGGTATACCCATCCATATCTTTGCGTGTGTAGTAAGACTTGCCATACCCAGTTACATTAGGTAGGTAGTTTCTATATAACACGAAGTTGTCCAGCCAGCATCGTATACTCAGCTAAACGATGAATAAGACGTATTTCAGTATCATCATACTGTAGACCTTATTACTGGCACGTTCCTCCCAGGTAGCCGCATCTTCATTCATGCACCCTCTGATTGGGCCCAACGCGGCTGGTGTCATGGACATCCAGGTAACGCTGGTCAAGATGTGATTCGCCAGATACCGCGTTTATAAGCAAGAACCCGTGTGGATGTGTCACGACTGGGTGCAGCATAGCTGACACCGTTGTGGCATATACTGTTCCCGTATCTTTCGGTAGATACCTAGGTAGTCACTTATATATACATAAGGCAGACGCAACGATGGGAAAGATAATTATGTAATTAAATGATGGGAAGAGCTCATTCTACTCTCCCCAGCCCAATGGTTTACTTGCTGATAATGCAGACTTCACGTCGTTATTGATGCAATTTCATTCTCGTAATGCATCGCGGTATACTCCTTTCCCAAAGAAATATCCATAGCCTCCAATCCAATGCAGGTAGTTCTCAAGGCTGGGCGATGGCAAAACTGCATCCTCTGTAGTATGTAACCTAGTAATGGACTACTTTGCGCGACAAATGTGCACAGCACCGTTGGTTTTCCGTGCCATAGTGTATAGTGTATAGTGTATAGTTAGTGGTAGTCTCCCGTATCGCCTTGTCGGTGACCAATATGTTATGCGTTGCGTGATCGGGAGAATAGATGGCGCTATTTATCCATCTGTCGTATGTTAAGTAGTCTGCTAATTGCAGTTGCTAGTAGAAGTTCGCTAATTCTCGGTATAAGAAAGGGGTATCAATTCTCCAGTCGCCGGTACGTCATCGCTAATATCTCCACATCTCCCTCCGGATGTTTCTCGCTGATAATCATAGGCTAACTTAGCACTTAGCACTTAGCGACCACCCCACCTCCAGCTGGAACTTGAACTCGAACTCGAACTCGAACTCGAACTCGAACTTGACGAAACGGAGTGAGTGCTAGCGTCGCTGCGATCACTGTCTACACTGGTGCGCTTTTCAGGCTGGGGCGAAGGTGACCGGCGCAGGTATGTCGGTAGGTATGTAGCGGTTGGGCTTAGAAGCTCGGGTGAAGTCTGACGCGTCTGGAACGACTTCTGGATTTGTTTGCACAGGTGTGCAGACATGGTATAGGTGGGCGACATGGTGGGATGGGTGGTTGTAGAGGGGCTCGTGACCTCGATCTGAAGTCGAGAATGTAGAGAATAATATCGATGGTCGGATACAAGACAAGAATCTCGCAATACGTCGTGTAGTAGCGCGACTGGACGGGATAGCAATACGCTTGTATGGAGGTAGGTATACCTTGAGAAGTGAGAAGTGAGAAGTGAGAAGTGAGAAGTGAGAAGAGAGGAGGATATCAAGAGCTGCTGGCTTCCAGCTTTAAGTACGAAAGGCACCGTTCGATAGGAGCTTGGTGTGGTATGGTGTGGGTGATAGGTCGAGAAAGGAAGTCGATAGACAGCCGAGATGATCAAGATCAAGATGGTATCGACGGAAAGATACTAGAAAGGAATGAGGAAAATGGAACGGGTAGGGGGAGGTAGGGGGAGTTTTATTTATTTACCTGTAGTTGGATTAAATCCTTTTGAATATTCCCAAAATAGAAAGAGAAATACTTGTGATCTACTAGTATCATGGAGCGTGGAGTGTGGAGCGTGGAGCGTAGAGCGTAGAGCGTAGAGTCAGAAGGGTGAATACCTACATATAGGTATGTTCAGCTGGCTATCGTCTGGAAAGTAGGTAGGAGGTAAAAGGCAGCCAATTGCCAGCTACAGTGGGTACAGTAGTGGTACAGTAGTGGTTCTGCAGTGGCTCTGTAGGTGGCCCAGTGGTGTTAATCGGCTGTCGTAACTACCGGGTGTCCCCGCTATATCAGGTCACCACACCCCTAAAACGGCTACTGTAGGACCTTGCGACGAATCAAGAGCTGCTTAATTCACATTACACAGCAGCCCAACGAACTTTATGTGACTCTGTACAACTCTGTATGAGCTGATCCGATCGTACGACCACACCACCTGGAAATTCCCTTCCCGGTAATTCGTATTCTACCTACAGCCGTTTGTATGTATGTACCTATGTATGTAATCCGTACATACCTACGTTGAATATTAAAAATGTTACAAGCTTCCAAGTCGCGCGATTCTTGCTAGTGATGAGCAACACTGACCCTTTACTACTAGCTCAGCTTCGTTGCACAGACATTATTCTTCGTAGGTTAGGTGACAGCCTTACCAACAAACACCGTTCGACACCACATCGGTTAAGTAAGCACCTGGTAAGGTTAGGGCAGATTAGGGCAGGTCAGGGTAGGTCAGGGTAGGTCAGGTACCTAACCTTATAGGAATACAGGATTGGAGGAACTCGGATTCGATGGATGCTTTTAGACAACTGCACGCGACCACACGATACTACTGTCTATGTACTGTCTAGGTTACTGTCTAGCGTCTACAAGATGGAATAAATTGCCTTGTTTGTATATTCGGTAGTTGCGAACAACTGCTTTTTACTGGAGAATTTACTGGAGAATTTACTGGAGAATTTACTGGAGAAAAAAAAATCACATTATGATTAAGCCCCGCACGTGCGGATTATAATAATAGGCCGCCGGCTTGGGGCTCGGTTGTCGGGATACGTCATCCCGTACTAAATTGAAGCCATCGCCGTTTTTAAGGCTGTGTAAGTACATAGTGTACCTAAAGTAAAGGTCGTCCAACAACTTCTATGGTTTACAAATCAATCATCCATACATATGCATGTCTAATGTGCATATGTACATCCATACATTAGGTTAGGTGGGTACATATGTACACTCTACATACGTTTGAGCCGCATCTTACGTTTATTTCTCTGGCTGACATTGAATGTTATGCAAGTGTAACAGTTCAAATAGCTCTTATAGTTAATATTAGTTATATGAAACTGAATCAAAATCTTGGGGACGAGTTTCAGCTACACGTAGTTAACTAACTTAGATATACAAGCAAGTTTCAATAATATTATTGAATTGAATTATAGGTGAGGTCACTATAAACCTTGGAAGTTGTCTTTCCTCGGTTTATGGTTGTTGGTTAGGTATTGCTATTACACATGCTAAAATAGAGTTGTGTCGTAGCTTAGTTATTGATTCTTTAACTACCTACCTAAGGTAGTTAACTAAGATTGAGTAATTAGGTTAGACAACTCATAGAAACCACGCTTTGTTCTTAATTGCGAGCAAAACACCAAGACTTCAAACATAGGTAGCGTATAAGGCTTAACCACTTATATTAATTGAGCAGTGCACCATGCCATAGTCCCAACAATTGATGCTAATTTGAAAGCTAATTGTCCAATCATGCATTGATACTATTATACGTAGAGTATTCATTCTTCATCTCCCTCGTATCTATAGGCATATACGTAGGTAACTTCTCTTCGTTCCGTATTAGAAACATAACTACCTCTAAACCCATCTTGTATGTATGCTCTTCTAATAATCATACCACCGCTATCCCGTATAGTCGCTTGGTATTAATATGAACGGGCCGGGACGGCATGCAGACACCCCTTTTATCGCGGCAATCCCCCGGAGGATTTACTCTGTCGTTTTTCAACCCGGAAATTCATCGCCGAGGAAAGATCTAGGATATACATATATCTAGGCTACGTATCTGCCTATGTAGGTGCCTGTGTATGTGCATACATATATATAATTCATCTTCCAACGTGGTGTGACCATCGCTCAGAAACCTGGCCATGTCGCGACGTGTGGTGTTGGTGCAATATTAGCACTCCCGTCACCACCATGTACATACATACATACATACTACGTATTTGGCCCTTGCAAAGATCTACCGCGTTTCTATCCCAAATAAACATTAAAATCGCGCGGTGTCGGACGAACATGAGGGGATACTCATTTCTATTCTACATACATACATACATATGTAAGTACCGTACCTAGGTAGGTAGGTATGTATACAGATAAACCTAGGTATGTAGGCTACCAGGTAGCTATGTAGGTAGGTTCACAAACGCTACCGCCCGGTCTGTTGCGTGTACAGAAACGGCTTCCACAGCGCTTTGACCCCGAACCACCACAGCTCGTCCTGCCACGTATTCCAGAAGTGCCCGCCGAACGGCGTGATCCGCGTCAGGTACTTGATGCCCAAGCCGTCTAGCGCGGCCTGCATGTCCTTGCCCTCGTCGAAGACCGAGTCGTACAGGCCGTACGCGACGAACAGCCCCTTTTCGGCCAACGCGGGATTCGCCGCGAGCGCCGCCTCGTCCACGTACGTGTACGGCGGCGTGGTCGCGGGCGAGAACATCCCGTACCAGTCGAAGTAGTCGGTGGCGTTGATGTACATCTCGTACGTGAGACGGCCGCCCCACGACAGGCCCGCGAAGGCCCGGCACGAGGGCGTGTCGCACACGTCGAAGTTTTCCTCTACCCACGGGAATAGGTATTTCTGGTAGTTCTCGCGGATGTGGTATGATGTCGGCAGATTCCATATGGTTGAGCTGTTCCCCATGATGAAGCGCGGCAGGCTGTCGTCCAGGTTGTAAAACGACGGCATTACTACAACGGTCGGCTCGATGTGGCACCCTGCGATCAGATTGTCCATGATGCTCGACATGCGGCCCTGGTTTTCCCAGTCGTTCCCGTTGCCGGCGGCTCCGTGAGACAGGTAAAGAAGCGGATACTTCTTCCCCTTTATCTTGCCGTACTCTGCTGGCAGGTAAACAGTAAGGTCATGCACGTCGGGCGCCGGATGGATAGACCCTGGTGATGTATAGTTGACGGATTTGATAGTACCCCGGAACTTGGGGGGCGCGGGCAGCGCATAGTCGAAGTTCGCGTCTATATCGTCGGTCCCTTGGAATCGCACGTCGAATGGTACCTGGAAGTTAGATGATACTTGATCTCCCTTGACGTTTTGGAACGGAGGCAGGTCCGGATCAGTGACGAGTTGGCCGGTAACGATGCTGCAGTTTGGTGCGTAGTTGCAGTCTATCAGATACGCATAGCTGTATATTCCCGATGGAAGAGGCGTTGTATAGGTCCACACACCATCACCTTTTGTCGTCATCTCATACGGCCACTGGTAGCCGTCGGGCATCTCTCCGTAGGATACATAGAAGTCTCCAGGCTTATAATCATGAGGATCGTACCATGCGCGGCTGTTTAAGGTTGTGTGGAAGTGGTCTGAAAACGCCTGCAATCCTCCGCCGATGAGCACGCGGCTGGCTGTTTTGTTGACGTATTTGAAGTCAACCTCGAAGCCGGTTGGGCCTTTATTCGTCTTCCGCACCGTCACCGAAGCAGATGTCGTCGCCAAGCATAGCGCCAGCAGGCTAAGAAGCTTTTGCTTGATCATCTTGACTTATATCGCATCAGGCAAGGATGAGATCCGGGTAACGTAGAAGAGCAGCACTACTATTCTAGTCACTTCATCCACGACCTTTTATAAAGCTGAGGACGTCGATGTTTACTTGGCAATGAACTTGGCAATGACAAATATGACCCGAAAGAAACCCGGTTCCGGAATCCAGAATCGGATCCAGAACCGTCCTCTGAGGTCCCGGACTATGCATCATAGAGATTAGTAGTCCCGAATTGCTTAGGATGCTAACCCAATGCTAACCCAATGCTTGCGATCATCTCGGCTGAATGCTCTTTGAGGCATAGATCTGGCATAGACCTTGAGGGGGTCCCCATGGTTATCTTTCCACAATGCCACCTTTGCCTGCCGGGATACTCCTTTCTTTGACTTCCCCGCATCTGTCTCCAAACCAAACTGACTAGGATAGCATTAATCCTCCAGTAAACTATGACGCTCTTAGAAATGTTTACACCTCTAGGCTCGGTATAAGGGTAGAATATGGCAATACGAGAACAGAAGATCTTCTGGTGCCTTGTTGTCACTTGGAGTCGGCCCTATTGTGAGGTGACTAATGCTAGAATAGTAAAATTATACCGAGATATCATATCTTTTACATATATATGTAGCAATTAACAGATAAGAGCTTCATGATATCCCCCCCCCATTTTTGATATGTTTACGTTGTTAAGATTAAATAATCTTAACCCCAACCTTAACCCCAACCTTAACCCCAACTTTTAAGCTGTTAGCGTACCTTAGGTTTATGTATCTAAGGTAGATACATCAATACTACCTAACCTAGGTAGGTACTTGAATCATCATTGGACGTCAATTGAATTATCTTAAACGAGACACAACGGGTATGTAAATATGACTTTCTCTCAGGAAATGAACATAAATAACTAACAGGAACAAAAAGTATTCATTAATTATATCGAGAAACATAGTAATATTCATTAATCGTTGACAAAATCATAATGCGCTCATCTCATCTTTAGGGGTACCATTGATTAATCCAAATCCAAATCCAAATCCAAATTCAAATCCCAAGTCAACAACACAAACTCTAGTATCCAGAAAAGCAAAACAAAATAGAATAGAATAATCTGCCGTATAGAAAAACAGATTCATAAATCGTAACTTTAGCCACGTATCTCATCATGTTGTCGCTAAGAAGACTGTCAAGTCAAATAGGAAAAGTATTGCTAAGCCTCGCTTTCTATCCAACCCACCGCCGTCGAACATCATATATCTCTTAGCGCATTTCCGAATATATTCATCAAGCTGCCGCCGGGTCGTAGTAATCCTCCAAGAGTTTGAGCAATGTCGCTGACTAAAGCAGGATCCGGCTCGCCGAATGATCTCCATGCCCCGCGGACATGCCAGCCGTTGTCGTCGCGTGGGAGAATTTCAAAACTGCCTCGTCTCGGAAACGCGTCAACGGCAGTATTGTTAGTTTCAAGTGGCTGACCAGAAGAGTCAAAACGATCAGGTAGGTACTCGATTTCGCTATCGTCAGAAACTGGTGAGTCGTCGCCGCGCACTCTACGTCGCTGGACACGTGGTCGGTTAGATGACACGTCTGAGCCTGAGCGCCTCCGTATATTTCTAGGTCGTTGAAGAAGGGCTAGCTCCTCCTCAATTTCCTCCTCCAATCGTTCTCCCACCCGTCGGCGATGTCTTCGGAGGGTTCGAGAAGACTTCGGCGAGAGAGGCACGAATTTGACTTTAGCAATAGGAGGTTCTGCATCAACACTTCTCGACCGAAGGCTAGAAGAAGATCGCTGGAGATGTTTTAAACCATCTAGGAACCTAGTTAGAAATTATAGGATTTTGTATCATGTCGTAGACACTTGGTAATACGAAAGGAAATAAACTCAAGGAGACGCACCCTGCTCAGTAGCTATACTCCGAGAGGCATCAGGATGGGATTGCATGTCACCGGAGCGTGGATGACTCACATTTTCTGGTCCGGTCCGGTTATCCAGACCAGATGATGGCCTAGATAGCGGCGGTCCGGGAGGAGGAGGCAGATTCATTGAAGGTACTCCCGCATAGTCTTGAGGATTATAGGGCGGGTAGGGGCTATAAGTATTCACGTTAGGGGTAGATGGATTCGGATGCTGCGTAAAGCCAGCCGGGCCAGCTGGGGGTGGACCAGTAGGTTCCGTGACGGGAGGAGGCGGATAGTATGCCCCACCAGAAGCATGGAGTGGCGATGGGGGCATCGCGGCGTGATAATCGTAATATGGATCGTCTGGTGCTTCCTCTTCGTAGCCTATTTCATATTTTTAGCTAGGTAATTTCATACTAGTTTTTTCCTTCATACTACGTACGCCTTCGTTCACGATCACGGGATCGCCTGGCTTTACGTTTTTCTTTGTCTTGACCTTCCCTGTCTAGCGACCTATCTCGGCTTGCTTCCCTAGATTTACCTTCTCGCTCCTTACTCTTCTGGCGGTCTTGATACTTCTTGATACCCATTGCCGCCGCCGCTGCGGTTCCGAGCCCTGCGGCCGTAACGCCGCGCAGCCTGCTACGACTCTTTTTCTTGCGAGCCTCTCGATCGGACGTGGAAGGTGAGCGATGATCGTGTTTGCGACGGCGTCGCGGCTCCTCGGTAGCAGACTCGTAGCCCTCGATGGGCTTACTCCCGTACTCTACCCCGGGAACTACGGGAACCAGGCCTAATTCTCTATCAGCCGTAGAGTCTCGTGAATGTGAATGGCGACTAAGTGACCTGGAGCGGGATCGGCTTCTTGAGTAGCCTCGATCTCTATCGTAGTACTCGTCATCTGAGTGTCTATGATGTTCGCGTTCTTTCGACTCTTTCTTTTCCTTGTGATGCTCCCAGAGCTTTTCCGCCGCAGCGCCAGTCAAGCCAGCAGCCGCAATTTCAGCACCTAGCTAATTAGAGATACTGCCTCATCTAGATGATGGATTTTGTACTTACCAGTCCTTAGGCGTGATTTGGATCGAGATTTGGACCGAGATTTTCCTCGAGACTTAGACCTATAATGCTTCACTAGACCAGCAACAGCGCTAATGAATCCCGTAATCAGCAATTTGGTACTGATTATAATGGCTTAAGGGAGAAGTAAATGACAGCGTTGAGAAGACGTAAGGAAATAGAGCTCGAAAATCCTCAACTTACCCGGTTGCTAAAGCTGCCTTAGCCGCTTTCGATTTGGATTTGCTTCGGCTACGGCCTGACCGACTTCGGGAAGTCGAATACCCGTCAGTAGAATAACGACGGCGTGCACGTCCACGATTTGCCTCTTCTTTTTCGACCTTGTTATTCTGCATATATTTCAGTCCACCAGCAACAGCCAGAGCCGCGGCGCCCTTTATATCATTAGTATTGATTGAATCACTTCTAATTTAGATGTTTGTAATACTTACGATAGCCAGTCCGGTTGTTAGTCTACTCCGTGACTTGCTTCGGTGTTGTCGATAATTGTCGTCGTAGTGATCTTCGTATCTGTCATCGTGCCTATCTTCGTACGCGCTCTTTGCACGGCGTACAGCCTCGCTACCTAAGGCGCCTAAAGCAGCACCAGCGAGAACCTTGCGCCCTCTATGCTCTTGGTACTCGCTGTTTTTATCGCCACGACCGGAGAGTAGGGCCGTGAGGCCGGCGCCGGCAAGGGCACCTTCAGCTAGATGTCGTTTCTTGTGACGGTCAGAGCTAGAACTACGTTCTCGTGTTATGATTGTCCTCTTAATATAGTAGTCCTCATCATAGCCGTCGCTTTCATATTGTCGCTCGTCTCGACGCCGTCGGTCTTCCCGGCGATAATGATAATCTTCTTCCTCCCGGGGCTCTGGGCGGGGCGCTACTTGCCGACGCTCATCCCTTAAGACGATATACGTCGGTTCCTGCCGCGGAAGTATGACGGGAGCAGGCGCGGGAGCTTCATGAATAATAACCTTCTGTTCGGGAAACTTCTGGCGAATAACAACAGGCGCTGGCGGAGGAGATGGTGCCGCGTAATACTCGACCTCTTTTCGGTATCGCTCAATATCGACGTCATGAGGATTCTTGTCCACTTCAACGCGGCGCTCAATCACGAGATCCCGCTCCTTATAGTCGCGAGGTTCTTCTCTATACTCCTCGGTTTTCTCTCTGACCTGTAGCTCTCCGTTTGGTTCTTCGCGCACGATACGCTTTTCAACGCGAACATCTTCCCGGACGTCCTCCCAAGGGTAAGTCGACCGACGGTCCCAATAATGGTCGCGAGGTGATGAAGAGGATGTCTTAATCTCTTCAACAACTTTGGTGCGAGAGTGTCTCTCGGGGTAATGATCCCGATCGACGTCGCGTTCTCGCTCGTATTCGACAGTCCTGTACCGGTCGTGGTCGTAGTCGTGCGAGTCGACAGCCGATCTAGGTCGCTCGGGATAAGAGGTTCTCTCAACACGGCGATCTACTTCTAGCATCTCGCCAGAGGAACGGCCGACATTGGAATGAGAGTGTGAGTGCGAATGTGAGTGCGAGTGTCTTGACCTTCGGTCATCGTCCTCTTCATAGCGCTCGATGCGATCCCTCTCAACAACTCGGCCTCCACCTCCTACCTTGTACCGCCTCACCGTTGTACTTTTATATCTGTCGTCATCAGACGAAGGACTATCCTCCCTTGTGTAGCGCACATCGCGCTCACGATAAACCTGGGACATCTTGTTGTGAATCCCAATAGCTGAGAGATAGTGACGTCACTGAAGCGTAGATGATTGATTTTAATAAATACGAAGGTGAAAATAAAGGCGAATTATGAGGATAAAAGGTATATACCTAACTAGACGATACCAATACCAGGGACTATTTATATCGCGGCAAAAAAAGAAGGCTGGTGACGATGTGGGATGATGGAGAGTGTCACGCAGGACTTCTACCCATTAAGTTGGGCTCGAGAATGATCGGGAAGAGCGACAGACGCTGAGTGATGGGCAACTGGATGATGGCGTTCCCGAGGGGCACCGACTGTGACTCTGAACCAGCCCAGCCTAGTTGATTACTTGGCGTTCGGAGCTTTTGTGGAGGGGCAAAGAAGATGAGTGACGCTGTTAGTCTCTTATCAACCCTGCCATGCTTGCTCTGCCTCGTGGCTATTTAGTCTCTAGGCTTGCCGGTTCTCCAGGTCTCTTGGATTTTCCTGATTAACCTTGGAAGTACGTTATGCAGTTCGTTTGCGCTGCGCCTTGGTATCGTGTATGTATGTATGTGTACCTAGATAGGTAGGCAGGGGTTTATTTGCGCCAACTTGTGTGGGAGAAGACGAGACCCTCAGCTCCAACGTACGTACCTAATGTATTGATGCGGGGTTCCCGACCTAATCAATATTCATAATACTTACGTCTTATATCGCTCAGTTGGATATCGAACACCTCAAAACATAGCCGCGAAATATCAGCGAAATACCAGCGAAATATCAGACAATTTTCAAAGAGGAAAAATCCTACAGCATTCGTACATATTGTAGGACTTTCGTTATTACAAACCAAACAGATGGTTGCGGCCACTTGCTTATGATGATAATAAGTGAGACTTTTTTTTTCATCACCTTGTGATCATTCTCTAAGCTGGGGGCTGTGATAACTTCTAGTCTCGTTTGCTGTGGTTTTAATTGGTGAGTTGGTTGAATTGTGTGCATATGCAGCTTTTATCCATGTAAACTGGGTCCCGTGGCCTATAATGTGCACTTCCCTCTAGCTGCTTCTCAATTATTCTTTATGTTTTCCGCGCCTTCCTAGCTTCTATAATATTCTCGTGTTCTGTACGAGGTACCTACTTGAAAATTAAGTCGGAATAATGTCGTCATTTTTCCTGTACGAAGAAGCATTGCTGGCAGGTTGGCAGGCTGGCCCCTCAAATCGGGACTCGGCGCATCGAGATAGTCATAGTGGGTCCTGCCAACTTTTAGTGGCCTTTTTCACCAACAATTGTAACAACCTAACCTACCTCATACATGCCTGTTACATCATCCTTCTAAGCTCAAAATGTAACTATTCTTAATTCCATTCTCACGTCAAGTACAGAGTCTCGATACTACGTTGGAAGGGTGAAACCCAGCTGAGAAGTAGTTACCTTTTATATATATATATATTTTCTTTTTCTAAAATATATATATATTTCGATGGGAAAACGACTATATTATTCGCCATCTTATGAAATTTCATGCAATCTTACCAAGAGAAGCTGAAGCCTCATATCGAGTAAGCTTACTCAGTAAAGCATCTAGCCCACCTGCAATGCCTACATAGTACATACTTGCTAACATTAAGTACATGCTTGGTTATTCAATGGATTCATCACATCCAAGTTTCTGCCTTGACCGGCTTGTTGGAAACAGGGTATATATACATAATATTCCTTCTCAAACCACGGACTCCCCACCGGTCTCATATATAACTTGATGAGCTCACATAGAAGAGTCGTATCTTAACAGTGCTGCTAGACCCTAAATCTTTCACCGAGTTGAAGTATAATATATACTAGGACTATGCTTGGATTGTGTAGGTAAGTATACAATGGACGTGTTATTTTTGGTTGATTGATCGTGGTTTATCCAGTTCGATCTATTCGAATATGGATCCTGGATCTCCGGCCCTAACCCATTAAACGATGCATTTGCTCGGCCATTCTATGCCACATTTTAATTGATAAGCACCCTCATTTCCATCCACGATTCTATGCTTCCACCCCGCATTCCCGAAGCCTGCACGGAGCAGTTGTATTTGAAAGAACACCTGTTCGGTTGAACCTATCAACAACGTCCTGTAGACAGGATAAATGGATAAATAATGATATTTTACCTAAAACCTCACACCAATGACGGATGCCTCGCTGATCTATCGTAGAAATAGCACGGTCCAAGGGGTTATGCTTACGTCAATGATATTGCGAATAAGACAAGGATAGCATCCTAATCACCTATAACCCTTCTCTCAATATTCTAAGCGACGCGGCAGATGTAGTATCGGGTACGGAATGAAATTCGGTTAATTGAGAAAGTAAATTACACATGTCGATCTGAATCGCTTCAAGCTATGGGTAGCATACGCGTCGGGACTGACAGGGTGAAGACCAAAGCACATATCTTCCAGTGATTGACCAACCAGCGTTCTAGCCATCTTACAATGCCATATAGCCTTGCTCTTTTGAGCCTTGGCAAAGCTTGTTCCGATGTTCCTGCATTGCTTAACCGACCTTGCACTATGTTAGCTAGGTAGCTTCTGGCATTAGCTAAACATATCTGTAGGTCTTCGACAATTTGCCGAAAAACTTCATCCCCTGGGTAGGCAGTTATGGGCATAGGTTGGCGTGATGTGATTTTGGAAAGGGGAAGTCTCTCCGTAGAGTCAAAATGTGTATATATATAACCCTATGATCACCTCACTCTGAACTGAGAATAGGGTCAAATCACTACCAAATTCTACTCAGTCGTCTTAGGATAATCGTCATGAAGGGAATCATCGCTCTCCTACTTCTTGGCCTCGCTGTCGCAGCACCTGTCAACCAGGAGCTTCAAAACGAATGTAAGTTGGGCCATATTTAGGTCTTAACGACACAAAAGCTAACACACATAACAGTGCCTGGTGAAGACATCAAGAGTAAATACTATCGGCTCCAAGAAGTTGACTATGCAAACGGGTTAACGTGTATCATATAGCTCGCCCGCATCCCACCGGTCTTCCCACCGTTAGCTTTTCGCTTCCGCCGCTACCAACTGGCTCCGGCTGTAAGACTTTGTGCCCTCACTCTAGAAATACAAGCTAATACAATCTATAGTCCCCGGATGTGAGCTAACAACGTATGATATCGCAACTGGCAACAAGCTAATAGAGTCCAAACAGTCCCTCGCCCAACTGGTAAACCAGGTGGCCCAGGTGGTACGTTCTAACTCCTTGTTACTATCATGACTTTAGTTAACAGGAATCAGGTTTCCCGCGCCCTACAGGCGGCCCTCGTCCCACGGGCCGTCCCAAACCCACCAGCCGCCCTCATCCCACGGGTCGACCACAGCCTACTAGTCGACCTCACCCCACTGGTCGCCCCGGCCGCCCTACCACTAAATGTTAGTTTCACGTCCTGAATTTCCATCTAATATATGAGGCTTGTTTCTGACTTATCAATAGCGTCGCTGCCCACTCCCACTCCGACGCCGTGAAATGGTGCAACGTGCTGAGTTATCAAAAGCGTCATGAAGAGGACCTTACTCTAGGCTACGACACTAAAGGTCTATTCATCATTTGCTTAGTTATTAAAAAAAGAGGATAGTGTAGTTAGGACGGATATGACAGGCTACCATTCTAAGTAGACAAGAACGACAAATAATCAGGGGCTTACTAGACCTGACAATATTCTTGTATTTTAACTTCACAACCTTATCTCAAGAAACTTGGATTGTACTTTCTACTACACGAGTAAGCCCTTCCCATAACTTGTAGGTGGCTACCCTGCCACATAGGTAGCCAAAAATAAGGGTAAGAGCTCTGCATTATTGGCTGAAGGAAAGATGGAAAATGTACTTGTAGCAACGCCGTTGGGGAACGTGCAGGAAGTAAGTACGTGTATATCTCCTAACCCGACATAGTTATATCCAAATACTACATGTATTAGCTGAATCTATCATCCTTCTTCGTCAAACGCTTCACTAGAAAACATCAATTTCTTCGCGCCGCCCCTTTTAACCCCTATGTATATCATTATCAGTACAAAAATAGCCCTATTTATCAGCAACTAGAGGTCATATTTCTCTATTGGAGGCTTACCCGAGTTTCTATGGTCTCAAGACTAACTTCCCATAACCCTTGCTTCGGAGTTTACATGATCTATCTTTTATATCGGCTTCCCCATCACTAACCAATACGGTGGCGGTCTGTCGGTAAACTCTGCGGATAACTCTATGTGGTAGCTTGTCGAGAACCAATACTCAATAGTCACGCCGAATAGCTACCTTCAACACCGTCTTCCAAGATACTACTATGGAGCCCAAATTCAATACGAGCTTGCGTCCTAGCAATTCAACCCCCTCGTTGAAAGCTGCGAAAACCCGCCCAATATCTGTTCGTTCTACAGGATTCAGATCATACCATCATATATTGTTAAAGTCAGAGGATTCAGCGGACCACTTGATCAGGGACTTACCGATACATCCAGTCTTAACACAGGGCCCGCCAGAGCTTACAGGGAGAAACGCCGTCACGACCCATCAGCCCTCTCATGTATCTATACCTACAAGAAAGTCTTTCAAGGCTGATCTTGAAAGCCAAATCCCAGGAACTCCTATTCTTGACGAAACAAGACGACCTGGAATAGTGTGTATTGATCCTACAATGCATGCTCCAGGCAAGCACGCAGAAATCCACCATCCTGGTTTAATTATAGGTGCTGACTTTTGTGATGCTGGGATTGCCGTTGAGCGCGATTCTCCCATCAGAACACCACCAAGCAAGCCTGCTTCTGAGCGTCCTGGGCCTGTATTAACTGGTCGGGTTCGCCGTGTTCTTTCAGGGGGTGACATTTGCGAAGATATAGTTGATGTTTCCGAGCATATCCACAAGAACCACAGCTCAGCTACAAAGGTTCGTCCGGCTATTGGATTAATCCACAATAACGAAAAGCACAGCGGCCACTTTCGTATCTCGAAGGTCCAACCTGCCCTTCAAAAAGTTGAGCAAAAGAAGATAATTCACCAAAGCAAAGTACACACCCGAGCGGATTCTACGCCGGAAAAGCTATACATCTCAGAGCACGTTCACCGTGGCCACAGTCTCACGCCAAAAGTCCGCCTATCCCGAGATGATTCTAGAGACAGCACATATCACAGCGATCCCCATGAAGGCCATATTTGGGTTCAGAAGGTACAGCCTTATCACGAGTCGGCATCTACCGCCTTTATAACAGAGGAAAACTCAATTCCAAGGTTATCCGTGAAGAAGCACGTCCAACAGGGTGACGATTCAGCAAAATCGACTTCGTACTGGGGATTCTTACCAGGATTCGGAAATCAAGAAGGTGAGAAGGCCGGGGTGACTGGTGAACCTGTGGATGACTCAATCCCTCATGTTAGCAATGAAAACCATCCTTCATTGAGCGCCAGTCAGTATTCTGCTTCTCAAAAAAGCCTCGACGCTGCCTCCAAGCCCGTTGCGAGACTTGCAGAATTCATTGGTAATCAAGAGTTCCTTCGCCATACCAATGCGAACTTGTCATCACTTGGAAAATTGTTTAGTAGTAGCCATTCACAGGACAGAGCTCCTCTTCGGGATAATGGACAAGAAATGGAAATTCCTACAGCATCTGTTTCTCCAACTTCATATGCGCATCAAATGGGGGGCGATAACAATGCTGCAGAACAAGGTATCTTACCTGAAGGGATTGACCCAGCGCATGCTGCAACCTGGCTTCGTCAGTTTCTCGGATATCCAGAGTCAAGCCCTCCGAATCTTACTCAACTACCGGAGAAATCCCATCCTCGTCACGAGGATCATGACGACTACCCCAACAACAACGACGAGGCGTTGGTTTCTAGAGCGACGACTTTCTCAGGGAAAACTTCAAGAGAGGCCGGAATAATGGACTCGGCTATGCATAACCTTGAGCAACTACTCGACGAAGCACTTTTCCTCGCCAATGAAGCTACCGAAAACGACCGTTGCGGGCATGATAATGACAAGGACCTCATTTCCCGCCTACAGAATGCAACCGAGACTTTTAAGGACTCCCCAATCTTATCTGATTCCCAGGTAAATTATGGGAGAGATTTAGTTAAAAGCCCGCATCGTCATCCACTTGCCGAGGAACTGCAAGATACCATCGTATATTCGGCCGAAGAAAAGGTTGGCGGCCTTAAGACTTCATCCTCAAAGCCGGTAACCCAAGAAGAACTACTAGAACCTGACATGCGCAACGGCAACATCGTGCGGTCAAATATAAAAAATGGATCGAATATCCGTGGCCTCCGGAAGCCTAAAGAAAGCAACAGAGAAAGTCGCGAAGTACGCCATCAGATTTCCGATGGTGAGGATATTTTGCCTCTACCACCACCAGGCAGTAAACTCAAGAGACGATATCTGTCTCCAATGCTTCAGGCATATGAAGAGGATGATCCCACTGGGGTCATAAGACCTCGTACCAAGGCTGTGCCCAACAGTAGAGAAGTCAGGGAGTATATTCGCGTATTTCATCAGCCACCAATCACCCCTCGACACAGTTCCAAGAACCTTAGCGAAAACTCACTAGGAATGGAGCTCCAGCCCCGTCGATCGGCCACCATTTCCGAGGGCTTCCGCAGAGATGTAGATGTAGATGTATATAGCTTTCATGACGGCACATCTGATGATACAATAGACTTTTCTACCCAATACAACAATGACAGAAGAGGGAAGGAAATACCAAGCATCGAAGTGTCGACATATAACGGCAACCAGAATGTATTGACTACTAAACTCGGAAGAGCTCGAAGGAAGGTGACTTCCAAGAGAATTCACGAGTTGCGCAATGTCAACCTTCGGAGGAGGTCTCACGTCAGTATCAGGGATGGGCAACGATTCAGCCTTACCAAGTCGGTGAAGCGGCAGCCTATAATCGCTCGCGACTGGTCTCCTATCCGTAAGAGATTCGTCGCCTCCGTTGCGTGCATCAGTACAGCCTTGATTGGTATCCTGGTGGGAATCTACGCAGGCTTGGTTCCGTCAATTCAATATTTCATTGCAGATTTCCACCATTATTCAATCATCGGCAACGTGGTATTATACCTTGGAATGGCATTGTCAACATTTTTTTGCTGGCCATTGCCACTACTGCACGGCCGGAAACCGTACATTTTATGCAGCCTATGCGTGGCTCTGCCGCTTCTCTTCCCGCAAGCCGTTGCGGTCAGCATACCTAGATCACCGTACACCAGCGTTTGGAGATGGGCGTTGCTTCTTCCTAGAGCAATCATGGGCTGTGCTTTGGGTCTCGCGAGTATGAATTTTCATTCGATACTAACCGACCTCTTTGGGGCATCCCTGATGAGCAGCAATCCGCACCAGGAGGTCGTCGACCAATACGACGTAAGGAGGCATGGTGGCGGACTCGGCATTTGGCTGGGCGTCTGGACATGGTGTTTCATCGGCTCATTAGGTATCGGCTTTCTAATCGGTGCTGTAGTCATTGACACTCTAAAGCCATCGTGGGGACTTTACATTAGCATCATGCTAATTGCACTCGTTCTCCTTCTTAACGTCTTGTGTCCCGAAGTTCGACGTGCGGGTTGGAGACGCTCCGTAGCCGAAGTCAGGACCCCCTTGGGAGTATCCCGAAGAGTAGCTCGTGGGGAGATTATGATGCATCGAGTCAAAGATGGCCCCAGATGGTGGGGACAGGAGATGTATCACGGGGTCGCCCTATCTCTTGAAATGCTTCGTCAACCGGGCTTCGTTATTATGGCCGTATATTCTGCATGGATATATGCTCAAGTCGTTTTGGTCATCGTTGTAAGTCGATTTCATATTTCGTCAACTTGCGTCGTCCGCTAATGATCCAAAGCTTCTGGGGTCTCTATCTTCTAGGCACTACCATTTCCGGTCTCCGTACGTAGGTGCTGCGGTCTCATCCGTCGCTATCGGAGCGCTTGCAGCAGTGCCGTTCCAAAAGGCAAATCTCTTTTCACGGTCCCGATGGACAGGTCCGCCAACAAACAATATGACCTTCGACAAGTCGGTAACTTGGACCTCCCACCTTGTTCGGCGATCTATCTTCATTATCGTACTCCCAATTACCGGAATTCTATACACTGTGGTCTCGTCCGGCCCGCCTGTCCATGTCGTATTTCCTTGCTTATTTGCGGCTATAATCGGGTTCTTGTCGTGTCTTGCGATCGCTGAGTGCAATGGTATACTGATGGAAACGTGGGATTGCTCTGACTTTCAGCCGGGCATGACGGGTCGGTCTAGATCAGGAAAGGACAGTACGAAACGGACCAACTACTCCTCTTTCCCCCGAGTTACTGCTGGATGGAACATTATTCACAGCATCGGTTTCATTCTTGCTGCGGGAGCAACAGGTATCGGTGGCATAGTCACGCGGAATCTAGGGCAAAGGGCTGCAACGGGCATTGTCGCATCCATCTTGTTCATACACTCTCTTCTACTACTGGCCGTGTTTGCGCGTTTTCGCAGGATACAAATCGTACCCAACTCAAAGAGCTTTGAGATGGAAAGATGGACCGAAGAACGTCGAAACAGTGTACGCCGGCACGCCTCTGCAGTAGCCGCTGCTAAAGCTAATGGCCTCAAAGATATCACCGAGATCCCCGAAGAAGACGTTGGCTAGAGGCCTGTCGTTCTTGGCAACCCATCAGAGAAATTCCGCCGTATGAATATCCTCGAGCTGGGTTCATTGACTCGCTGGAGCGAAATTCGCAAGAAGAACCGATTGATCGACAAAGGCATGCATCTTAATCGACAGACAGTCGGCTTAGCACGCAACGAGATCGACCGGAGGCGCCATGAATTTATAGGTGACGTTCACCGGAGCGCAGAAGCCGTTGGGGACCTCGTCCGCAAAGTAAGCAAGAGAAGCAAGCGTAGCCACGACAGTGGTCACGATAACACTTCCCGAGATGATCCCGATGACATGGGTCCACTAGGTCCACCAGGGGCCGGACTTGAACATGAGCATTCCTCATTACCCCACGAGGTTTATGCCGAGCGCGAATGCGTCATGGGCCAGGCCGTGCCAGAGGAAGTGGAGGTTTCATCGATAGACGACGCATCGGACGATGATTCGGACGACGAACATGAATGGATACAAATGGAAGATCATTCATCTCATATGACCTCCAAGGTTCAGCCATACACTGACTTCAAAAGACAAAATTTGCGAGGCGGCGAAGCTAACACGGGGGACTACGTGATCGACATGGATACCATCCAGGGCGAACACGGCTCGCATAGTGAATTAAAGGTCAAGCCTGCCGAACCAGATGGTCCAGAACAACATGGCGTACGCAAAAGCGAGGCCAGTTCAGTAGATACGGAACTCAAAAGGCTAGCCCAAGAGCACGGCGCTCATACGTATGAGAGCAAGGTTAAATCCGCAAGTATGGAATTCGAGGATGCTGACTTGAGCGGGAAATCTAGCCGCAGAGGTTCGAAAGCAACGAAGCAAGATTAAAAGGAGAGCTGAAGCAGGAGCAGGAGTGGGGGTTATCAATCCCAAGGCCAAGCCGGAGAATGGTACTATGAAGCCTGTATTGGTATTAAGAGAATAAGTACCTAAGATCTTCAATCTTGAACCTATTATCACCTAACCTAAGTAAGTGTTAAGTAAGTGTTAAGTAAGTGTTAAGTTACCTGTGTTGGTTAAGTGTTGGTTAAGTGTTGGGCATTGAATATTCTATAAATGGAGTAATTATTCAAGTCGCCCCGATAACAAGCATAATCGGCATAGATAGATATTCGTATGCAATTATAGCTAAACCTGGAAGAAAGGAGACCATCTGCAACTTCCGGACATTGTACAAATGGACGTAAAGAAATGTAAGCAAGACATAATTGGTTCTTCGGACATAATGATAAGCCTATAAGCCTATAAGCCTATAAGCCTATAAGCCTATGAGCATATGAGCCTATGTATGAGCCTACGGCTCTGCCACAATTGCTAGATTGAGTCTAGTCTAGCTGCCTCTTGCTACCGACGCCGCAAGTTCATTTTTATTCCCAATTTCGTCATCCCCGAGGTACTCAGCCAAGCGATGCTAGCAACCGCGCCATTATGAAGCTCTATGCCATCGGAGATCTCCACCTGAGCTACGAGTTCAACAGGAAAGCCCTCGAGGAACTAAAACCGCACCCGGACGACGGTCTGATCCTATGCGGTGACGTAGGCGAGACGGCCGAGCACCTAGAGCTAGCCTTCTCGGCGGGCAAGCGTAACTTCAAAGAGGTCTTCTGGTGTCCCGGCAACCACGAGCTGTACTCGATGCAGTCGTCGAGGCCAGACCTGCGCGGCGAGAGCAAGTACGAGCACTGCGTAGAAATTGCGCGCAAGCACGGCGTGCACACGCCCGAAGACGACTTCGTGCGCTGGGAGGGCGAAGGCGGCCCGGCCGTCGTCGCGCCCGTCTTCACGCTGTACGACTACAGCTTCCGCCCGGCAGACGTCAGCCGCGAGAACGCGCTGCGCTGGGCCGAGGAGACGGATACGGTGGCTACGGACGAGTTCCTGCTGCATCCGGACCCGCACGCGTCGCGCGACGACTGGTGCCGCGTGCTGGTGCGGAAGTTCGAGGAGAAGCTGGCGCGCGCGGTGGCGCAGCATCCGGATGCCAAGCTTGTTATCGCGAACCACTGGCCGCTGCGCGAGGACCTGGTGTACATACCGCGGGTGCCGCGGTTCAGCCTCTGGTGCGGGACGAAAGCTACCGAGGACTGGCACACGCGGTTCCCGGCGAAGGTGGTGGTGTCGGGACACTTGCACGTGCCGCGCACGGACTGGAAGAAGGGGGTGCGGTTTGAGGAGTGCAGCTTGGGGTATCCGAAGCAGTGGGGCGATGTGCATGCGAGCGGGAAGGATATCAATGATGTTTTGCGGGAGATCTTGCCGGGGCCGGAGGCGCCGCTGGGTGGGGAGGCGGAGATGAGGTGGCGGAGGTGGGTTTGATGGGGATGAATAGGGGATTGTATGGGGGTATGAGATATGAGGTATGAGTTATAAGGTAGTATTAAATCGTGTCGGGGTATGTATAGAGGGCATTATACGGTCCGTACATTGTGTGTTTATTTTAGATTCCCTGTTATCTTAATCTAGGGTCTTGGATGGATCTGCTAGCATTGGTGTCTACTGCAAAAGGGGTCAACTCATATGAGATCATGATAGTGAGAGTGATTTGTTAAATGCCTAAACGATCCTGGAAGAGAGATTTGTAGATATACTAGGTTTACACTCACTCATGCCTCGCTCTCATATTCGTATTCCACATCATAATAATAAAAATGATTATAAGGACCATCTTCATCTTTCGGAAGAAGCATCTGCTCAATCTCCGTATGTCCATTCTCCCTAGTGCAATCAGCAGCGTTACGATTCCACAATGACCAACTCCCACAGCGCTATATCGCGCTGTTCTATCGTACCGATCTTTGACATATCTCGTAGCCCCATTCCTGAGCAGCAAAGCGACAACATGTTCGTGGCCGCAGGCAGCTGCCAAATGAAGCGGTTCTTCACCGATTAGATTCTTCTCATTCACAGGTGCCCTAGCATTTAGGAGTTGTTGGGTTGCCATTCCTTCATCACAGATGGTCTTCGTGCTAATTTCAAGTGACTTGGGAGAAACGATATAACATAATCAAGGAAGGGCCTGTCATTTATCAGCATTAAAAACTCCGCGTAATCCTTTTCTTCCCAAGTTTTCGTACTGCTATCCGATACTGTGTCCCGAGTAAGTGAAATCTTAAGATACCGTACACAAACCGATAACATGCCGTCGTTTCCATCTTTATCATTCATTATGAACGGACCAGCGACTTCTCTTTGCAAGAAATCTCTTACATTCTCATGTACTAGCTGTACAAAGGGTGGTTTGATTTCTAAGAGGTCTCCACATCGTGCCGTAATACGATTGCGTAGGAGTCGAACTCTGTGTCTATCAATATCCTTTGGAATAACGAATGTATCAGACTCTATGGCAGATGAGACGATGATAGCATCCTTCACTTCGGGCAGAGTAAGACGCCTTAGTGCAAACATGGCAACCGAGATGAACCTTCGTCCCTCGACTATGTCATTTTTTAAATTCTTCGATAAATGGTCAACGATCTGCTTGTAGATTCCATTAAGCTCAAGCGAGAGAAAAGTCTGTGGTTGCATGAGCTCAATGTTATTGAAACCCGTTTCCACAAGAGTCTTGATTTTCTTTAACACCAAGTCGACCCATAGAAACACACCTTCGGCGTGTTGCTTGATATATTCTTTTACTCCGTCGAGCTCATTATCACGTATCTCATCATCACTTCCGTGACTTTCGTTTTTCAGTTGCTTCATAATTTCCTCGATCTTCTCATCAACAATTATATTTATGTCGTCACGATTATACTCCTCTAGGATTAGACGAGGAATCCGGTGCACGTAAGGAAGCTCCCGCAGAGGTCGGCTTGTCATTAATACTTTTATGGCGCATTTTGATGTTGAGGAGCAGACGTTCTGCATTGTATTAATGACGTCGACTAGACTATTCCCCTCTTCATCGCGATACGATTCATCCATGGCATCTAATACGATGAAGATTAATAGTTCAATATCAATGGTAGTAAGAGATCCGAAATTCTCTCCGAGATCGTCAAATTTCCAGCTGAAGTTGAAACCAGACTGGCTGCGTTGAAGTCTGTACTTCCCCCTGAAAATAGGATACAGCAAAGGTTCGGCCGATAATAATTGCCATAACACAGCTTGAAGCATACTTTCATGGCTCTTTTCGGTCGGGCCTCCGCGGGACGAATAGAAGAAGTAGCCAAGAAGAGGCTTTCGGCCATATGCCCCCAAACCAAAAATCCTGTCCTTCTCCTGAATTATCTGTTTTGCCAATGTCGACTTACCACTTCCTGGCTTTCCTTCAATTACTAGGAGGCTCGAAGAGCCGGGTGATATCCACTGATTGAAGATTGCATCCATCCAAAGCTAGTGACCAGTGGAAGAATCAGCATTGAAGATGATACTTGGGCGTGCATTAAAGTCAACAGTGCGGAGGCTCTGAAGACAACCTTTGCGATAAGCTAGTTAACACTAGACTCCTTAGAAAATAAGGTAGGGTGGTGTAATACCTTTTCGTTCTTTATCCTCGTCGATGTATGGGATAATCTCGATCTTTTCCTCAATGTATCTCAACAGGGATGAAAAGATACGAGGTTGGGTGACAAAGAATATTTTGATAGCAACATTTTCTTGACTTGAAAATTTCTCCTTTAGGTGAAGGAGCTGTGAAATGAACGTGTAGAGCCTCAGAGTGGGACATATCGAGCCCGTCGATGATTAGATATATGCGTGGTTCCGATACTTCCAGCAAAACATGATAGAGCACCTCACGTAGTCTGCTCAAAATCCAAAGCTCTCGTCCTATAGTAGCCGGAGGAGGCATGGTAAGTTGTGAAAGTGGGAAGATTTCCATTACACGCCTAATAATCCGAGAATCAGGTTCAAGCTTATTTAGGAGATAGTTTAGCATTCGTATTGCTTGGAGGGATAGCTCCTGTGGTCTCTGCCCCGGACCAAACCCTAGTGATATTGTACATGACAAGTACAGGACCCGTTCTTCACGTTCCCGGAGCCTTTTTACCACAAGCAATCCAGCCTGTTTCATGTATAAGGATTGTAAGTCGCCTCCAAGCCATAGTAACATAGATGATGGTGCTGACTGCCACTCTCTGAAGTCAGGGTCTTCAAAAAGCCAATCTAGCTCTTTAGATATGGTGATAGGAGTTATGGTAGCTTCTAAGGAGGCATCCAATTCGTTTGGTGCGGGTAGCTCAAGTGTTGAAATGTACAGATCCAAGTTATTTTCCGCATCTACGTTTTCTGCTAACAAGGCCTAAGTGTCAAAATTTTGATTGGGATTACCGCTGGTAGGAGAATCATGAGGAAAAATGTAAGTCAAAGTCGGGTACATACTTGGTGTCTTTTCCATATATTGCACTATGGCAAACAATAATACCTATGTAAGTAGGTATCTACTATATGTACCTTAGGTACGGTTGAGGTAGGTAGGTATATATTGAAGGTTTAAAGGGGTATATCGTTAGCTACAATCGCATATGTATCTTATCTCTTGGAGGTACCTGTAAACTAATGTTGTTTACTATTACACGTACCTAGGTACCTAATGTAGTTAGGTAACTACATGTATTCACTCAGGTACCTATGTACTACATTAGTACCTACCTATTAACTTACCCCTGAAAATATGTAGTTAAATAAAACCAACCCAAACTTCCATCTTGCTCCTATACAATTCCTCAAAACACTCTAACCCAAACCCTCACAATGGCGGATATCGTCAATTCTACGATAAGCGAAAGCCCAGAAACGCCTCTACACCCATACTACCCCCTGGGCGTTGTAATCGCGGACTACGCGGCCAAGACCCTCTCGACGCAGGAGATTCTAGCCATCTTCACGGGAACATGCATCTGCATCCTCGGCCCGATGTGGTTCTACCTGCGGCACGCGCGGCCTAACCTACCGCTCAGCGACGTCTTCACGACGCTGTGGTTTGTCCTGTGCGGCTTCATCCACATCGGCTTAGAAGGTAGACCGCCCTTTACTTAAATCCACGTAGATCACATATGTAGGTAGGTACTAACACAACCTAGGTTACTTCGCGCTGCACGCGCGCGACATAGCCAGCCGCTCAGCCGTGCTCGCGCAGCTCTGGAAGGAATACTCCCTCTCCGACTCGCGGTACCTCACGGCAGACACCTTCGTCGTATGCATGGAGACGGTAACGGCCGTGTTCTGGGGCCCGCTGTCGTTCGCCATCGCGTGGTGCATCGCCGCCGAGCACCCGCTGCGCCACCCGCTGCAGTCCATCGTCAGCCTGGGCCAGCTCTACGGCGACGTGCTGTACTACGGCACCTGCACGGTCGACCTCGTCGAGTTCGGACGCGAGTACTCGCGCCCCGAGCTCGCCTACTTCTGGGGGTACTACGTTTTTCTCAACGCCTTCTGGATCGCCATTCCGCTGTGTCTGATCGTGAGCAGCACGCGCGAGACGGCGAGGGCTTTTGCGACAGTCAAGGGGAGCTTGAGGGCTGAGAAGACGAAGTAGGGATTGGTGGGATGTTATACGTAGGTAGGTATCGCTGTGAGATTATGATTAGGGGCGAATGACTTAGTAAATAGGTACCTACCTATAGCTGAGAGCTTGCTTTTTTATTATTGCGCATTGTTGGTACGATTTTACGAGACACGAGACATGATATACTTTTTATGATCAATACTACGTCATTTTAGGTGTTTTGCCTTTAAAGAAAAGAGGCTGAAATCCCATGTGGTAGTATCGCACTAACTTCACGACTAAAATGTAGTTTACCTAGCTCTAGCCAATTAAATAACACCAACTCCCGTCTTTACCTACGTCAGACCGGCAACTCGGAGTTTTTAATGTGGAGGTAAGGTGGAGGTTAGCTGTAGCTAAGCTTATACTGAGTGAGAATTCACTAAACCCCTCATTATGTAGTATACCTAAGCACCCAAACACCACGGTAACTACATTTACAACTACATTTACATCTACATTTACATCTACATTTACATCTCATCACCACCAGTCACAAAAATGGTCTACACAATAGTCGTGCACCTCCGCGCCAAGCCCGGCGCAGACAACATCGCCAAACTGCACGCCAAGCTCAACGAGGCCTCTGCCATCTACTCCAAGGACCGGGAGACCATATCCTGGTTCGTCAGTAAGTACAACAACATATTTCCCTCCCTCCTACCCCCCGTAACACGCACGTACGAATTCCTATGTTAAACACCACCACCACCAGTGCAATCGATCCACGACCCGCAAGAATTCACCATCGTGGAGCGCTTCGAGAACGAGGGGAGCCAGAAGTACCACCTGGAGAACCCGTACTGGAAGACCTTCGACCCCTTCGTGGTGCCTCTGCTAGAGAAGCCCATGGATTTGCGACGGCACGAGGAGTTAGTTCCTAAGGCTGGCGAGGAGGCTCTGCTGAAATAGATTACTGAATGGCCATTCATCATGAAGCGGGCCGGTTACTTATGGCTGTGCCATAGATGGGTTTCATGTTTGCTTCATGAGAGTGAGATATATGAGACATTGTTACGTATCTCATTCAAGCTAGTATTATATCACTTATATAGACAGCTTTCTGAACGGGGTGAACCCATAATAACAATTCCGCTCGTGCACTCAAACTTATTCTCTGCCTATATCCAAGAAATACGTAGTCCGTTCATCATCTCCCAGAGTGTCCTTTAGGCATCTTCTTCTCCTCGAGCTCCTCTAAATCCTTCTTCTTGTGGAAGTGCGGCGCGACCTCATTCAGCCAATGCGGTTTGATGGGCATGCAGCTACGCATATACTCTTTATTGGTGAGCACCAATTCGTAGTAGATTACCATCTTCTCCGGAGGATCTGACTTCATCAACACCGAGCTGGGGTGGATCCACACCGTTGTGTTATTCTTAACGGTTCGATAGCTGTCGCCGTTGCGCTGTAGCTTGGCTGCGTTCGGGAAGAAACCTGCGGTGAGAGCCTTTTTAATAGGCTCGATGTTGGCCGAACCGCATGTAGACGGCGCTACTTCTACACGCTCGCACAGCTTGGCAAGTTGATCGCGAACGTCCCGGGCACGGGTTAGAGAGCGCTGCTGTAGGAAATTCTCCCGCGACCAGATGGGAGAGAAGTCGCTGTCAACCCACTGATTCCAGATATTAAGGAGCGTTAAATGATCACCACCTTCCTTGACAGTGAAACGGTTACGAGCGCTGTCGGCATGTATCTTCTTGTCTTTCGGTCGGAAAAACAGGGCCGAAGCCTCGCTCAGCATTGCTACAATCGACAAAACCTCGTCAACACATTTAAACTTGTCTGCAGCAAGAACAGCCTTCGCGAGCATTGGATCCGTAGGAAACTCAGCCATTTGTCTACCAACTTTGGTAAGCTCGCCTTTGTGGTTCAGAGCTTGTAAGGCGAAAAGTTGATTTAAAGCCCCGATTAAAGATTCGGTAGGGGGGGGATCCATGAATTCGAATTCGAGCAGTTGGTTAATCCCAAGCGACTTCAGTAATAGCACTACGCTGTTCAGGTTGGTTCTTTGAATCTCCGGCGTGGTCGATTCGTCCATTTCGTTCATGTAGGCATATTTAGTATACAGGCGAAAGCATTTGCCAGGGCCAACACGTCCGGCACGTCCACTGCGCTGATTTGCAGAGGCTCGAGAACATGGAACAACGACGAGGTTTGACATCCCTGTCGCTGGGTTATAGATGTTCTCCTTCACGTATCCTGGGTCAATGACGTATGTGATACCGTCGATGGTCAAACTTGTCTCGGCGATATTAGTAGCAAGTACAACCTTACGGGCACCGTTCGGAGTGGGTTCGAAGATCTTGCTCTGGAGTTCTGAAGGCAGATTGGCATAAATGGGACAGACAATCAGTTCCTTTACTCGATTTCCAAGCTTCCTTGCGGTCTCTGTTAACTGTTGCTCTGCAGCTTCGATCTCATCTTGACCTGTTAAGAACACCAGAATGTCTCCTTTTCCTTGACTGGTATGAATCTGGAATATCGTTGTGATAGCAGCCGTTAAGTAGTTTGCTTCAGGTGCTGGAGTATAGTAAATGTCGACGGGGTACCTTCGCCCTGGAATGTTAAAGATCGGAGCGTCGTCGAAATACTGCGCAAACTTTTCGGCATTCATCGTAGCCGAAGAAATGAGTAGTTTGAGATCCGGTCGTTCCCTGGCTAAATCCTTCACTAAGGCAAGTAGAATATCGGTGTGAACTGTCCGCTCGTGAGCCTCGTCAATCATCAAGGCCGAATAACCTGCAAGATCCGGCTCCGTCATGAATTCTCGAAGCAACATGCCATCAGTCATATACTTCAGAATAGTTTTATCGCTGGTAGCGTCTTCGAATCGAATCGAATAACCGACTTCGTTGCCGACCTTGACTCCCATTTCTTCTGCAACTCGAGCTGCCACACTCATAGCAGCAACTCTTCGAGGTTGTGTACAACCTACTTTGAGGCCACCTTTCGTATAACCGGCCTCGTGTAAATACTGGGGTAATTGCGTAGTCTTTCCACTGCCCGTCTCACCAACAAGGACTAAGATCTGATGTTGTTCAAGAGCAGCGATAAATTCGTCTCGGTATTTGTATATTGGCAAGCTCTTTCGAGTTTCTTCGATCGATAATGCCTTCTTCTCTGCGGCCTCGATTTGCGCTTCCAAAAACCTCTGTTCTTTAGTTAACGTCTTCCCCTCCCCAGCTAATGTCGAACCCATGTTCCACTGGATATACTGCTCGGGGTCAAGAACAGGAGCATAATCTCCTTCGTACTCTCTTTCCGCCCTGTTAATCTGAGCCTTGGCCTTTTGTGTCTGCTCCCTTTCCCACTCCTCGTGTTCAGTAACAAACTTCTCCTGGCCGTATTCATCTCTTTCGACGTATCGTTTATATAGCGCCTCCTCTTTCCGCTTCCTGTCTATCTTGCCCTTCTCCGTGATATAATCTTCCGGCATATAATAACCATCACGGTGGTCATCGATTCGCAATCGCTCTTCGGCCAATCGTAAAATTTCTCGGTTCTTCGCAAACTCGGCTTTTTCTCGCTCGGATAACCGTACACCACTATTTAGCTCTGCTGTCTCCTCTGCGACTTGTTTCCGTAGTAGTGCTAATCTTTCTGCCTCCCTCTTCTTTAGATAATCCTGTCTCGAGCGCTCTCGTAAATCTGGCATAGCAGCCCTGCTTGCAGAAAGTTCTTCAGCTAGACGCTGTCTTTCCCGTTCGGCCCTGCCTTCGCTCTTTGATTTGCCCCCATCTCGCTCCTTGAGGCGAATGGAAAAGGCTTCTCGCTCGGCAATGTCGCGCGCAGTATCGGAATCGGCACCGTCATCCTCTCCCTCTCGTTCACCAGGACTTAACTTGACGCGCTTGGGGGCGGGTTCTTTGAACGTGGGCTCTTCGTCGCGTCCATCGTCCGAACGTTCAGGCTCGCTCCCTGCCTCCTCATCGCCCCATCTATCATCAAAGTCGTCCTCGGCGCGTTTTCGGATGGATTTCATCTTTTGTTTATGCGAATCGCGACGTGGCGAACGACTGCGGCTACGACTCCGACTCTGAGTACGATGCGACTTGCGATGCGAATCACGATGAGAACTGGATTTTCCATTTTCGTCGCGACGCCTATGTTTGGATTTCTTCTCGACTTTCTGAGGGCCCACTTCACCTTCATCCATAGGGATGAAGGCGTATCGTTTGTTGCTCATGACTACCTGGTCTTCGAGGTTATGATAGTGGGTAGATTAAGAATCAGGTACTTGTATGGCGGCGGGGCTGCTATTGAGAATGCGAACCCCGGCTAATGTCCCAATGCCAGAAGACGAGGCTTGCTCACATATGACTGGCACCGGAGCATAGGCAGGGGGACAACACAGCTACTCGGGATTGTTTCGGAGACGTTGAAGATTGAAGAATTAGTGCTGGAGATATGAGCAAGAAATGATGAAGGTGCTATATCATGTAGTTGGAAGCTTGCTGTAGCTGTAGTTGCCTAGGTTAGTACCTATTTTTTTCGGATTACGGAATACGGAATACTTCCTTTGGAGTCACTACCGTACGAAATGATAGCCAATCATAGCTTTGATCATTGCCAAGTTAAACCCGCTTTTTAAAGTTGCAGGGCTTATCTTATCAAAGCGGGTCGAACACCTAGCTTAGAAGTTCTTACCACGTTGACACACTGGTATTTTTCAGGTGGACGGTTTATTTTATTAGTAGCACATATTTAGGTAATCTAGGTACCCAGCTAACTTATATTAGAGCTACGTCTCTGCATTTATTCTACTTGGGTACCTCTTACAACTTATACCTCATAACCTCAAGATACCACGTTGGCCAATTCCCATGTTGACCCTTCAATATCCATGGGAGATTTGTCCTTCGGTGTTTTTCATACATAGAGCTACCCATACTTAATATCCTTTCTAGTTGGGCTTGATATACGATACCTATTTTCTTTGCAGTGCTTAGCGGGCTTTCGCAAGCCGCCATTCGTTTGGTATGATGCTATTCCAGTGGGCGACCCTTGGGTTGCTCTTTATTCTGGCGCAGCTCGCCTTTTGCGCTGAAGACTTTTATAAAGTACGTCCCTTTGAAATTATCTAATAATTCGGTATTAACATGTGGTCGTGGTTAGATTCTTGGGGTAGACCGACAGGCGACAGACAAGCAGATCAAGACGGCATATCGACAATTAAGCAAGAAATACCACCCGGACAAGAATCCGTAAGTCAACGTTTTGTCCAAGCAAATGGTGATATAAGTTAGTAGCTTATGCGATATCCAGAGGTGACGCTACAGCTAAAGACAAATTCGTCGAGGTCGCCGAGGCCTACGAGGCTCTAATCGACCCGGAGTCCCGAAAGATCTACGACCAGTACGGACATGATGGTCTAAAGCAGCGCAGCCAAGGGGGCGGGCACCACCACGATCCGTTTGACTTGTTCAGCCGATTCTTCGGCGGGGGCGGTCATTACCAGAGGGGACAGCCGCGCGGGCACGACATCGAGATCAAGGTCGGGATTTCCCTACGCGACTTCTACAACGGTCGGGACACGGAGTTCCAATGGGAGAAGCAGCAGATTTGCGAGGAGTGCGACGGGACGGGATCTCAAGACGGTGTTGTAGACACGTGTCATCACTGCGCCGGCCACGGTGTGCGCATTATCAAGCACCAGCTAGCACCAGGCATGTTCCAGCAGATTCAGACTACTTGCGATGCTTGCGGCGGCCGCGGCAAGACGATCAAGCATAAGTGCCCGGTTTGCGGTGGTAACAGAGTTATCCGCAAGCCGACTACCGTCTCGCTTAAGATTGAGCGGGGTGCTGCCCGAGATGCTAGGGTTGTATACGAGAACGAAGCCGATGCGAGCCCTGATTGGATTGCCGGTGATCTCGTTGTCACACTCACCGAGAAGGAGCCTGATTTTGAGAACGACAATCCCGATCATGTGGACGGTGCTTTCTTCCGGCGCAAAGGCAACGATCTTTTCTGGCGAGAAGTCTTGTCTCTTCGGGAAGCCTGGATGGGCGAGTGGACCCGTAACTTGACGCATCTGGATGGCCACGTTGTGAGGTTAAGCCGGAAGCGCGGCGAGGTCGTGCAGCCTGGCCACGTTGAAACGGTGGAAGGTGAAGGGATGCCTATATGGAACGAGGACGGGGATTCGGTATACCACCAGACCCAATTCGGCAAGCTATATGTCGAGTATGTCGTAATCTTACCGGACCAGATGGATACCGGAATGGAAAAGGAGTTCTGGTCCGTGTTCCAGAAATGGAGAGGCAAGGTCGGTGTAGACCTACAAAAAGATAGCGGCAGACCGGAAGGCGCCATGCCTATAAAGGAAGAAAAGGACGAGCTGTAATGACACCTATAGAATATAAAGACGAAACATGTGAAAATATTACATATCTTATAAGACGCTAATACGGTTACAGTCTCTGCACTGTGTATGTGTATGTGTATGTGTATGTGTGTGTGCGTGTGATGGATGGGGTGCTCCAACTAACCAATCGAGTTAGGGATATTTCCTGTCGTATACGAAGCGAACATATTGTTTCGCGGTGCGGCTGTCAGATAGGGGATAGGGTTACGTTAAATCAGGGTTACGCTCCCCCGGCCATATAAATAGTCGCCAACCCCAGGGGCCTGCCCAGCTACAATTCTTACTTCCTTTTTATTTTTCTCCTCCCCCCCTATTCCAGGTATAGCTCCCCCTGAAGAACGACGCATCCCATCATGTCTCTCGCCAGGCGCACACTCGACGCCTTCTTGGGCCTCCTCTTCCCCTGGAACTTCTTACTGGTATCGGCAACGTGTCTTCCCAAGACCATACTCAGGCTCCTGCGCGAGTGCAAGTTCGCCGAGCTGCTGTCCCCCTCCAGATTGAAGGAAGCTTGGTTCAGCGATTTATGGAGCGGCATCGCAGGGCCGAATATTAGACGTGATGCCGCCGTGCGTATCATTCCGCTGTTGCAGGGCCGTGCTACTAAAGGGGCTGTGGTCGACGAGCAGATTGCCCCTGGGCTCGCGGGCACGGTCGTCGAGGTCGGCGCCGGCTCTGGGCTCTGGGTCGATATGTACAGGGACATCGCCGAGGTGCGCGCGGAACCCGACGGCGCGGCCAGACGGCGGAAGGCTGGTAGTAACGCTGCTGTCGACGGGCCTATCACGCGCGTATACGGCATAGAGCCGAACGTAAACCAGCACTCGGCGCTGCGGCAGGCAATCGTCAAGGCCGGGCTCGAAGACGTATATCGGATCGTGCCGGTAGGAATCGAGGACCTCGACAACGCGACGAAATGGCACGGGCTCGTGGAGAAGGGCAGCGTGGACTGCATCGTGAGTATCCTGTGCCTGTGCAGCATCCCCGACCCGGAGAAGAATATCCGCGAGCTGTACCAGTACCTCAAGAAAGGAGGGCGATGGTACATATACGAGCACGTAAGATGCGAGAATAGCTGGTACATGCAAGCGTATCAACGTGAGTCCTTCCCTTCCCAACCTCCTGCCAGAAATAGCAAGCACCGTACTAACCCTCGGTCATCTACACAGGCTTGCTCAACGTGTTCTGGCCGCACTTCATCGGCGGGTGTCTGCTCTGCCGACAGACGGAGAAGACGCTGCGGGAAGCAGGGTCCTGGGAGAAGATCGACGTCGCTCAGCCCGTGACCGAGCCGTGGTATCAAGTTGTCCCGCACAGATTAGGGGTTTTTACGAAGTAAACGTATACTATATAGGACACGAAAAAATGGGCTGGACTGGTCTCAATTGGAACTGCTACTCTCCTTAAACCATGATAGCCTAGAGTCGGGCTGAGTGATGATACGTATAGGAACATCCGCGCTTAGACTAGAACGATACGATTTTAGATATTCTCATTGAAACTATATACCTATAAAAAAGACCACAAATATCTAATTTCATGTGAAGCCAAGGCTGGTACGTGTGCAACTCAGATAGTTTCGTTTGTCTATGGGAAAGGGGGAAATATTCTGGAGAGGGGTATGAGGTATTTATTTTATTGGGGTACCTTGTAAAAACTATACATGATCGACGAAATCAAAAGTATAGCTCACTATGGTAATATGATTAGAGCTCAGGAGAAATTGTCATAGTATAGAGATAATTATATGTTCATTTCCTATCTAGGACGTCATATTACAAAGGAGATATCTCCAGTGTACAATTCAAGTATCGTAATATTGTTCATTCCATCATTACCAGCTCAACACGCTCTTATAACCCCCTATGCGTCTCTTGGTGTGTTCCCGCACTATTCCGGTGGTGGTGCCCTTGGCCACCGTGCTCGATCACCGGCTCTCCGATGTGTGCACGTAGGGTAGAGGGGGGTACCTGAGCAGCGTCTGTGGGATCCTTGGCATAGTTTCCACTTCCAGAAATTGTTAATAAAGTTTTATCCAAAACACGGAATAGCAAGCCGAAAGGCGACAATGGCGTACTTACGACTGGTAAGTCTTGTCGCCGCCATAGGTTTTAGAGTGGTCGAGGTCGCTGTCGACTCTGGGGTCAAGCTTGTTGGCGATGTCGCTACTGTGGGGGCCAGCGGTGTTGGGGGCAGGACCTGGGCCAGAGTGAGCAGAGTGAGCTCCAACCGCACCGTGGGTTCCAGTCGTGTTGTGGGTTCCGGTCGTACCGTAGGCACCGGTAGTACCATGAGTACCGGCAGTACCGTGGGTTCCGCTTGTACCGTGAGTTCCGCTTAAACCTTGGCTTCCGGTCGTGTTGTAGGTGTCAGAAGGACCGCGAGTACCAGTAGTACCAGTAGTACCGTGAGTTCCGATTAGACCATGGGTACCAGTGGAGGCATGAGTACCGCCTGCACCATGGTTACCAACACCGTGTCCGTAATTACCAGTAGAACCGGTTGTGCCGGTATTAGAGTCATAACCGTGAGTGCCGGTAGTAGAGCTTCCAAAGGTGTTACCCGTGGTGCCGGAAGGGGTATACCCGGCGCCAGTAGTTCCGGTAGTTCCAGAGCTTCCGTAAGTGTTACCAGCAGTGCGAGAGCCATCTCGGTCCGAGTCAACACGAGGATCAACAGTGTTGGCTACTCGAGAATTGTGGGGTCCAGAGACTCCTTCTCGGCCACTGCCACCATAGTCGCCGGCGGTGTTACCCGCAAAGCGGCCGTCTCGGTCTGAGTCGATTCGTGGGTCGGCGGCATTAGCTACACGGGAGTTGTGAGGTCCAGAAGCACCTTCTCGGTGACCGGTTGTGGTAGTGCCAGCGCCGCCGTGGCTGTAGTTGTCTCCAGATGTGTATGTGTTAGAGCCACCAAGGGTCGAGCTTGGCGCGGCACGGTGGTCACCTAGAACGAATGTTAGTGACCTAGTGACCTTATGATATGAAATCATCATAAGAATAAGATTGCATACGATCGCTGTCGACTCTTGGGTCTGCAGCGTTGGCTGCTCGGTTGCCATGGGGCCCATGGGCACCCTCAGGGGCGCTGTTCTGACTGGTGTTGTGACTAGTGGAGGAAGAGTGGTGGCCAGTGACGGCTTCCTTAACCTTGTTGATTACGCCAGACATATTGGATAGTTGTATAAATAGTCAGTAAATATAGATAAGGTAGTAAAGGGTATCAAAAATTATCTTTTAGATAATCAATAGTTATTTGTTGATGTTGATATTGGTAATAATGAAGAGAAATTCGTTGTAGAGATCTGGGATTGTCGACCTCTTATACTGATACGAAGCCAGCCTCGACATATATCCTCACCCTTTGTTTCCAAGGCAGTCTCTTAATTTGCCGCCATATTTCATCATCTGGAATCTCGATCAAGTATCGTAGTATCTATTTCCTAGATTACGCCTTCAAAGCCTAGACCTGTCCAATCAATACGAGATACGAAGCTACAAGACGATGTGAAAGTCTCTGACTTCATCGGTCGTCATCGCCCCTGATTGGGGATGCATGATCCTTGACAGAAGCGGTTGCTAAGCCTTCCCACACCTATACCGGACAAATTAAATCTGGAGGCTCGTAAGAATGTCATAAGTAAATTCTAGTGCCAGGTACTGTGTCAAACCTAGAGCTAGTGACACAAGTCTTCATGCTTACCCCGTTACCCCCAGCACCCCCGCCTTACTGGCTACCTCAACTGCGTAGGCAAGTACTGTGGCTTGCCCGCTGGCGTCATAGTAAACGGCCATATGCTGTGGCGGTCATCTTCACAGATGCTACTGGTGGACAAGGAGATGACAATATGTATGTGGGGGATTAGTGTAAGGTACACTCTTTGGACAAAGCCAGATCCTTCAACTCTGAATGGGGTCTATTTTGTCGAGCGTGCGTAGCCTCTTACACTAGCTTCCAAATCAAGAAAAATCCCGACGGGCTGGACTATCTTAGTGGTTTAAATTCGGGACTTTGGCATCCTTTCTCCAGTATGAAGTATATCTTGAATCATGTTGCCGACATCCGAGAGATCTTGTTATGTAGATGGAAGAAAGACTTGATAGGGGATTAAAGCCGTGGCTAGTGAAACCAAAAAAGTGGTGTGAGATGTGGCGTCACCTTAACCAATCCGCCACAGGATCTCGAGCCCCTAACCCCTGTCGACTCCACTAAACGCCGTCATAGACTTCCCCGTTACCAACTTCTTAACTTCTAGCGTTAACAAGAGACACCCTCTTTATGAAATACCATCCAGTAAACGGATAGAATACCATATCCGTTTTATCTGCTGATGACCGCGCCATTTATTCATCATAAAACAGTTTCTACATACATACACAAATATCTACGGACGAATATAGACTATCTGTTACATAATTTTAATGTGAGATATCATAAATTTGCATCAGTATGATGTCAGTATCTCGTTACGCATTGAAGACATGAGATTGCTACCGGTTTGACAGGAACGATACGTGATGGGACCCATCGATATGCTCAAGGTAAATCAGGGTCGACATTAGTCTGACGATGAGCACTTGGAATCATCTTAGACCATACCGTAATAGTGTGTATGTAGACGGTTGCTATTTACAAGGACGAGGTATCATTTACCCCACCAACCTAGGAGAGACTTCGCATCCAGTCGTATGGGAATTTTAATAATAAATATTAAGACTGTTTCATTACTAACATGGGTATCTCTCATGGTGCTATGATGCTATTGCCGACTCCAGCTTAATATCATCGAAAATCAACCACAAGCAGTATCCTAAATACATCCGATAACGCTAACCAGATGCCTCATTCTCATAACATCATTAATTCAGCTGAAAATCAAGGGTTGTCGTTACTGAACCATGCCCCAGGGTGACTGGAAAAGGACTCGGTGTAATGTCTCTCGAATCGGAAACGCAATGTGTGTTATAGAGTACGAGATTTTTTATAGAGCGCCGACTTTATTTCGTGTATATCTTAGACACGGGAACCGCGCCATCTTCGTCGGCGGTAAGTTCGAGCCTCGTGATCTCGGACCCAGACGATGCCGACGATTGCTGAGACGAGCCAGCAAATAGCAGACAAGAAGGAGAATGCAATGATAGCTTTCCATCTTCCGCACTGATCACCGCGGCGGATGGAAACATTATCCCAGTCGAAGATGTATCCGCAGCCGCCATCGAGGTACTGCTCGAACGATTAGAACCACGTCTTCTATCGCGACCATGTATGTAGGATGATATGTAGGATGACTTACATTAACTAGCAGACCGAAGGCAACGAACCAACAAATGGAAATGAGAAGGTCGACAGGCCAGTGAACGAAGCTACCCGCGAACGGGAAGAGCCAGATAATGGAAAGGAAAATGGCGAGACCAGCTACCACTTCGGTGTAGATAAAACGGCTCTGGTCCCAACTGTCGGTATTCTCGACGGCATGGAGATACTGCCCGTTGATTCCAGCGACAATAGCTCCAAAAACCAACTCCGCAAGGCGGAGGATGATGGAGATGATGTCTGTCAAGATCATCTTGACTGTGTGTAGACAATGATGCCTTATTAGAAAGCGGCTTGTGGACACTTATGAGGGGATGGGATGCTCGACCAACGATTTATGGTTAATATATTCTAGATGAAGAGAGGCTAAGTGAGACACTTGGTAGGCAGCTAACTTGGTATTTATTTACATGGCATTTTGAGCAGTTTGATCTGAGCCACGACTTGTGCTGCTGGAGTATGACGACGCAACCCGAGTGGTCTAGGCCGGCATCATGATTGGATACCCGGTTCTGCCTGTCCCGAACAAAGGCAGTATCACCCTGGCTCATGGACTTATGTACATACATACACATTCACAGCCTGTACATAAATGTGTACATAAATGCACAAGCAAGACACGACGAAACGTTTGATCCTTGTTGCGGATCGGTCAATCACCCCAGAATCTGTAATAAAAACATGGCTTCGACCTTGTTTGGTTTGCTAAGAACCAATACAATGAACAAAGTAAATGTCATGCGGTTTGAGGATTCAAACAAGTTCTTTCGAGAATTGCATGGAAAGATGCTGTGGCCAAGCAAATCACCAGTTGTATGTATGCCGCGTGTTGCGTTGTCAAGAAGATGAGGTCATAAAGGTAAATTGGTACGTACCTGCATACCTACATGTAGGTACCTAAGTAATGTACCTAATATACGCTGACGTAATCGGTAAGGCTCAGCTACAAGTAAAAGGCAAAGCCCCGCGTTGACGCAGCCAAGCAGCCACACAGCCACGCAGCCATTGCGGAACACACGGCAAAATACCTAAGGTACAACCTATACTTCTTTAGTGCTACAAGCCACTTCAACCAATTAGATTTCAGGTAAGGATCGATCTGAGATACTTCAAACCAGAAGGGCTTCCCACACATTGTAAAAGTATTTTCAAACACCGCTGGAATCTATACCTTTTCCAGTAATTTTCAAGACTCGAATAGCCTCCTTATTGGCTCTGAAACTATCCTTGATCTTGCCCGTTTCCTTGATCATACAGAATACTATACCCCTAACCTAGGCTTCTTGCTGCTTATTCCTCCTGCATAGGACTACGTCTACTTGGTTGGTACTTGTGTCGAGGACAACCAGCTGCTCTCCACGCCTCGAGGCCAGTTAAAACCCGCTTTAGCCTGTTATTTTTCGCCCAGTATTGGATGTGGAAAATCGCCGTTCGGAATCTTTTAAACTGTTCCAAATCGATTAAGCTAAATACTGAAATCAATTTTATATAATAGCGAGGACCATGATTCTCTACTACGTCTCTCCACATAACATAGAGGTGTGCAAGGTATGGCATGGTGCCGACGACAAATACTATGTCCTGATCCCCAAGTATCGGCCAGGTCATATCTAAAGATATGCGGCCGCTAATGAAAGATTGGTTCTCAGCTACTAAGATATGGCCCAGATGGCCTTGTGATTCCATGATCAAGTACGGGAGGCAAACGGTATCACCAATCGCGCTTCTAAACGCCTTATAACCTATATCATATGCCCTTAAGGCAGGTATATATTCATTGTTATATCCAAAGAGTATATCAGGCCTCGGGTTATGCAACGTACTGGTCCCCACTTCCGGTGGTAAGAGGGCATATTGGAACACTTGTTGACTGTGATATTTGAGCAAAGGAGAATCATCGAACCAGACTCGACGTCCAAGACCTAAAGCGGTAATAAGAGAGTGTAGTATCTCGCTTTCGTATACCGCTCTCATAGCAGTGCCTACATAGTCGGCATGTATGTTACATATATCTATAGGAATATCGTCCCCTTCTACACTATTCACTTCGTTGATATGGGTTTGAACCCAATCCGGAAGTGTAGCATGAGGGTCTAAATCTAGAAACTCGATTTTATTGTCACGAAGGACAGCGCTTCGAAAATTCGCGTCTATCAAATAAGCCGGGACCTTTTTCGTCATCGAGGATGCAGTCGTAGAAAGTATTATGGGAATAGAGTCTACGGTTTTAGTGGTCCGGTAAGATCCTGCCATTTCTGGTAGATCCGGGTCGTCAATACCAAGCCACGCGGCTATTTTAGGATTTTCCCGGAAGTATCTGAATTTAAACTCTTCGACAGTAGGTGATCGGATAAAGGGCAGTGTTGAAATTGGTTGGGTTTCTTTGTGCCCCTTTTGCGCCTCAGAATCTGATCTTAGTGGAGGGGACAATCTGGTTTTTTTTCGACAATCAGTGTCAGGAGAGTTGCTACGTTGTCGCTTTTTAGATTGGGATTGTGAGAGGATACACTCTGGTGACTCGGACAGTTCCAGAAGGTTGGTGTAACAATTTGTACATAAGAATGGGTGCGATGAGTGTAACGAGAGTATTTCTTTAACGGGATATAGCGGTGATTCTTGCTTGGTCTGAGGTGCCATGATAACTTCCAAGACGAGAAGTGGTAAGGGGAAAGGTATGAGTAAAACTCTGCGTTGTTTCACAGATTCGATATGAGTCTTTGAAAGGGGTTAGCTTCGCTGGTTGAAAGTTATGGAGGTGCTGGCAAGACGGGTTTTATTCTTGTCTTGGACAAGAATGCATGACATTTAGTCACTGACGTCTTGTTGTTGTAGGTATTTATGGCCATTATGAATATTTATACGTAAACAAAGGATGTATTTGATTCATTTATGTTTTTGTCTTGATGAAATGTAGAGTTTCCAAAAGCAATCTGTAAACTTAGGCACTAAAGCTGAATTCTAAAGATCATGTTGGAAGAAAAATTATTCGTATACAAACACTTACCCTTAATAACTTGACCCCTTTACACACGCAAACAACTATCAATATTTACTTGATATAGACGCCCCCAAAGGTAAAATACATAGCGAAATAGTCTAATTATACATCTAAGAACATTTAAACCCCCGCATCGTATTCTCTATATGCCAGCCCTCAAAAGAAGATAGAGAGCGGGATATTGACAACGACATAGGCATAAAGGTTGTGGCGTTCTGTAGTAATGCCGCTCAAAATAAATGAATTACTTGGACTTTACCAAGAGAGGCTTGCTTGGAAAAGCACAGATCCTACATTACCTACATCATATTTATTTGGGCGTCAGTCATGCCGTGTTTATCACTTTTTACGCCCCTGACTAGAAAGGTCTTTTGGTGGCCCTCGGTTTCGCGTCTTAAGACTTCATGAACTCCAGAAACGCAAACTATCCACTCTATTATGATGAAATCTACATGTGAAAATAAGTGCGTATTCCGCTTCTCAAACTTGTCCGGTAGTAGAACAGGCTTCATAATCATAGCATCTGATCTACGCCCCGACCCCTCGAACTGCGCCGTCATTTTTGATACGCCGATGCCCAGTCCGAGATTGGTATTTCTAAAGCGCTACACTTGAAGGCTCGCGTGCTTAACTCTGCCAGCGACGAAGAGCTGCTGTAGTGGAAAAAGAATATATCGGCCTATGTTGAACAATGCAAAACTTGGTCTCGCTTAGGCTAGACCTGCAAGTAATATGCGGGATGGAGAGGCACCCCCATTTGCTAGAAACGGCAAGCCATTTCTGTGTATTTGTGGGCGTGGCAAGTTCCCTCAGAACTACATGCGCCGTGTAGGATGCTAGTATAAGCTATCTAAATATTCCGTCCGCGCCGCCATCTCCCTGCCCATCTGTATGCCTTTCAATAACCAACGTCCATGACACTAAGGCTGTGGAAAGGCCAAGAAACTGCAGATTAGGTACTACATTGTATACATCGTAATAAGGTCTGGTGTTGTTCCAAAAGATGCTCTACCGTAATCAACGAAGATAGATGGGCAATTATGCGGAGAATATGATGAACGAGGAAGACAAAGTGGATGGAAGTTGGTAGAAAAAAGGTGTTCGTAATTTTAATATATTGACACTAGGATAGGGACAAATGTGCTAGTTACCCCTTTTCTTGTCTTTTTTCGCTTCTTTCCCTTGCGAGAACCATCCAAAGAATTTAAAAAAATATCTTGCCAGCTGCTTGGCTTATAATCATTGCTTTCCTACGTATAGGCCAGGGATTTCCCGATGGCATTAAGTTTATTTGTTAATGTTCTTATTCGTTCTGTTAAGCCAATTTAATAGGCCACTCCCATAGAAGTGTTGCTTTCTAATGATTTGCCACGTAATGTCCCCTTCCGTCCGCTGATAGGTTTTAATTATGAACCTTGCTCCGAGAATCGAATGATAGCCACATCAAACCGGTGAAGAGTAAGCAGTGGCCTGCCATTACGAAGAGCGCAACGCCTTCGGGATACTGCTCTCGCTAAACCGATACAATAATCGGATGACTATTAGGCACGATACCGAAAGGGGGGCCTACTCGACTTGTATAGTGATAGCCGAGATCGTCGTTTGATTCATTGCCTCGAGAAGACAATTCGAGGCTCGGCGCGGTCATCCTTGCTGGGGGCAAGGAATTTGGGAGTGAATAATTGCTGGTTGGCGCTGACTGGATCGGGGCCTCCTGGTTACTGCCGGAGTCGATGAGTGCCGTAGGCGACTGAAGAGGCTATCTCCAAGAAGTAACGTTCTCATACCGCCCTATCTCTCCACAGATGTAACTAGTAACACATACTGATCACGTTCACCCACAATGTATCTACGACGAATGACTAGGTGTCCGGGTAAGCACTACAATTCTGAATCCGAAGGCCTGTTGAACCGCAAGCAATCGGCGTACGTGTAGTTGATTCTTGACAAGCGCTGCTTGCGCCTAGAATAAACCATCCTATAATATAATCATGCAGTATAATAAGCATGCAGTCGGCATTAAATGAAGAAAATAAACAAAGACATTGAATAGTACACCCTATTATAGTGGGATTTCGCGGAGCCGGTCATACTCACATAGACCGCCAACATAGCAGCAGAAGTTGAACAAACCAAATCGTAGGATGAGTAGTACGAGAAATTGTACCGCATTACGTAAGATCAAGAATTTGGGGGTGCCAAATTCCGAGTTCATGATTGGATTTCTCTTATGCCTTGATGTCACACCAGCCTGGAACTGGGAACCCTTCTCTAGCCTTCAGCTGATAAGAAGCAACTAGCGTATGAACTATGCGAAGGGAATGAGTTGAGACGATGTATCCCGAATCGGTTGAAAGCCTTATAAGGAAGGATATGAGGCACTCATAGCTTAGGTGGGTATCAATGAATGGTGCAATTTCCTGATTTGGGTCGGATGACGGGGAAACATGGGTTGGGGAGGAAGCTCAAAGGCAGACGGTTGTAATATTGAGTCTAAGGCCCCGGGTCGCGAATAGAAGACGGTATTCGAAGTAGGCTAGCCACTGTTCGTTTCCTGGTATCTGCTGACCTTTATCCTTTATCGAGACGTTATGACAAGGAAATGCGCATACCTTGTTTATTGAGTCTCTCATTTGTTGCCGTCAAAGATAATAATAGAAAAACGCCACGGAAGTAGGAAGAATCCTTGATAGGACATCCCACTCATAAGTATAGACATTCTCGGGCGTGAATGCGTAACGCAGTTTCGTGAGAAGAGGTAAGAATTCGGTACCGGCAGGGGGAGTACTGCAATGTGATCCTGATACAGTACTGACCGCAATAGAAAATTGAGCAATGAGAGCCAATACCAATGTGTAAGTTGTGGATATTCCATACCCTGTGTTATGAGCAGATAGGCGATGCTTATTCGTTCTCGTGGAAAAATGGGGCGTGTAAGTGAGGCGAACTGCATCCCTTGTGTATGTATGCACCTACCGGACAACAGTCGCATTCGGGACGAAGGTATGGCAAGCTGGACAACATAAATACACGGCTGTTAAAGCCTCTTTCACGTCGAGGGCGGTGTGAAGATAAATTACACCAGACTCTCGGTAGTGTTGCGCTGCTGCTCAACAGTCGGCGCTAAGCTTGTGAGGCGCAACTATTCTTAGCCTTCTCGCATAAATAGCCCCCTTGACCGACTTCGTGCTGATCTTAAATGTTTTCCTGAGATTCCTCCTTTGCTCAGCATATGCTCAAAAGATGGCATCCTTTCCCATGAATAGATATTGGATTCCGCATCTTGACATCCACAAGAAGGTCATCACCCAGGAGCTCCAATATTACCTGGGGCCAGATGCCACCGTTAGACCGTATACCCGAGAAGTAGGATAACCAAAATGACGAGCTGCGAACAATACATTGACTCATGCTTTTAGGGAGAGGACGGCTTCCTAATCTCTACACCCGGACCATGCTTGACAGACGTAGGGCAATCCACCCGCCGCGACCCTTATCGATATTAATTAACATGCGCTCAGGAACAGATTGACGATATCTGCTTGAAATCGAAGGAGATGTGGGAGAAGCAGGCCGCAGCACGCTCGCAATTAAATCCCGAGAGGCCGCTCAAGCGCCCATTACACCAGCCAGTATTAATCTCAAACGGGTCCGGAGAGGGCTCAAAGCGCCGCGGAAAAGACCGAAGAAGTCATAATTCTCGGCGACCATACGATGACAAGAAAGGGGGCGAGATGTCCCGGAAGTAAGGTTTTGCAAACTTGCAAACTGTCTGGGGATGCAGCAGATCGCCGATGTAACGCAAATGCGCCGTGAGACAGGCGGGAGCACGACGCAAAGGACTCGAGGGCATGCGTCCCACCGCCGAGCGGGACTTCGGCGGCTCCAAGTTGGTCGAGAATGGGTTGTTCCTAGATTGAAAGCTGCAGGAGGTAGCTGTCCTCCAGCGAGGGTTTGCCATCTGGCATTGCTGAAGCCTCTGTGGATCCCAGAGATTGAAACGTGATAGTTCAATGGTTGTCTGCATTAGGTACATAAGCCGCTCAACTTGCCGCAACAAGCCAGAGAAGCTTAAGCTCTTTTTGGCGAGACCTATTCCCCAATTGGCTTACACTAAGCATCTTACTCCATGGTTCTGTGCATGTCATGCAGAAGTCGTGCAGGTAAGCGGACCATGCCATCTAGAAGTCGAGGCATTTAGGTAGATATAAGGCTCGATATAGCCCCTTTTTTGTTTATTCGACCTAGCTACCAATGAACGGGGTTTACCGCATAACCCACAGGTCTGAAGGTCGTGACCGGCCGAGAGCGGAGCTTTTCCGAAGCAAGGTAGCACCGGGGATCGATCGGAGCTTATCTCTTGTAGAACAGCTGCACACTTCAATTGTGTTTACCTAGCTTTGCTGAGTTGGCATATAAGCCAGGGTTGGCTGCGATAGCTCTTGGCATAGCCTTTCAGCGCCTGTAAAGCCCATCAACAACCTCACCTGCCTTTGAATCTGCAATAAGCAAACTTCTCGCTAAAAAGCAGTCTGCGGTGAATGTCATTTTTGACAATGTAATGGTACCAAATGATCAAAATGTGCTCTAGTGACTCGTCATTCGGACGAATCCATTCGTAATCGTGTTTTTCGTAATTTAGAGACGTCCAAGCAAAACAGGATTAGCGGCTTTGAATGCACGCAGGTCCTCGATCGTTCAATGAGTAGCGTCGAGGTCCCGGGGCGTTATAAGCACATTGATGGTTCCGCTAGTGGTATGAATCACATCGCACCTCGCTTTATTCTGGTTGTTTGGAGATGATGGAAAATTTCCCGAGCTAATCGTGTCTGAGTCTGGGTCTTCCGTTACGGTCACTCAACCTCGGAAATGAGAGTGTTCTCGTATGATGAGATGTCTAGGTCACGAGCTATCCAGAGAACAAGTACCTGAACCCCAATGTTTTCTGTATGAGATCCCACCGTGGCTTTAGCAAACGTCCGGTCGATAGATGTGATGTATCCTATCACATGGACCCATTGGCCAATATCCGTCTGTTCGGAGTTGAGGTTCTGGAGAAGAAGCGTAACATCGGCACCGACTCTAGTTTTAGTACCTTTGGGATACTCGTGTTGAAGAGTCAATGTGGCTGAATGGGTCGAGTATCCAGTTACACTAATAATGTTATTAGTGCACACGCCCGTAGGAGAAAGCCCAGTAGGTCAAGGACCGGCTCTAGGGTTTTGAGAGCTGTCGTCATAAACTTTACATGATACTAAATGGCCGCAGAGATTGCGGAGATGTCCAAGCTCGTTCGCAAATAAAATGAGGAGAAGGAGAAAAAGCAAACTGTCTTACCACCCAAGAAACCTGACCTTATCCCCCACGTGCCTTGTAGAAAGATGCGAGAGGAGGCAGCGTATCGACGGAAGTGGTCCATAAGACATTAGTTAAGTTAAGAGCAGATGAGGAAGATCGACGCCGTTGAAGTTGGTGAGGTGAAGAAGAAATCAATTGGTAGGCAACCTTCATCTAGTACTATGTATAAGATAAGAAAGGGGGTTTCTATAAAGAATCAATGCTTTCCAATTATTGTACCAAGGTAACAAATAGACTCGGCCTTTGACTTTATTAGTCGATTGCTACTGTGTACATAGTGGCTCACTAATGCATCTTTAAACCTTACTGGTCACCTGGGGCGTTGACTGACTGATCCGGCTAAATACCGGCCACTAAAAAAGGTCAGGCGTCGGTATGTACATAGGTAGGTACCTAACCTAGGCATGTAAGTTGTTACCCCCCTGTCGCCCTTGTCGGCTGCGGCGTCATCCAATCCGTTCTGTCCATTCTGCTACCTGATCGACTTACCTAAAGCGTGAACCACTTTACCACTTACCACTTGCATCATATCCATCTACCTGCCTAGACCTCAACAATCTCGTGACAGTTACAGCTTTCTTTCGCTTTCTGATACCGCCTAAACTCCCGCTATTCAGACAACATAGTCGACGGATCTGCCTTCTAAGGCATAATAGGAAAAAGCGACGTCATCTCCTTAACTACGATTCTACTGTGATTCTACCCCGCGATCGATATCTCACCGGCTATCACATCGAGACCCCTATCTAAACCATACCTGCCGATTCCCAACGCTCAATCAACCTCGGCTTCGATAAGTACGCGTCGTTCACCATGTCTGGCGTCTGGGCCTGGTTCGGTGGCAGCGCCGCTCAGAAGAAAAAGGACAGCCCGAAAAATGCGATTCTCGGCCTACGGTCGCAGCTCGAGATGCTGCAGAAGCGCGAGAAACATTTAATGGCACAGATGGAAGAGCAGGACGCCCTCGCCCGAAAGAATGTCAACACGAATAAGACCGGTAAGTTATTGTTCACCGACGGAACCCCACCGACCCGAGCTGACACGCAAGCGGTTAGCCGCGAAGGCCGCATTGCGGAGGAAGAAGGGGCACGAGCACAGCCTTGAGCAGACAATATCGCAAATTGGGACGTTGGAACAACAAATCAACGCTATCGAGTCGGCTAATATTAACCGCGAGACTCTTGCCGCAATGCAGAGAGCAGGCGAAGCGATGAGCGATATTCACGGGAAACTCACACCGGAAAAGGTCGACGAGACTATGTACGTTCTCCAGCTAGAATTTCGATTCTTTTCGATGTATATAGCAGCTTACCAGGATGTTGTATTAGGGACAAACTCCGAGAACAGAACGCGCTCAGCGAAGAAATCGTCGCTGCTATCACGAGTGCGCACATCGGCGAGACGGTGGATGAGGAAGACTTGAACGACGAGCTGGAGGCGATGATGCAAGAACAGCTCGACAAGAAGATGCTCGAATCAGGCACCGTACCAGTATCCGATGCTATCCACAGGATGCCAGCAGTCGGGAACCAAGAGAGTAAGCATATACCTCTCCTAATAGACTTTATCCGCCATCTACTAATGCTCTCAAATAGTCCAAACCAAACCACAAGCCATTGCAGTGGACGACGACGAAGCGGAACTGCGGAAGTTACAAGCCGAAATGGCCATGTGAGCGAACTAACCAAGACGTCTGCTTACCTTCGTGTTAGCCACAACCGCAGCCTTGGGTCTTAGTAGGAGAAGTAGTAATAGAGGAGTCTAGAATGGATGAATTGTAGGAAGAGGGTGTGGTCTTGATACATCCGAGCTGAGCCGCAGCTAGAACTTGGATCAGGCTATACCGGTCTAAGTAAGTTGTTAGATGCATAGCAATCTCTTTCGAGTCATGTTTTCCCCCGTTCCTGATTACGGCGTTGGCGTTGTGAGACTACGGTGCTTCATTGGCAGTTACATATTTTCAGCACGTTCGGTTGGTGGATAGGAGATGTAGTCTATCTACATAAGCTTTGCTCGTATCAATATTACCCGTGCGAGACTATTTTTTCGAAGCCTCTAGATAACATACTTCCATGTCCTAGGCTAGTGACTTATACGAATATTAACGTATTGTAAGCACCTATTATCTCTTCATCGAGATTAGACAGGATTGGGAAAGAGACACCGAAGTCCCTTATTCCATCCGAGTACTCGACAAATAGCGAGTAGAAGTCCTTTGAAAGGGATAAGTACAGCTCTTAGCCCAATCAAACAATAGTCATTTTGCTCCTAAAACAAATATTACATTCAATGAAGAATCTCTTTACACGGAGCTTGTAGTTTTCATATCCCATAATTTTATAGCAGATTGGCTAGGGCTAGGTGCTCTCTATAGTCGAATCATGATAACAGATTATTCTAGGATTTTAAGCCAATTCCCCAAGGAACTATACCGCCACGAGTAATCAGAAAGCGTACCTAGATACTTAGCTAAGTCAAGTCTATAGGAAAATTTGGTTATTATTGTTTCACGATGATGTAAACCAGAATCCTAAGCCAACGGTTCTATGGAACATGCTGAAATACAAGATTTCCGGTATCCTAGTGACTCTGAAATGTTTCCATTTTACCAGAACAAAGGCCTGGGTATATCCTCCTCAAATAAACCCCGCAGGCGCCAACATGATACATGTCAAACAGAACCTTCCGCGAAGAATTCGTTTGTGGTTTTAGTAGCTACCTAGCGAACCAACCAACTTCGAGTTTCAAGCCTTGGGCCTTATTCCTCCGCGTTAGGGTCCTTAACCCCTAAACGAGTAAACCCTAACGCGGTGGTTATTTCCCTCCCAAAGCGTCGCTTATTTTTAGAAGAGTCACAAGATATTTTAAGAAACGTCAGATGCCCAAAGTCTAAATCCAGACCACAGTAGACTCTGTGACAAGTCTTAGCAGTGTTGAATATTTTAGTTTAGGGTAGTACCTCTGCAAAAGAAGTATTTCTCCTTGGGTGTGAATTCTTCCAACAACTCTTTCATGTAAAAGCAAAGCTCGTCAAGAGATCAGAATACCGACTGCGAAACAATTATGAATTCGGCCCTCTACCAGCATAATCCGTCAAGTTAGAGTAGATACTCGATTTCTCGAGGGAGCGTACCGAAGTCGCATTTTTGGCTATCCCCGTATATACGTAATGCTTCCAACTCGGTTGATGTGGGAAGGCTGAAGTCTGACTGGTCATGAACAAGCCCGAAAATTTTCCGGAGTTCTGGTTAAAATATTTCAAAGCAATCAGCAAAACCACTCCGCAGAACACTCCCCGGAAAGAAGTAAAAAAGTTGACTAGATCGGGTCTTCGTAGCCACGAGAATTATGTGGTCCTCTTATTTCTCTTGGGTATGTTAGCTGGTCTGATGTTGGGAGGTTTGTCTTTTTCGGAGGCTATTGTATGGAAGTCGCCCATTCAGAGGTTGCTTGTTGGTTTTATTCCAAATCCATAAGTAGATTATTTAAGGTGCGATTCGCTTAATAGAGTGTAGTTTGTTTAGGTTGATGTTTGTTTGGATTGTGGTTTGTTTAGATTGTAGTTGGGTTGAGGATGTGAAAGTCTGCTGAGGCTACTAAGACTTGGGTAGGGCGCGTTGTATGATACTTCAGGTTCTCAGAAATAGTAAAAAGATGATATTGTAATGTAGGTAGAATATGTAAACCTGGTAGGTATGATTGCGGTTGCCTGATGAATAATGATTTGTGTCCTGGATATTCTAGATTAATGGATGATATTATGTTCTTCAACTTGGATCTGCCGAGTTGTTATTAGAAATAAGGCGGTCAAGAGAAATAACCTTACAAAAAAAAGAAGTTACGAGTTAAATTCTCCTTCTTAAGGAGCTTCCTTCCTTCCTAAGGAAGTTCCAAAAGTTCAACATGACCTAACCCACAGCAAGGTTACTAATCGGAGTTTAGGGGCGAAGAGCAGTTGCCTTTTTATTTATCAGCATCCATAATAAACTGACAGGGTAGGTACGTATCTCGCATAAACTTAGCTGTTATGTACCTAGGTAGGTACCTAGGTACCTATGCATAGAATTAGGGACCAGGTACTTTCCCTATGCTTTACCAACTCGACCTACTTAAGGGACAGAAAACATATCTACCCTGGTATTCACTTTATTACCTAGGTATGGAACCAAGTAAGCGTTCTCTGTGATGAATAGAGTTACCATTTGAGGAACGGTGGTGTTAGGTAGTTAAATACATTTACTTCTTCCACGCCCTCACAATTACAAATCCTGGATATTCTACCCACAACTTCCAATATTCGGGATTATCACGAACAGCCTTAGTATCTTCGAGTGACTCAATCTCGACCTTGTGAAACCTATATCTTTTATACATTTCTGAAGATCCTGTATAGCTTATCTTCGAGAACGCATTTTGAGCTGAACAGGTCGACCCGAATCATCAGGGATCGTAGAACTATAGTAAAGGCCTCCAGGAAATTCCTCGAAATCCTGACATGATTAGTACAGATATTCGACACACCGAGCCAGGACTTCCCACCCACTCGTCGCTCCAGCCAACCACATTCCAACCAACAGTTTCTGGCCCTCCGCAATCCGACTGTGGCTCGCCTCCCAGGTCCCTGGCCTCCGCGGATGTCGCTGAAGTACTATCCAAGTACATTAGACACGTGAAGCGGCATCCGGCTTTGATGAAAAGCCCGGAGACTGCCAAACTGCGTGTAATGCAAGAGCTCGAGAAGTTCCTGCTAGCACACATGGCGCACAACGCCGATAACGAAAAACTAAGAGAGCACCAGTATGCCAGGGGTCGGGCATCAGTCGGCTGGCACGATCAAGTGCCGTACTATGATTGGGCCCGTACGACCGGTGCCAACGATACGAGTTGTCCATATTCATTTGCCTTTTTTTGCTGCCTCATCAGCACCAGCGGCTCTCACTGCCTGACCTCCATGGGGCAAAGGTACCTTGTATGGGAGATATGTTTGCATCTTGCCACCCTTTGCCGCCAGTATAACGACTACGGCTCTGTGATGCGAGATGACGCGGAAGGCAACCTCAATAGCCTTCACTTTCCAGAATTCACAGATAAAAATGAGCAGAGCCTGTCCTCCTTATTGACATCTGAAGGCAGCGGAAGAGAGGGTTCACTCGCGAGGGCGAAAGAATTGTTAATGCAGGTGGCTAATATAGAGAGGGCATTTATGCAAGTTTGCTGGGAAGCGCTCTCATCGAGCCTTGATAAGGCTGTAAGAACAAAGCTGAAGGCATTCATTGATGTAACGAATCTGTTTGGCCAGATATACGTGGCACGGGATATTGCTAGCAAAGCGCTGGGATAGTGTGCAGCGGAAACTAGTCTGACATTCGATCGTTGACTGCGAGGAGACTTAAGAAGCACTTGAGGATCATGTTGCGTGACAGCATTCTTCAAAAAAGAAATTTAGTTGTAATACTTGCGCTGTGTTCGCGAGCTCCCCTCCAGAAGAAGATGGATAAAAAGGGAGCATGTTATGGGAAATGTACAGAAATGTACAGGGTACGGAATTGGAAGCAAGGGAGAGAGGAATGATATCAAGGGAGGAATTGGGTACCTATTAAAAGTAGAGAAAGTGGCTGATAGAATATGACAAGGTGCTACAAGGCTCAAAAATTACGAGAAAGGACGAAAGAATTGTGAAAAGCTATGAATGTTGAGAAATACCACGAAATAGGAGAGAGGTATCCCTGTTCGGAAGTATCCTAACCTAGATCAGTCCTTAATTACCAGCCAAGTGTTAACTTCACAATAAGGTCCATTATAATACCGATGCTCAGGCGATTTTTGGATTTTCCGAGACTTGCTCCGGATAGCAACCCCCTGGATTGGGGGGGACTCGTACAACCAGGAACTTGATGGCCGCAACGCGAGTGATTTGATTGCTCGGCTGTCTATTACTTCTATTGCGCAGCGCACCATGAAAGTCGACAACCGCAAGGACAAACAGAATTATAAGCAATACATCTTCACTGTGAGTAAGCCGCTCCATGGACTTCATACTACGACTGATGGCGTTAGGAAATTCCAAAGCGCGGTATGGCAAGATCATCACTATACTAACGTCTTTCTGCCTTGCAGAACACATCGATACTGAGCTCGAGAGGCTCGATCGACCAAGTATCAAGGACCTGACCTTGATGGATGGGCTTGAATACACAATCAAGACAATGCCAACCCATAGATGGATCAATCAAGGAATCTTAGGGGACCTCTGGTGTGTAGATCACCTCTTCACGATCTTCATGCTACTTCTTGCCGACTTTCTCAATTCAGACCCCATGGATATCTCCACCTATGATACCAGGTTCAATGACTGTCCTAGCTACTAAGCCCTTCAAAACTAGTCCTATAGCATTTGGAGTGACGAGGCAAAATGTGATACGACAAAGACAGGCAAGGTGATTGAGTTCATGGGAAATGTGGCTACCATTATATACGTGCCGGAATCGGAAGCTCAGATGGCCAAGCTAACACCGACCTTTAACGTGATGTGGGAATTCTACACGTCGATTGTAAATTCCCAAAGCAAGGAAAGCGGGGATTCTAAGTATCAGGGCGAACTAGGGTCGAGCTTAAGCCGACTGAAGAACCGGAAAGACACCATCAATGAGTGGAAGTCCTACTGCGAAGCCATGGAAAGCTACTATCAACTCAACATACAACCTAAATAGGACTCGAGAGTCTTCAGTATTTTCAACCACCGGGGATGGAACAAGTTCTACATATGGATGAACTTTAGTGAGTTTATTCTTCGATTTCCTTCAGACTTTAGTGAGAATGACTTACGCTGATTTATTGCGTCTAGCATTCGTCAACGAGTAGGATATTTACTAGGACGCAGCTGGGGTAAACCTCATTCCTAACCAGCCACTGTATCTGGATGAGGGACATATGGGATGCCTCTTGGTAATTGGGACATCAATTCTGCTGGCAGGTCCAGTGTCAAATTAATTAGCCGTAAGTCATGTCACAACCTCTACAAATCGAATCCACCAACAGACCCGGTAGAGGATTATATCAACGACACCGGTAAAAAGCTAATCATCCTCTTCAACGACGCTCCTAAGCCGCTACTGGACTATACCATATCTCATACGGAAGTCACACCCAGTCAGCTGACTAGTATTATCAAGATCGTCGCCGAGGACTACACGAGTAGTAGGGTCGACGCCGTGGAGTTCTCTCGGAATGAAAAAAGCCACTCCCAGTTCACCCTCATCCGGAGCTAATATGTACACCACGGGGCCACGATTAGAGTAAGATGAAATTAAAACATAGCACCGTGGTATGCTTTTTAGGTACCTCGGGATCAAGTATGATGGTGGTCAGGGCCTAAGACCTACCTCGAACGCTTTCAGGTTGTACATATGAGGTGGCAAGGCTGCAATCTCTCGTAATCTTACAACTGTCACGCGATGGGCATTGCGCACCTATAGGCTATGGGAGATATGGAATATCCCTCGGGTTCAGTGATACGTGTCGATATTACGTCGTACAAATCTCCTCGGGCTCGGGCTAAGTACATGCATGTGAGGCTCGTAGACGTTCTAGACATTGATGGAAACCATAATCGTTGCTGTAAGTTACCGATATTACTCGTTCGCGTGTTGTGGTTTATAATATAACTAACTACAGTATAGTTACGTTTTGTGTTTGTTTTCACTTACAAGCTTCTTGCCAATGCTTCGTGCGCATCCTATGGGGATCTTTTTATCATCAATGGGTATGAATTAGATCTAGAAAAATCAGGTTTGCCCTGGTACCTAAAGGTAGGTATTATAGATTAAGTCGGGCTCGAAATTGGTTGGCATAATTAATGCGAGGAAGTACTTGGGGACATACCTAGGTACCTAGGTACCTATGTACTTACATGCACAGAGGTCCACTACCTATTCCGTATACTAAAATCGATTAGAAGATTCCGGGGTGCGATAAGATGCCTTATCGATAGGCAGTCGCTACCTTCCTATGACCTACCTATCATGTATCAACCCCAATTGACCCCCATTATTTGTCAATTAATCTTGTTCAAACTCGTCTTGCAACTCGTGGAAGCTCTTCAACTTTATTTCTAATCGTCACTGTAAGCTGCAAGCTGCATTATTTCCTCACTTGCCATACTGGCGGGTGCGGGCATCGTTCAATTAAACCGGTCAATCGAGAGACAAGATAGATCTCATCCAACTGTTGGTCCAATAAGGCTTCATCAATTCCCGCCCCGCTCGCCCTGCGTAGTGATTGGCTTTGCTGCCGTCGGATCCATTCATCTACTCAAAATCAAAGCCAACGAGGACGACCACGTTGCACACGACACTAGCATCGGTATCATGCACACTGCATTGGTCCTGTCGGTTAGGCGGCTTCACCCACCGCGACCATTTCAGGGACGATTTAGAGACGATTCAGACACCATTTAGACACTTGCTTCTTGTATCGTTTCATTCGTGAGGCGAAGTGAGTGCAAGTATTGGAGAAGGAGGGCACGTCGAAACCCAATGAGCCTTGAAGTCCAAGCTTATCACCTGCTATCTTCAATATCCGCTCCCGAGCATGGCCAAGTGGTTGTACATCATGCTGTCAAACTTCCGTCTGGCTCCTCATCCGTCCAGTCCCATCCCCCGGACCTTTTCTACGTGGGTCTGACCCATTCTTATTCCGTCTGTTTGCAGTTCCTATCGATTTTAGGACCGCTACCAACTTCCTTGTCGAGTCATAACGTTTGCCATTTATGTCTTTTACTTGGAAATTTCGCGATTGACTACTCTAGTTCCAGATCCAGATCTGTCTCAACCCTAGCCCAACCCCCTCGCGACGTGGCGCCAATGCCGTCGTGTCCATCAGCGGCTCTTGAGCACGATATGGATCACAGAAGCGTGAGATCTCACTCCACTTTCCCCCGTTCAAACCGTGGGGTATGTCTCATCTAAGTAGTGCCTCTCTCGATAATGCTCGATAATGCTCGATAATGCTCGATAATGCTCGATAATGTAGGCTAGGTAGTCATCAATTATGTGTACGTTTTATAGCTGGTCCCGTTCTTCCAAACGTCATTTATCGTTCCGAACTCGCATTGAGAGAATTCTTTACACCCCATACGCCCATACGCCCATCATCTGTCCAGTTAACTCATTCCCCTCCCATCCATCATCAGAGCCGTAATTATTTTTCATAGGTAGAGCCTATATTGTTTGCTCTATTTTCATCTAGTCGTCGCAATTCGTTTGGGCCAGATACCCAATAGCTGTATTTGGCAGCTCAGTTGCCCAATAGCTTGCTAGTTTCTGCAAATACCCGCATCGTACTCGTCACTCTGCATAGGGAGCAACTGAGATAGTTTTTAAATCACGGGCAAGACGTGCTTTTCGCGCGCACCGACGGAATATGTCGGATCAAGGAGGAATTTCGTATAGTCCTGCTCGGGTCAATCCATTTGCAAATGTCCAAGTAGCTAGCTACCCAGAGCACGTTCAGGTAGCTAACTACTCGCAAATAACATATCTTAATACTCAGGAGTCGGAAGAAGAAGAAGGGCCGCCCGTAGAACAAGGTATATAAGTTATTATTCCAATTGAATTATTTGCGCTAACACGCTCCGCAGAGTATGAGCTGGAATACGATGTAAATGAGGAGCAGTTTGAGCCTCCAGCACCCCACAGATCCCCGCCCGCGATATCTTCACCCACGATATCCTCACCCCCCATAGCGTTACATAAGACAAAGAAAGAAAAGGTCAAACCATCTACGCCAAAAGAACCTAGTCCAGAGAAGCAGCCTAGTAAACCACTCACATCAAAGCAAAAGAAACAAGCTAAGAAAAGGGAAAAGGACAAGGCTAAAAAGGGGGCGAAAAATGCAGCGAAGATGACGCCAAACACAGAATCATCAGAACCCACACCCCCGCTAGTACCTGAAGCTACTCCGACCGAGCCTTCTACAGACAAGGCTAATAATTCAGAGGATACGGTCCCGTCGCTACAGTCGACTGGCTCGAATTCATCTAAACCCCCTGAGCCTTCTGAGCCTCCTGAACCCCCTGAACAACCTAATGAGAATGAAGGAACAGAAGTGACGAATAAGCAGGCAGGGAAGGTCGAGGTCATATCGTCGGCCGAATCAGAAAGCATACCTTCAGGTGGTCAGTCTAATGAGCAAGAGGCAAGGGAGTCAGCTTCGGAAACTGTGAGTCTACATATCTGATATTTTAAACTGTCACATATAAACACTAGCCTAGGTGGTATAAGGCTAGGTTTTTGATGGTCCCGCTCAGAGTCACTGACATGTTCTAGGTCCTCGAGGCTGAGGTTTCCGAGTCTCCTCAATTAGAGAAATCAGATATAGCTGTTGATACACATCCGATCAGTACTACCGAGAACGATTCACCTGTGGATATACAGGAGCCTGACGCACCAGCCCTTAGTACCGAGGAATCTAAGCCTGATACAAGCGAGCAGAGTGCAGGCGTTGTCAGTGAAACCAACAGGGAGCCTCTCGGTGAAGACGACGACCAAGAGACCACACCAACTGCAGACGTACGAGCTGTATCGGAGCCTCAAACCGGAGAAGCCGCGGATGAGCCAGTAGTTGAGCCTGATAATGCTGAGCCTGAAAAGTCGAAAGATGTTTCCGAGGAGAATTCAAAAGAAGAAAGTAATGATCCTCAAGATGCTGCCCATGAAAGCGCACCTAATAGCGAGTCAGATAAGGCTGCTACCGTCGAGATAAACGAGCCCCTGGGAGAACTAAGTGCGGATACGAAACCGGTTCAGGAAAGTGACAAAACGGGACAACTGGCCGATACACAAAAAGCCGAAACGCTTGAGGGCGTCAATGAGACACTATCAGACGGGGATCCTACCAATAGCACAGGAGAAACCCTCGAAAAGCCCGAGGGTCCTCAAGATCCTAAAACAGAATCAAACGATGAGAATACTACGACTGAAGAGGAAGCACCGTCAACTAACAACAAAGATGAGCTTAATGGCGAGGCTATCAAACAGGAGGCTGCCAGTGATCCAGAGCCGTCCGAGGTCACCCCAGAGGACCCAAATGCCTCCAAAATTGAGGAGACGGCGCCAGCTACTACTGAGCCGATGGCCGAGCCACAGGAACAGATCAATAACAGCGAAGCGACTGAACTTCTAGAAGGCAAGGATGACGAGAACCAAGCTACGATTAATCCCGGGGACGCCACAACCCCAAAGGAAACCGTCGATACGGACTCGGGAGATATGCCTACGGCACTACTGCCAGAGAGCGAAAGTGCCGCTGAGGCAGATAGCCCAACCGAAGAGCACCCCGGCGATCTCGCCGCCGTAGAAGGTCAGGAGGAGACGAAGCAATCCGGACAGGTTATAAATATCCCGGACCCAGTCGCTGCCAATGTTCCAGAGGTTCCGGTTGTCCAGTCAAATGGCAACGCAGAGAAACTCCCTGAAACTGGTCCAGAGCCTACAGAAGGATCTAAGGATATAAAGACACCCGATAAGGCGGCTCCGGAACCAACAGGGGAGATGAGCGACGTTGGTAACGCTGAATCCGCTACCGTGGAGTCAGTCGAACCTCAAGAACCTGAAATTACTCTTGACTCTGAAGCTAAGGGGCAGTCTATAATCCCTGAACAAATGGCTACAGAGCCCCTGTCCGCATCCGAGCCGCCTGCTGATATCCCCGCCGCTGAGGCTGCCCCTGCACAAGATGAATCTGCTTCTCAGGAATCTGTTCCTGAAAGCTCTGTCCCCGAGGCTCCAATCCCTGCAGAGCCTATTACGGAAGAACCGGCCCCTCAGGGACTTACTTCTAAAAGGGTCGTTTCTTCAAATTCCGACTCTCAAGACCCCATTTCTCAGGAAACTGCCACGAAAGATCTTGTTAGTGAAGAGCCTAACGCCCAAGAGTCCACTTCCCAAGAAACCGCCCCCAAAGAGCTCGTTCTCGAAGACCCAGCCCCTCAAGAACCTACTACCCATATTTCTGAAGATCCAGTCCCTCAGGAAGCCGCCCCTGAAGAAAGTATCTCCCATGACATTCCTCAGGAAAACATCTCACAAGAAACAGTCTCCAGAGAGCTTTCCCCGCAGGAACTTACTCCCGAAGAGTCTGTATCTCATGAAGCAGCCCCTAAAGAAACTATCTCCGAAGACCTGGCCTCCGAAGAAGTTGTTAAAGAACCCACGCAAGACTCAGACTCTCGGGAACTCGGTTCTGAACAGTCTGCTTCCCAAGAACCTATTTCCCAAGAACCTATTTCCCAAGAACCTATTTCGCAGGAACCTATTTCGCAGGAGCCTATTTCCCAAGAGCCTATTTCACAGGAACCTATTTCCCAAGAACCTAT